TCATTGCTCTGTGTTGGGGCCATTTGGCTGGGCCTCGGGAAATCTGGATGGCGCGGGTTCACATGTCCCCAATGCCGGCTTCGATCTCTCCAACGGACCATCCACCATTAGAACGAAGCAGACTGCGGGTGGCGTTTCCCAGCAGCTGCTTTGGATGCAACCACGATTGATGCGCTGACTTGTTTGATTTTCTTCTGCCAAGCGACACAAACGCCCACACGCGCAGACGCTGGGCTTGATGACCTTTCCCGACCCTGTGTAGACCCGGATCTGCGACGCTGCAAGCGTTCGAGGAGCTCGTCCAGCAGCCGCACCGAAATACCGATACCGATACCGATACCGATACTGGGCACAAACCATGGCGGCACAGTCGAATCTGCGCCGGACGGCGGCAGAGGATGCGCTGGCCGCGTTTCTGGAGAAATGGACCGGCATCCTGGGCAAGAGGCTGCGGTCTACGTCGCGCACCACTCGCACCCTCGCCACGCTCTCGCTCGCCATGTCCATCATCCTCGGCGCCGAGGGCAGCAGGCGGTGGTGGAAGAAGCGGCGGCACGAACACGAGCAAGGCCGGAAGCTGGTCCGCACCAATTCGTGGCTGCACAACAAGGACGGCTCTCGAACGATATACGTCCCCTACAAAGACGGCACGTCCAAAGTTGTCATCAACACCACGAAGCCTTTGACGTTTGAGGCGCATAGACGGCTGTTTCTCAATCCTCCAAGAGTGTCGGGCCTTGGCGATGGGACGGTTCCTTCTGCCCAAACAAAACCGGGCTTGAATCTGGCGTTTTTGCACCAATTCCTTAGTCTTATGAGTATCATGATACCCCGGTGGTCCAGCAAGGAAGCCGGTCTCCTGCTTAGCCACGGCGTCTTTTTGATGTTGAGAACATACCTGTCACTGGTGGTGGCTCGCTTAGATGGAGAGCTTGTCCGAGATCTCGTTGCTGGCCATGGTAAAGCGTTTCTCTGGGGCATCGTAAAGGTATGTTTGCGAAGCCTTCCATTGTATTCATGTGCATGCAGTAAGTGTGCTAACTCACATTTCCCTTCCCTAGTGGTGTGGACTGGGCACATTTGCCTCTTATACCAATGCTATGATCAAATTCCTCGAATCGAAAGTATCTATTGCGTTCCGAACTCGACTTACTCGATATATCCACGATATATACTTGAACGAAAATCTAAACTACTATAAACTGTCCAACTTGGATGGAGGCGTTGGGCAAGGAGCTGATCAATTCATCACGCAAGATTTGACTCTGTTTTGCGCCTCAGCAGCCAATCTCTATTCATCACTGGGCAAGCCTTTTGTAGACATTTGCGTCTTTAGCTTCCAGCTCTACCGATCCTTAGGACCTTTGGCCTGGATAGGCCTCATGAGCAACTACTTTTTAACTGCAAGCATTCTCCGGAAGCTGTCCCCACCATTCGGCAAGCTGAAAGCGGTGGAAGGCCGCAAAGAAGGAGACTTCCGCAGCTTGCACGCTCGCCTGATAGCTAATGCGGAAGAAGTAGCCTTTTATGGCGGTGCAGACATGGAAAAGACGTTCCTCAACAAGGAGTACAAGTCGCTAAAGAGCTGGATGGAAGGCATCTACATGCTCAAGATTCGTTACAACATCCTGGAAGACTTTATTCTCAAGTACAGCTGGAGCGCTTACGGCTACCTTCTTGCTTCCTTGCCGGTCTTCCTGCCAGCCTGGGGAGGAGTTGGTGGCGTGGCCGAGATGGCCGAGGGCGGAGAAAAGGGCGGCAGAGAGCGAAATCGCATGAAGAGCTTCATTACGAACAAGCGACTGATGCTTTCACTTGCTGATGCGGGTGGTCGAATGATGTACTCCATCAAGGATCTTGCCGAATTGGCTGGATATACCAGCCGAGTCTATACGCTCATCTCTACGCTGCACCGGGTGCATGCTAATGCTTATTACCTTCGGAGTGGGCAGAGCGAGCTCTACTCTTTGTCTGACGTACAGGGAACGATCCAGAAGGGTTTTGATGGTGTTCGCTTCGAGCAAGTGCCAGTCGTTGCTCCTGGACTCTGGCCCCAGGGCGGAGAAGAGTTGCTAGATTCCTTGTCTATGATTGTTCGGAGGGGAGAACATCTCTTGGTATGTACAACTGAATTTATCATTATTTCTACGAATCTTGGCTAATGAGTTATATATCTAGATTTCTGGTCCTAACGGTGTTGGAAAGACTGCCATATCCAGGATACTGGCTGGCCTCTGGCCCGTTTACCGCGGCCTAGTCAGTCGACCGAAGAGCATAGGCGAAGACGGCATCATGTTCCTGCCCCAGCGGCCATATCTCAGCCCCGGAACCCTTCGCGATCAAGTCATTTACCCTGATGGCCACGTAGATATGCGTGAAAAGCGCAAGTCTGAGAATGATTTGCAGAAGATCCTTGAAGCCGCTCGCCTTGGTTACCTTCCCGATCGTGAAGGAGGCTGGGATACTCGCAAGGAGTGGAAGGATGTGCTCAGCGGTGGCGAGAAGCAGAGGATGCAGTTTGCTCGTCTGTTGTACCACGAGCCACAGTATGCAATCATCGACGAGGGAACGAGTGCTGTCTCAAGTGATGTTGAGGGTCTGCTGTACGAAACGTGCAAGGAGAGGGGCATTAGTAAGTAACTCCCTGTACCTGATGGCTCCTCTGATATCATGGAGTAATGCTTTACTGGAAATGAATGCTAACGATATCTGCAGCCCTGATTACCATCTCAACGCGGGCTTCTCTCAAAAAGTACCACACTTACAACCTGCAGCTCGGCGCCGGCGATGATGGTGACTCCTGGGAGTTTGAGCGCATCGGAACAGAACGCGAGAAGATGCAGGTCGAGAAGGAGGTGCAGGATCTGCGTGACCGTCTTGCTCAAGTAGACGAGCTGAAGAAGAGGCGAGAAGAGATTGAGAAGGAACTCAATGCGGTATGGACAGAAAAGGGCGATTTGCTCGACGCACCATCGTATGTTGACATCGATGAGGCTCCAATTACAAGCGAGGAGTCTATCGAGGCATAATAAAGTCACATTTGATGTGATTCTTTTTTTCTGAAAGGGAGGAAAGAGGCTGTTTACTGTATGAGAGATACGCATTGATGATCTAGAAGTGTTAATTTTGCATTGGTGGTAGTGGGAGGGGAGGGCTGGATCTTTTGGCCTTTTTTGTTTGACTTATACCTGGCGCTGCATGTTTACGTACTGTTTTATTATAGCTATCTTAAACAGAAACATCAAAGCATGCGAGTTTACTTTATTCTTATTTACAGCTGTTCTTTAATATCTTTTTTTTAAAAAAAAAAACTAATCTAGTATATTATATATATTTAAATTAGTAGCTAGTGTTACTTTAAGTGCAGCAGCGTTAGATATAGCAGAGGTAGACTTTAGCTGCTTGGTTGCTTTCTTCACTGGGATTAAAGCCTTATCGGGCTACTATGATTTAAATAGGGAGGCATTATCCAGCACCCCAGTTCTGTTATCCAACCCCCCAAAAATAAAGAGAGAAGTTATCTAGCACCCCGATTATGTTATTTAGCACTCTAGCTGTAGCTTGGGCTGCTGCTGCTGCTGCTGCTGCTGCTACTACTACTGCTACTACTGCTACTACTGCTACTACTGCTACTACTGTTGCTACTGTTGCTACTGTTGCTACTGTTGCTACTGTTGCTACTGTTGCTATTTTAATAAGTATTTGGCAGCTGTATATTTAATATATAAACTGGCTGCCCTATTATGCTACAGTTGGGGTGTTGGATAATGAAATTAGGGTGCTGGATAACTTCTCCCTTTAAATAGGAACCATCAAGCGCCGGAAGGTATTGCAGCTAGATGACCTTGATTGAATGGGATGGCCCTGATAGAATAGGATAACCTTGATTAAATTGATTGATCAGGGTCATCCTGTTCTATCAATTCGATCAAGGTCATTTTGTTCAATCAAGGTCATCTAGCTTATAAGTGGTTGTACTGCCTAAAAATTAAGGGCATAGTTCAGCCTTGCGAAGGCCCTATAACATTATATAAGGCGCTGTAACTAGGAAAATACAGTATTTATACTGTGTATATACTGTATAGATTTTATTTTTCTATTTTTTGCCATTTTAGAAATTTGGAGTTATTGCACCTCTGCACACTTTGCCCAAGGTGCCACCGTACTATGTGCCAAAGCTGCACGTCTGAGACATGACAGCCCCCCATGGGCTTCTATTTTCAGCCAGTCGTCACTGGCGCTTTCAATGGTTCCGGGGGCTTAATCTCATGATTGGCTGCTCGACCAACGGCGTGGGAAAGCTGATCAATGGCTTATTTTTGTGCTTTTTGCTTCTTTCTTTTTCCGGTTCTCCCTGCATATGTAATCTTAATATACCGCACCCGCGGTCACCCTGAGTAGTCGTGGTGCTAATAGTAATGGCCGTAGTCGAGAAGGAATCCTCCCTGAAAAAGACATAAAAATAAAAATGATAGTAGTACTGAATAGTATAGGGGCTTGCCATGTGAATGTACTGAACCGTATTGCCTTGCCCCCGGCTGTTGTGTAAGTTCCATGTGGAAATAGTACTTCACGCCTAATTGCTCAGCCAGCCTCGAATCTAATCTCATCGGCGGGGGATCTACTCGCCCTGCATTACGCTGGAGTCTTTGGTGAACTTTCATGCCGCCTCTAGGCTTTATCATTATATGTCTAGAGGGAACAATGAGGCGAGGCTGCTTCATGGCTGCTGTCCCGGGCGGGTCTTGCTGGCAGACTGTCTCAGACGAAGGACAAATTACACCATTTTATGACAGGAGGTATATAATAGGGGTGATGGAACACTTTCTCTCCTTTCCTGTGGCCATGGGAACTATATCCGTTTCATTTTTCAAAATACTGCGCTCTGATGCTGGGGATGAGAACTATCGCCCAACTCTGATGTCCAAGTTTTAATGAACTTTGAACATTAAAGGCTAACCCTTCTTCATTGATCGTTGCCCTTTTTACCATTTTAAATCATGGCGCATTCAACCAAGATTCACACCCGAGCTGGGTCACGGACATCGCTCGTCTCTGTAGGGCAAATGCCCGTCATCAAAGAAGGCAGCATCATCGCCCCGGCGCCAGTAATGCTCCGCATACCTTCAAAGAATCCTCGCCGGAGTCTAGGCCCACAACCTCAGGGGGTTATAATACCGTATATAACGGGATTTCAGGATCTTCCTCCAATGGCCGTGACGGAGTGTAACAAGACTGAAGGCGAGGATGGAGACGAAAAGACTGTCGTTGGGCAAATGACACCTCCGCCTATAGAAACATCGAGAAAGAAGAGGCGATGGAATGGAGAGGAGTGGATACCGAGCGATTCACAGCGAAAATGCCACTTGGTGATTGTTTCATCGGTGGTCTTGGTGATTATTGCTGGACTTGCGACTGGACTCACGCTGGGCCTGACGAAAACGTGAGTTTGCTCACATCACTTAATTCTCAGTACTTTGGATGAAGGTATGTGTACGATGTATATATGATATGCACAACAAGCGCTTTTAGTAGAGACAACATAATGCTGATAGTAAGACGCCGCAGATCAGTCATGGACAACCCCTAGAACGATCGAGATGCCTGTTCTCTAGACCTCCCAATCGGCAGTTTTATAGTCGACATGGCTCTCTACGGTTCATTATTAGCATGGACTCCCATCCCGAATGCTTGGCACAACCTCTCTTTTAGTAGGAATGGAGCATCCAAGCAACCACAAGGTCTATAGACAGGTGCAAGAAAACGTCTACTTTGGCGAAGTTCGTTTTCGTTCACTCAATTTACAACGACGCCTCTAGCCTCAACAACCATGTCAAAAGCCTCGGTAGGAATCTTGACATTCACAATCTCACCTACAACCATCACTGCTACTGTCCTATCAACGACCAAATTGCAATGACGAACAACCTTCAACGCATACCGGCACCCCTGCGGCAGCGGCATCAGACCCTTTGACAACTCCCCTCACGCCGACAAAGCGACAGGCCACTTTTTTCAAGGCCGATTACACGTTTTTACTGGAACACCACAGAGAAGGATACCAAATAATCAAATGTCTTCCACCGAGGGCCTTATTGTTTCTTTGCTTGCCAGTATCCTTCTACAAGTTCTCGACGAGATAGAAGAAGACGAGCGATTTGTACTGTCATTTAAATCCAACACCATTGTTGAGCTGCCTGTCACATTGGTTCAATGCCAATAAACCGCCTCCTGGATGCAGTACAACATGATCATCATTTTCATCATCTCCTTGACCTGTCTGCTCTCCAATATAATCGTATGGCTTCTCGTGATGGTTGCATTCTCCATTCATGGCCAGTTCTTTCTTTCTTTCTTTCTTTCTTTCTTTTTGGAATAGTCATGTGAAATTTGGATCCGGACTCAAACTTAGATGATGAGGAACATGTATCGTATTTATGCGAATTGCACTTACACCAATACGGTTCTTTTTCAAGCCACACTTTGGACGAAATGGGGGGTTGCGACAGCCAAGTAAGACAGTACAAATGACTACGTGGACTGGCTAGGGCTGGTGGAAATCATGGGCGACAAGAATGCTATACTGGGACACTCTACATTGCTGCTACTGCTGCTACTGCTACTAATTCTACTAATTCTACTGCCATTTCCAAGGGCATGTAATACTTGGGCTGATTGTCTTACTAAGCTATAGACAGAGTACCTGGTAATAGAACCGGGGAGCTGAATAACATTTCCCAACATATATACGAAACATATTTAGAAACCTCTATCAAGCCATGTAACCATAACCTACTACAACTCCTTATGCACAATAACAAAATCACCTTCCTGCCCAGCCTCACACCTGGCCAGATCCCCGTATCAATCCAAGTCCATTCGACTGTCCGTTTCTTCAGGAATAACTTCCATCGGAGCAAAACCTGTACTATTAGCCTGCATCATACTAGCATCAAACTGCAACCGCGAACCTTCTTCATCTATACTCTCGTAATAAGACGGATCAGACTTCTTCGTAAATGAGAAAACGCCACTGCGCTGCGGCAAGTCCAATCTCTCTGGTGATATCGCAGCATACCTGGCAAGGCGATTGCCATCACGCACATCAACGTCCAGAACGTCTGGTAAGCATCTCGGCGATATCGCGGGATACCTGGCAAGGCGATTGCCATCGCGCACGTCCATGTCCAGAATATTTGGGATGCGTCTTGGCGCCATGGACATAATGGGCCATGCAAAATTCAGGCGCGTAGGATCATCGCCCATAGATTGAGATATGACATCGTCGAGTACAGCCGCGTTTGCGAATCTCACTGATTTGACTGGCTGCTTCTTCGTCCTCTTCGATACCCGCCAAGTCGTGTGTGCGCTCCCTGACGATGAGAATAAGAAAGTTTTTGAATTCTTCTTTGTTGCCTTTGTTTCTCGTAAAGGCACTCCTCTATTTGATGGCGATGCTGATACTATGGGACTTTTATTTGTCCCTCGTAGAAGAACACCTCCATTCAGTGAAGATGCTGATGAGACAGGAACTAAATCGTTTGTAGCTCTTTTCGTTTCATGTAACGGCACCCTGCCGTCTGAGTCGTCACTAGAAGATCCAGAAGACGGCTGCTTCCTCTGGATTCCGCCAAAAGAAGCTGAAATATCTGCTGGAGAGCTTGCTAGGGGATTTGATGTCATCGTTTGCAGGTCTGTGGAAAAGGCTGGCCTCCGGGACGGGCCTGGCAACGACCCTTCTGACGAAACACTAAGGAGCGATCGTCTGCTTTTGTGTCGGAGAGCAGCAACATGTGTAATGAGAGGGTTCCCGATCTCATCATACAGTGACGGAGGAGATGGTGCTGGAGGAAGTGGAAAAGAAGTTCGTGCAAAAGGATCTGACCGATACTCACGCTGACCGCGATCAGTGGGATAGTCAGTGGGATAATCTCTCCGGCTTCCCGAATCTCCACCCACAACTGTCATAGCTTGTGAGTCTGAGAAAGGGTTGGACGGAGGCTGGCCATCTGAATTAGTCCTCGTACGTGCCCAAAAGGCGTCCCAAAAGGAGCGCGTCTCATCATCGCTCTCGTCAAAGCCGAGATGCTTACGCTTACACACATGCCTCAAGAGATAGCTAAGCTCAGGACGATCCTTTGGTTTCTCAAACTGGCATTGCGCAATCTGGTCGAGAAGCTCCGGCTCAATGTATTCATATTGTGGCTGACACAGACGCCAGGCATACGAGTCGCCGAAGCATCGTTCGTCCCCAGCCTCATATTTCATTGTCGTCATTGGGTGTGATGACCAGCTTTTTGTTATCACAGACTCCATCTAATTGGTCTTGGTTAGCGTGGTCCTGGGATTGAACAAAGAAAAGGAAAAAGCAACTGACAATTTTGCCAATGGTGAAGATATTCGTCCATGTGCCGTATCGCCCTGCAACCTCATTCTTTTCTGGCCCAAAGGTGTCTCCCGTGTACTGTAATATTGAACCTGGGCGGCTTAGATCGATCTTGTCCCAATCTTTGGTAATAGTTTCCTAACAATTTATGAGCCACTTCCAATAAATGCAGGTTCAAGCATCCACATAGAACTTACCGGAGGAGTCCGATTATTTTTGGGACACCTTCTCGCTCTCCAATAGTTTTGATGCTCCCAGTAATCCCAGCACTGGCTCATCTTATGGCTATAGGCTCCAAAATCATGAAACTAGTTCGGGCTATTGTCAGCTCATATCAGGCGGCATTTTGACATTTCCCAAACTCACCTTTAATATGGGATGATGCGAGTGGTGATCATCTTCAGCAATGAGAACTAATCATCCGTTTGTTAGCATCCTCACACCTGTAGAGAAGAAGAGGGAGGAGTATACTATTTTGCTCTTCCAAGTCAAAATGCACATCGTGGCTATCAATCAATGTACTGAGTCTTAGCAATTCACCAGCATTTTGTGGATCATCCAGCGAATTCAATATCATATCAAGACTATCAGGGCTCCATCGCTGTATTGAATCTGGCTGAAGTGCTACCGACACAGCACCTTTAACCACTGTAAATATTATGTTAATTTTGTCCTTTTTGCTTCATCTTATTTCGCCCTGGTTCACACAATGTGATAAGACAGAAATGGAGCAGCCACTTACAGCACTCCCAAATCTCCCACAGCACCTTATTCGAAAACCGAACATCAAAATATGAGGCCTTGGACATGATGTCAAAAAGACACCCGTGCTCTGCGTACTCCAAAACAAGAATATTCAGCTGCTTCTGATCGAACCTGGTTCCCCGGTTGATCAAGTGTTCTCTGTTTATTCTGCGTCTAACATTGTCAGCAATCTCTTGCAGATTCAGGCTCTGGGTGACATGGGAAGCGCCTCTATATCTAAGATGCCACTCTAACTCATCCCTAAATGTGCCGTTCATATGGATAGGTATCTTGATGACAGCTTTCATGATGCTTTCATCATCAAATATGACGTTCCAGAGCGTGGCCATGCCAAAGCCACCTTGGCCGAGGACTTTGACCCATTCGAGCCTGAAGCCATCCCAATTGAAGAGTTCAATATAGTCTTTCACGATGCTTGGCTGGTCAGTATCATTGCTATGAGATTCGGAATAGTCGTCAGCAAAGGGGAATTCGAATTCTTGGTCTTGTGGCATATCGAGATCTTCATAGGGAAGTGCAAGTGCGTCGCAGTCGCGTGAAAGGATTCTGCTCGTATTGTCAAGTGTCACATCTCTGTCGCCGCGAATCAGGGCTGATTGGACAGCAAAGTAGTTTTTAGCAGGTAGAGCACCATCAGGTCTTACCGCTCTGCGGCGCACGTTGAGATGGGGTAGCAGTGATGACATGTTGGCTATGAACGGATGGTGAGTGATCAATTGTAGGATATGCGGGCATGGTTTAGCATTACGTTTTCATCCTGGCAATCTATATCGGCGGCTATATTATATGCGTGAGTGAAAAGCATAACAAACAAGAGCTGCATGATTGCTCAACAAAGAGGCATTTGATGAAAATAGATATATTCATATTGACCTTCTCATACTTGGTCAGGCGCAACGTCCTTTCTTCATTTTTCCTTTCGGATTCTTTTGAAGGCATCAACTTGTTCGTTGTTCAAGTCGAACAATTTCACCTGACAAAGGTTCCCTTTTTCTTGTTTCTTCGCCCCTGGATGATGATATCGTCCCAGTTCAAAGAGACAGGCAACCCCGCCGTTGAACAACCCCTCAAAGAGGCTACAAGCCACCGCAAATAGATCCCTTGTGTCTCCACCAAAGGCTTTCAAAATGCGTCGTCACCATAAGCAAAGATGACAAGGAATCAACTGTCTCAAAACAAAAGATAAAAGATAAGGAGGGCAATTGCAAATACCCGTGGCAGCAGTATAGCCTGGTCTCGACACGATGTCATCTTATCCCTCACCTTCAGTCAGACCCATGGTCTATCATGAATCAAGTCCATCAGAGGTCCAAGCGTTCGAACGAACTAGACGTTCTTATTAGATGTGTCCCTCTTGTTGGTGGATACAAGGTCCATAAGAGGCGTCGGAAGCCGCTGAGCGGCAACCAACCGGAGCAATTAGCCGTATCCTAGACTGCGGAGCATCATGGTAATTTAGGCTAAATAGCGATTGGGGTTCCTCAGCCTGATCAATCACCCGGGGATATCGACGACCTCTCTTTCGAGAAATTCTAGGTGAATGTAATAGCTGCCGTAGCTTTCGATAGTCATGTCCTTTTGCCCGCCGTATCCACAAATGACATTTTCGGTGATGTAAGAAGAAGTGACGAGAAGAGAAAAAGAGGACTTGTGCAGAAAAGAAGCGTCATTACTTGGAACTAGTCGACAAGCCTAATCGTCATACTAGGGCCTGTCAGCCACCAACTGCAAAAACCTGAGAGGCAGTTAAACGCACTAATAGGAGACGAGATATGATCGGGACCCCTTAGCTGTAGTGCTCCCAAGATGTAATTAGCACCGCCACAAGCTCCCAATTTGGTGAAGAAGAGAAGCATCCGGGCCGGTTAGATCTGCTAGTTTGCTACCCGCCCTCATGCATATAGGCGGCAAAACACCATTCGCCAGACGCTAGGCTGGGTCTGACGGTTTATTGCCATGCTGGAGTTTTTGGTCTCTCCATATGTAGGCCCTATCCATCCACCCATCCGTCCCCAGAGACCCAGCTGACCTGTACTTGGCCAAGCTAGAGGCGGATTCCACTGTGCTGGAGAGGAGAAAACGACTCGGCCTAGTGAGATAACAAGGCTGCGGCTGCTAATAAGAGGATCCCAGCCATGAGGCACCGAGCGAGCCTCCTCTCGTGTGGAGTTCGGGTCTTGTCCATAAATAAGCCCCGACAACCACAACCTTCTTTCCTCTTGTCTCGTTTGTCCATCTCATCCAACACCTCAACGGTTAACAAGACTTATCGCTGTTTCTCGACCCAAGGCAGACTAGCAGACAAGATGGCGCCCACACTCAAGCTCAACAGCGGATATGAGATGCCCCAGGTGGGCTTTGGCCTCTGGAAGGTCGACCAGGCAACTGCAGCAGATACCGTTTACAACGCCATCAAGGCTGGTTACCGTCTGTTTGACGGCGCATGCGGTAGGTCTCGTCTCGGCTCATGTGAATGAGAGATATACAAACAAATCGCTCTCTTCCCCGCTTTCTTGTAAAAGCTGGGAGAGACGTCATTGAAGTAACATCGGCGCTAATATCTCCCTTCCTATTCAGATTATGGCAATGAGAAGGAGTGTGGTGAGGGTGTTGCCCGCGCCATCAAGGAGGGTCTTGTGAAGCGTGAGGAGCTCTTCATTGTCTCCAAGCTGTGGCAGACTTTCCACGATGAGGACAAGGTCGAGCCCATCACCCGCAAGCAGCTTGCCGACTGGCAGATTGACTACTTTGACCTCTTCCTCATCCACTTCCCCGCTGCCCTCGAGTACGTTGACCCCAAGGTCCGTTACCCGCCAGGATGGTTCTATGACGGCGAGAGCGAGGTCCGATGGAGCAAGACCACCCTTCAGCAGACCTGGGGTGCCATGGAGAAGCTGGTAGAGAAGAAGCTTGCCCGAAGCATCGGTATCTCCAACTACCAGGCCCAGTCTGTGTACGATGCCCTCATCTACGCCAAGATTCGCCCTGCTACGCTGCAGATTGAGCACCACCCCTACCTTCAACAGCCCGACCTCGTCAACCTTGCTCAGAAGGAGGGCATTGTCGTCACAGCCTACTCTTCTTTCGGCCCCACTGGATTCATGGAGCTTGATATGCCTCGTGCAAAGAGCGCCGCTCCCCTGATGGAGCATGCCCTCATCAAGGAGATTGCTGCCAAGCACAAGAAGACCCCCGCCCAGGTCCTCCTTCGATGGGCCACCCAGCGCGGCCTGGCCGTCATCCCCAAGACTTCTCGACCGGAAGTCCTGGCTCAGAACCTGGACTCGACCACCTTTGATCTGGAGTCCAGCGACTTGGAAAAGATTGCAGAGATGGATTTGAACATCCGATTCAACAAGCCCACAAACGTGAGTTACACATCTTCATCGTTTGTACTGTATTATACCATGCTCACATCTCGTTATAGTACTTCTCTGCCGACAAGCTGTTCCTCTTTGGTTAAATTAAGCGGGGGTCAAATAAACAAAATAATAAAAAGCGTTCTTTCTGCCAGTAAATATCCGTTGTCAGTGTAGTCTTGAGGCCCTTTCATTTTTCTTCAGCCTTGTAAAGAAAAGCTGCGTAGTCAGTGTGTAATGGAAAATAATCATCAGAATATTTCATACCACAAGAGCTGATAAAAGGTTTTGTTTCTTCCAACAGACAAATCTTACCCCATGATGATTCAAATCAATGGGGCACAGGTGTCTGCATTATTCTAGCGAACGATGCTATCACATATCAAATAGTCCGATAAAACGCCGTCAAGATTCCCCCAGAATAGTCCGTTCCGCCATTATCATATACTCCAATTGGCAGGGTGAGCCTCACCCTAAACTCTCACAAATGCTAAATCAAGTTAGAAGGTGGTGACACCAGGTGATGTTGGGCTTGGGTACACTCACTAGCATCAATCTGCTTGACTTGCGGCAGTGCCAGCCGAACCTTGTTCCTGTATAGAGCGGGGCCACGAAGTTGAAGAGGATTTCCCTCAAAATACACAGTCGTCAAGTCTTCTTTGTCTTTCAACTCCCTCTCGACGTCGGCAAAGTCCGCAATTTGGTTGTAACTAGCCCACACCTCTTCAAGGTCTTTGAGAGGGCCCACACCTTTGAGACTGGTAATCTGGTTGTTGGATATCTCGAGTGTCTTGAGATTGACATTGTTCTCAATGCCTTCAAGAGATTCGAGAGCGTTGTGGGCAATGTAGAGTTCCTCCAACCCGGGCACCTCCTTCAGGGGAGACAGGTCTCGGATGCGGTTGGACTGAATGCTAAGGAGACGCAGCTTGGGAAGCCCGCCAAGCCCCGCCAGGTCCGTGATCTTGTTCTTCGCCAACCACAGCTCTTCTAGGTTTTTAAGGCTGTCAAGATTCTGTATCTCTCGAATACGGTTCGAGCCGAGTTCTAGAGACCTCAGATTATCAAGCCCTTCAAGGCCTTCGATCTTGCTGATTTTGTTGGCGACCAGGAACAGCTCCTTGAGCTCCTTTAGATGATTGATGTGCTTGATGTGTTTGATCTTGTTGAAGCTGAGGTCAAGGCTTGTAAGCTTTGTCAGGCTGTCTAGACCTCGAATATGTCCGATCAAGTTGTCGTATAAATCAAGGTCTTCCAGGGAATCAGCAAGGCCGTCGAGGCTCTCGATGTCTTGAATGACATTTTGTCGGAGGCAGATGCGGACCACGTTCTTGAAGCGCTCCAGCTTTAGAGCAGGTATTGACGCGATGCGAGAGTGCGTGGCCATGATCTCCTCGGTATCGGAGGCTTCGCTGTCGAGCAAATCTATCATGTGAAATATGGGAGTAAGTCTCAAATCTTCTTGTAAGTAGTCGATGGCGCAGGTTTGTCATCTCTTACTCTCGTCTGCTCGGATCTCCTCGCCGTGCAGCACATTGCTGTCGTCTGAGTATTCCGGGTCTGACAGCGCCTCCGGGTTGGTCATGAGCGCCGACTTGGGAATGCGGAGCTTGCCATCCCAGCCTTTGCTGTCCTTGAGAGACGGGCTGGGCTCGCCATCGACCTGGGGAGACGGCCTGTCGTCGACGATGTCGATGTGAGCCGTGCGCTCATGCTCTTTTTCTTTTTCGACCGGGGCCTCCATGTCGCGCTGCCGATGCCCGTGCGAGACCGAGGCAGGATCGCTGGCGGCAAGAGTCTTGGTTTCTGGATAGAGGGAGAAATTGGGCTGCAGAAGATGTTATTTTCTAGGAAGAGATGACGATGCTATAGCATGACTTCAAAGGCGAGGATGGCTGCCTATGTATTCCACAAGGTTGGGTTTGAGAGTTTAAGCTCAAAATGCCTTGCAGGGCCGGGGTGGCGCTTTTGCTTAGTGACGAGTGACGCCTGAGCCCACTATAATGGTTCCAGGTTTGCTGCTACCGCGGGGTGGCAGGGTGCCAGATCCTTATAAACATGGATCCGAGCCGTCATTCGTCTCTGTCCTGCATGTAAACAAGGCCGAGCTACGGCAACTTACGGAAGCTGTTAATATTGGCTGCCACACTGCATTTTCAAGATAACATGTAAGATGCTCTGCTGTGCTTGGATACAATGTGAATAACCAGCTTCAGATTTGTGTCTTATAGCCCCGCCGTGTTCGCTGACAGGGCTGCGGGATCTGGGCCTTCTGTGATGCGCATCTCACGATTGCCATTTGCGTATCCCAGAGGGCTGGTGATACAGGCTTCAGCAAGGCGATACGGAACAGCAGCGCCATGGACGTGGCGGCCACGTAAACCTGTCGTCCGATGCCAGTATGGCTACGGCATGGTCAAGAGGCAAATCCACGTCGGCCAAGTGTTGATGCCACCCGCCATCTTCACCGGACTATTCCTTGCCCTGTGGTGCTACAAGTGCATCATGCTTGTCTTGTTCCAGAATGCCATCATTTACAACCCCTTTCTCCCTCCAAATGCTCGGAGCATGCGGATTTCGGACTTTTCACGCCAGTGCGGAGGGATCGAATGGCGAGAGGACCGGATCAGATCCCTGGATGGCACTGAGATTGCTCTTTGTATAAGTGAAATGTCTTGCGGTCACAAGTCTGACAACTCGCCAAAGACGCCAGTGTACATTTTATATTTCCAAGGTATGCAGCAACTCTCTCATGTACTGAAGCAACCGTGAGCAGCTGAGGCGTAGAGTAGGAAACGCCTCATCTCTCCCTCCCCGGCTGCCAGATATCTCTGGTATCATGCGTCAACTCAAAGCAGAGACCGAGGGACCGGTTCATTATACCATGGTTTGCCTCAGCTACAGAGGATACTGGACATCACACGACCGTCCTTCTGAAAAAGGCATCGATCTGGACTCTGAGGCAGCATTTCGATGGATGTCGAAGCTTCATCATGATCGATATAAGCAGACAGAAGACGCACCCAATCCCATCGCCATCTTGTGGGGGCAGAGTATCGGGTGTGGCTTCGCAACAAATCTGGCGGCCAAAACTCAGAATGCTGCAACTTTGCCAATTAATGCCTTGCTACTAGAAACACCGTTCACAAACACCCGCGCAATGCTCACGGCGCTGTATCCACAAAAGTGGTTACCATATCGACACCTTTGGCCGTTTTTGCGCAACCATCTCGATAGCTGGGCAAACTTGGAGACGATAGCCACAAAAGCCCACAAACCAGAGATTTACATCGTAGAGGGTGGTAAGGACGAATTAGTGCCCTCCGATCATGGGCGCATCCTTTACAAGCGGTGTCAGGATGTTCAGCTGTTTGCAGAGCTGCATACAGTCCGCGGAGCTCTTCATAACGATGTGATGGTACGGAAAGAAGGCAAACACACCATTGCACGGTCTATTGCCTTGGCCGTTTCACGGGCACAAGAGGCCTGGGTAGATCAAAAGCCATCTCCGCATGGTCCGCCAAAAGGCAAAAGTTGGGCATGAACGGCGGACCCAAATCTTATGCTTCAGAGTACGGCGGCCACTTCTAATCGTGGTCAAGTCTGCGCCCAGCACTCACACGGGATACTGGCACCAGCCTTAGCTGACGCAGTAGCTTGCCAGAAACTCAGATGGGAAAAGGCCTGTACCTTGCAACGCAATCTATCCCATGATCCACTGGCAAAAGCACGGCCCGAGATGTGCGGCTGTGGGATGCCAGACTTTGTGAGAATCAGATAGAGAGTCCATGGTCTCAAGGCCGCTCCCGCCCCAACTGAGGACAAATCTTGGGTTCAATTGATCTCAATTGACTCTTATGACGCCAAGTTTCACACATTCAACGATTTCAGCAACGTGCATCTCCAAAACTGGATATTGTATAGGCCCCATAGTTCTCATGCACTATCTCGCATTCCTGCAGGCCGGTGATAGGCACGGATGCCTCGCACAGCTCCAGGCACCGCACGGCTCTCCAGGCTGTTCCACACCACAATTCCAGCCACTGTCGAAACGGCACTGTCTGCGTGACAAGGGGCTTCATCAACCAGCCCCATTTTGCTGCCTGCCTCCGGCTGTGACTCGCCAGGCTCGGCAGGGATCCGTGGCCATTGGGCTGCAAATCCGCCTCGGCCGCCCAAAATGCGCAGCAGTTCTGCCACACAGCATCACGTGCTTTCGCAAGATTTTGGCGTCGCCCAGTACCGCACTGTAAACCTTACTGTGCACCACTCTACGCGAGCGGACGCGTTGGATCGTCTCATTATCGCCAACCCTGCCAACCTGCCTAGGCCGCCTGGTCGCCTCACTAACGGATCCGGGGGGTGTCCACAGGCAGGCAGCGCCTCCGGGCTTGAGCCTGGAGTCGTATAAAACTGCGGCATCCACCCTGCTTTGTGCAAAAATCTCGGCTTCGTCTGCCTTGGGTAAGTGAGTCGCTTTCACGGAGCCGTCGACTCGCTTGTAATTTTTCTCCTTCTTCAGATTGTTTGCATTGAGGATTTAACCATTAACTACCGCCTGCATTTACGACAGTTATATCCTTATTTTATTAATCTGTTTAATCTGGCTCCTATCCAAAAGGGGGCTCGCCATGTTCTCCAAGCGACCCGACACTTCCAGCCGGAGCTTCTCCAAGAGCCACAAGGTGTCCAAATCCACCTCTTCTTTCAGCAGCTCTTTTAGCAAAGACAGCGGGATCACCAAAAAGCGCCATGAGTCTCGCCACCGGAGGCCAGCCACGTCATCTTCCGCTTCTTTTAGCGAGGACACTGTCATGACCAGGTAAGCTGACCCGCCTCTCCCTACTTTTACCAAAACTGTAAAAACTAATAATGTGACTATTAGCTTTAGCAACTTGAGCTCGTCTATCGTAACCCTCGTTGTCGGTTCTGAGCAGCGCCTTTTTGCTGCCCACGAAAACATCCTCTGTTCAAGCCCCTTCTTCAGCAATGCTCTCCGAAAACTATACACCGATCCTTCCACAAAGAGAATTTCTCTTCCAGAAGAAGAGCCCGAGATTTTTAGCTCAGTGCTAGAGTTCATGTATAAAGGAGATTATTTCCCCCGCTTGGTGCATAACAAGCGACGAGATAGTTGGGAACTGGAGCCTATCAACGATGCTGATAGAAAAGCTGCAGAGAGCACAGTCTATCATCGCGGCGTTGATGGTGACCTGCTCAAGGACACAGTCATCTATTGTGCCGCCGAACGATATGGATTAGATGAATTGAAGAAGCTATCTCTACGCAAGCAAGGTCTTCGTAAGTTTATGATGACCCCACTCCACTCTCCTACTTCCTTCTGACACAGAAACAGAATCTGGCATCCAGTGCAGCACTATCCTTGCCTCGGCAAGATATGCATACGCCAACACTCCTGAGACTGACTCCAAACTGCGAGCACACTATTTGGCTTTGATCATCCGATCCCGTAGCACTTTCAAGCGAAGTGGCACAATGCAGCTGGAGATGTTCAACGGAGGCACGCAGTTGTTCTTTGATCTCTTTGTAGCCCTCTGCAACCACGTCGATGATATCTCATCCGTACAGTAGGTCTTTCCAAATATTGCTTACAATCGATCACAATGTGATTAACGGTCAAGAAGAAACACGCCGCGGTCCAGCCGCCATATGTAACGACCTCGTTACAAGCCGGCCACGGGTTAATGCTATTTCCTTTGTTACTTCTCGAGAAGATGATACCAAATCAATCACAAAAACAACAAAACAGCGGCGTTTTCATTTTCCTTGTTTTTCCTTGTTGGTATGATGCTTTCTTTACGCAACTCAGTTCATGATTATTCCCTTTGCACTGTTACCCCTTGTATGATTATGCCTCTGCTTTTTCCGCCACAAAATTTGGCGGCTTCCTTTTTTTTTTCCTTGTCGACACCGGAAATTTATGGTATGTATGGAATGATGAATGTTTGGTATTTGGAAGAGAATGATTATATACCATTTTAGATAAGCTGAGATTGAACACACAAGGTTGGGCTAAACCTAGGAAAAGAGATTTGAAGAATTATTATAACTGCACATGGGTTTGGGAGGAAATAGGAAATTTCTTTTGTTTGACGAATTTCCCTATTAAAGACATAGATTGGACCACTTTTCATCACATTTTATTATCCATTACCAGTAATATAGTAGAAGTGTGCATAGTTCCTATAAACCGCCGAGCGGTCTTTGTTCGCCGTACTCGCACCTATGAAGAAGGCATATTTCTCACAGGCACTTTTTTCGTATTTATTTTTGAATCTTAGATGCCTCAGAAGCTCGTGGAATGAGTCATTCAGTACTTCAAGACAAGAAAACGTGGGTGAGGCTGGTAGCAACGGGTATGCGGAACACACGGGAGAGGTCCGGATGGCCAACCAGTTAGTGAGGCTATCAGATGAAGCAACCATTAGAAGAGGAACCACCAGCCTCTTAACATTTGTATACCCTCGCTAGCTATCTAGGTAGTTTTTCGTAATGATTTGGGCACCAACCGTGTTAGAGTAACGCAACGGGCGCGCGCACCGATCCACCCACCCAACATTATTCCCAAAAACACTAGGCAGCAAGATGCCTTGACGGTGAGGCCCCGAGAGTGATTCATAATGATACCGAACAAATTTCGCCTTGTATCGACATCAAGTTAAACACCGGTGCCTGGGAAAGCGCCTTTCTTGGATAAGACTACGATGCCTCGCTCGCGGGCAATATAGCCTTTCATCAAATCCTAACGTCGGTGTCAGGGCCAAGGCATAACAAGTAGATGGGGAAGATAAGCAACAGTGAGCCATACCTTATAAATCATGTTCGCCAATAGGCACTCGACTTCATCTGTGTCAACCAGCTCTCCTCCACTTCCCATACAGATAGCTGCGCGGAATTCTGCGACAGGCACTCGTGTGCGACGCACTGGAGTGGTTTCGCCCTCTTTGAGCTCGTCAAATCCTCCTGCAATGAAGACCTTGCGTAATAGATTACGCAGAGCGATATCACGCCCACGCTCGAGAGTAAGGTAAATACGCCTCTTCACAAACTCATCCTCGCCTTCCTGTAATGCAACATCAAAAGCGCGAAGGTCGCCTTTTCTGATGCATTGGGCCAGAGGTAGGAAGAGTTTTTGTAAGCGAGGGAAAGGCTCCAAGAGTGCCTTTGTGGGTAGCACATGACTGGTAAGAAGGCGGCAAGGGATGAGATAGGTTAGTATTCGCCTAGGATATATTAGCATCTTATCGGAAACAGCATTCTCGTGTAAAAACATACTCTAGATTCGCATTCGCATCCTTGTGACAGAGCTCCCATGCTTCGACAAGATATTTCTCGGCCTGCCATATGCCATTAGTCACACGCTATACAGCAAGGCCATACAGCCATTTACCTCGATATAGTTCTCTTCCAAGAAGAATAAAACCCCCTCGTAAAACTTGAAGGTAACTCTCTGTGACTTTGGAAACGCCGACAACGCTGGCATGTCTCCTTTGTACGCGCTTAATGTCTTGAGAATAGTTCGTGAGAGCGAAGCGGAGTTTAGCTTGAAATATGTTTTGAATAGCAGGTTGATAATGAAGTAGATACCCCATTTCCTGGATTCTTCTAGCGGGGCTCTGGAAACACAGTTAAGAAAGTCCCCAAGGCAATTTGAGGGCAGATACAAACCTGTCGTTGAGACAAAGAGTGAATATTCTTTTTAGGTGCTGCTCGCAGTCTCTTAATTGGCTCTGTTTTTCGGTCTCTGGGTCAAAATCATCTTGTATAAGGGCGGCTCCCCCAGAGTTGTCACCAGCGTTGCGGCTACGCTCCGTGTCGGACCTGATGGCAAATAACCTCAAGTACTTGCCAACCACATACAAGCATGGGATAGTCCACGCTTCGAAGCCAAAGCTGTTATAGCCTCGGATCAGCGCGGATGTTAAATCCTTCCAGGATTCATAGACCTTGGTCCATGTTGACTGCCCCAGTATTAGTTATCATCGATATCACCCAGTTACCAGTATTCATACTACCTTGCCATCTTCTACTGCGACAAAATCCCCGATAGCATTCCAATATGCGGCATACACTTCGACCCAGCCTTTCACTTCCTCGTGATCCAGACTTCGGTGATGAGATGTGTTTGACTTGATGAAGTGTTTGATGTCGCCTTTAACGCTAGACGAATGGCTGCTCTTCCAGATCAATCTCAATCGCTGAGGATTCGATGATGTGGCTATTGGTGAGAGCGTTGCCGCGAGCAGATATCCATTCTGCTCAGCATGGGCTTTTGCGAAGCCTTTGAACAGGTCGTTCATATCGTCAAATAAGATGCCGGGCTGGGAAACGCGATTATAGGCCAAATATCTATTCGATTCTCGGTACCGACAAGATAGCGGTGAAGAGTAAGAGCTCGTGCGAAAGAGCGATTCTCCTTTGCTTTTGAGATGGAAATTCTTGTATATGCTTAAGACATCATCTTTCTGTTCCACAAGAAGTGCCTGGCTCATGCCTCCCATTACAGCCCATGCAGGTAGGTACGTACCTTTAGCGCAGCTAGCGGATGAGGTAATACAGATTCGCCTGTGACTTTACACGTGACACTTATCAAGCGTTGGTGGGGCTTCCATCTTCCATTTGACCAATCGCTGTCCAGGTTAAAGCCCTGCGCCGAATCTGGTGCTCAACCCTCCCCACTCACCCGCACACAAAAATTATCGCTGCATCACCTCTAACTTGACAATCTTCAAATTTCGCGATTTGTCGAGGACATAGACCACCGTCACAGTGAGTCGGGAAGGCATCTTTATTAGATATTTTATATACTAACAATCATTCCAGATGGGTAAGAATCTCCTTTTCAGCTCTTCACCAGTTCGAGAATGCGCGTTGTCGGGAGGAAAACCAGTCGTCGAATTTTGTCTCGAATTCAGCAAACCACGATATTCCGAATAGACGTTTCGATTCAGCCAATCAATTGAGAATCGATAGCCTTGTTGTTGAAATGGAGGAAAGGCTGGATTTGGCGTGTTCAATCCAATATCCATTTTCGAAAAAGAAGAATTCTCCTGATTGAAACATTATGCATCGAGACATCAAAATCTGGAACGATCGGCACCGACTTTGGCACACTCGAGACCACCGGCAGCGCGCATTCGAATGGCATTCACTACGCAGGAAGCTTGACCTTGGATACTAACAAACTACCTTCAGGTCGCCTTACAGAGTACGAGGTCATCGGGCGCCACTTGCCCACCGAGGCCAACCCTACCCCGGCCATGTACCGCATGACCATCTTCGCCCCTAACGAGACTGTCGCCAAGTCCCGTTACTGGTACTTCTTGCGTGGTCTCAAGAAGGTCAAGAAGGCCACCGGTGAGATCGTCAGCATCAAGGCGGTATGTGGACTTCCCCAAGCAAAGGAAAATAAAAATACGACAAGCGGCTGACGAAGAGGGAAATTGCAGATCCACGAGAAGCACCCCGAGACGGTCAAGAACTTCGGTATCTGGCTGCGATACGACTCTCGATCTGGCACGCACAACATGTACAAGGAGTACCGTGAGCTGACCAGAACCGATGCCGTCGAGTCCCTGTACTCTGATATGGCTGCCCGTCACCGTGCCCGTTTCAGGTCCATCCACGTACGTTGAGCAAAACACGAGCGCAGACGATGCTTATAATTTGCTTACTATTTACTGACAATCTGATCAGATTCTCCGTGTCGTTGAGGTTGAGAAGACCGCCGACATCAAGCGCCCCTACATCAAGCAGCTCGTCACCAAGAACCTCAAGTTCCCTCTCCCTCACCGTGTTGCCAAGATCAGCACCCAGAAGCTGTTCACCGCGAAGCGACCTTCCACTTTCGCTTAAGAATGTTATTGGTTTTGAGGACGGTTGGGCTAGGTTCTGCGGGTGTTTACAACGGATCATGGAAATATCACGGCATTTGCTCGTTTAAAAAAGAGCACTGAATGAACCAAAAAATTCTGAACACGGTGTAGATTTTTCTGACTCAAGCAATGTGAATGTCTCTGTGTTTTTCTTTACCGCGACATTCCGTGTTATTGGCTGAGAGGCACCGACGCTTCAGGGAGATGTGAGCTAATGCCACACTGCATATTTTCTATAAAAGAAGACGAATTCGGCAATTTAGCTGTTAGAAGAGAGACAATACAAAAGAAACTGCGCCTTCAGCTATGGGCAAGCGCTTCAATCTTGTTTTTCCCTATTCAAGACTTTTACACTGAAACTACGCAACACCGCTTAGTACTACCTTCTCTATCTGACTCTCTCTTTTTCTCTTAGCGCATACTCGATTCTTTTTTTTCTCCCAGGACCCTTTTCTGCCAAGCTAGAGGCTACGCCACTACAATTTTTCATCTCCCACGTCTATCCAAATCGGGCTCACCGTGCTGGAGTGCGGAGCCGCGAATTCAGATTTCGGCTGGTCCATCCTATTCGAGGCCGCAGACAAGAAGTTCCTACTACTAGTAATCAATAATCGCCTATAAGCGGCCCAAACAAAACAGATTTAAACTGATAAAAGTGTCATAATCCGGTGGTGTTCCGGTATGAGTCATGCCACAATCAAGCCGATTGATTTCGATCGTTAAACTCCGATGTTTTTTTTTTCCAATACTTAAAGTGACTCTCAACTACTGTTTCTTTTGCAGAACCAAACCTTGTGCCATCAAGCTTAAGCTTCTTTTTTGAGTTCTCCCGTGGCTCTCTGGCCAAGTTCGCAATCCCTATCCGAACATATTTCCGTTGATACAGCAAACAAACTTGCTTCGCAATGGCACAAACCAACGGTTCCTCTGCTCCCTTAGAATGGGCCACAGTCAAAACAACCTTGCCAAAAGCATACCCACCCATGTCAGCTCGGGAGCCCATCCGAAGCGAGCGCCTGATCCTCCGACCTTACGTCGCAACAGACGTCAACGACTTTCACCTGCTCCGTCTACAGCCAGAAGTCATGAAGTGGACGGGCCAGGGCAGGCCAGACAAGGATTTGGAAGAGACCGCGAAATGCCTGGAAGATAGGCTCCCAGGCTCAACCAAGGGCGAATCTGCTTACGAGTTTGCCATCTGCTTGGCAGAGACGGGGGAGATGATTGGCACCGGCGGAAGCCACATGCGAGTCGGCGAGCTTGGCTGGCCTGTAATTGGATACTTGCTTCGAACCGAGTTCTGGGGTAAAGGCTTTGCGACTGAACTCATGACTGCCTTTTTGAAAGCATACTGGGCGCTCCCCCGAGAAGAAGTCGAGATCAAGGTGGAGAAGAGCACGATAGTAGGCAGCGAGGCCGATTTGCAGCCCGAGCACATCACGGCGATTACGGCAACTGATAACGGCGCAAGTCAAAATGTTTTGGGGAAACTTGGGTTTAAACTGGCCAGGCTATTCGAAGAAGAGGACCCTCATACCCCGGGTGTTATGGAGGCCTTGCATGGATATGCGCTGCAAAGGCCGCAATTGTAAGAGGATGTATCATATGTATGTGTGGTGGTGGTGTGCTGGATACCCGGTTCGCTTTTGTAAACCATTAGACAAGCGTCTGCGATTTAGCGATATAGATGGATAGATACGACGTTGGAAGTAATAGACTGACTGCTTGACGCAGCGAATGAATGATCCAGATACACTCTTGTATATAAAAAATGATGCGCGGAGTGCTCTTCACTGCTATATTCAATTCGCTTGTTGCTGCAAACCCTACTACACACATCATGATGTCTTGAAGCTTGAGATTAAGAAACCCCAGAAGAAAAAAAAGACAATTCACCTCACGTTGCTATTTCACTCTTTCAAAGAAAATTCCAAAAATAAATGCAATGCGGCCTGTGTGGATCGAACACACGACCTTCAGATATCAAGTGACTTGAAGTTGAGGCTTCAGTCTGACGCTCTCCCAGCTGAGCTAAGGCCGCAAGCTAATTGGTTGAAAGACCGCCTGGCTAATTCAACTTGTCAATGGAGCTGTTCTCCCAAAATAGCGAAACGACCATTGGCATGTTTCATTTGCTTCCTGTTGACGAGCGTTGATGAGCATACTGTTGTATTATTCATTGTATGGGATTTTATTTGTTTTGGCCATAAAATTGGCAAGTTTCTTTTCGCAGCTGGTATCTAGACCCTTGCCAATACCTGCTGAGACCATCATTTTGACAGTTTCGTCTGCTAACTGACGAATTATAATCCTCTTTGGTTTTCTTCCCATAGCCTAGATCAACTCCTACCCTGAATCGAAAAGCTGGAAATGAGGGCTCCTATATGCCCATGTACAAATATTTATCTACCGCCCAAGACCTAGCCTCAAGTTAGAGCCGATTCACTCCGCATATACTCTCATATTCATTTCTTCCCCTTTTTCTCGTACTTCTCAAGCAGAGTCTTGCAGTTGGCTAGGTTTTTCTTTGGCTCCCACGTATTATCCTTGCTCGGGTATCCCTTCCATTTGACCTTGAACCAGTGCTGCATCGTTTCTGCATCAATCCTGGAGTCGACTATTTGCTCAACTTCCCACTCTTTGCGTCCGACCTTAGTACCTTGAGTAGACTCATCTCCCCTAGCGACCCTCTTTTTCCGTGGTGTTGTCGCCGTCTTTGCTGGCCGACCACGTTTTCCAACTGCGCCTTTCTGCTCAACTTTTCTTTGGGGCCGGAGCTCGCGCTTTGCGGAAGAAGACGGCTTCCGGGAAACAGGTTTAGGATCTTTCTTCTGAAGAGTAGCTAGGCGGAGTCTGGTCGAGGTTCTAGGTTCGGCAGACACTGTTGACACTTTTCTCGCCTTTTTGGGCTGCAGTGGACGTTCTGTGTCATCTTCCAGGGCATCACCGCGCTCCATGGGTGAAGGTGCCAGAGCTCCAACTGCACTGTAGATTGGCGAGAATGGAGAGTTGATCAGCGACGCGAACCGATAGGTCGATGATGGAATTGTTGGTGAGAGTACTGGCGAGTGCATAAGGTACGGCGATGAGGCTCGCTGATCAGTATCAATGTCGCTGAGAAAACTTATCGGGAGTTAGCTTTAGATTCACTGGATAGAATTTTCGAGCTCTTTACTCAGGCATGGCTTCTTCGTTATTCAGCCGAGGCATGGCTGCTGATCAATTGCCTCGTGGGAATATCAGCTTCACAGAACGAATCCTTTTTTTATGCGACCAGGTTCAGTTGAAAAGGCAAAGAAGGAAATATCCAAGCGTAGAAGATTATTTGTTTTTGGAGGCTGTTTGTTTGTTCAGGAGGAATGTTATCTCACGTGCGGTCTATGTATCGCCACGTGGGCGCATTGCAACCTCTCCCTTTCAGCCTGTGCTCTTCTCCTGAGGCAAATATGGACTCAAAAATGCCAACAAACTTAATTCATGATATTTGCTGAGTACCTAATCAATTTCTTGAGGTCAATGCCCAGTTCAACCTATGGATGCATGCTCGAAGTTTTTATATCTTTGATGCCAGGCTCGCAGGGAAAGACTCGCGATACAAATTGTCAGTGGGCAATTACTTCTATTCTACCAAATCCACACAGAGCCAACGTCTGTTCATCTAAGTATACAAGAACTCTGCCACTCGCTAAGACTCTCTCTAAACGTTATGAAACTTCAAACGCTATACCCTAAAAGACGCTTAGGCAGAGGGTGTTCAGGTATATATATATATAATCCTTCCAGTAGGGGTGCACTCAGTCAAGCTCCTCAACTTCGTCGTCATCGAGTTCACGGAATCTCCCTTCTTGCATTGCTTGCACAACAGGATTTTCGACGTCTATAATGCCGGTCTTCTTAAGTCTAATAGCCAACTGTCAGTTACCCAGTGATATTCGGGATACAAAGGATCTTACCGTTCAAAGAGCACAAATAACCTTTCTGCTTCGCGCAGCTTCTCGTCTTCAGTCATTGGTGGCAGCTCTGAAACCTTTTCCTGGTCCATAAATTGTCCAGTTATGGGATTCACCATCCTCTGAGCACCCGTGGAGTCGTCTGCGTTGAAGGTCGTTGACGCATTTTCAGGAACGGGCACGTTATTTTTGAACAAAAAGCCAGAAGCGAACCCGTATCCAACGTTCTCTACGAATTTCGATGCATCTTTATCCGATATCTCGAAGAGAAGGTGGGCAATTGTATCTCGCAACGCGGGTGTCATTGCGTTGGTAGAATTCTTCAGCAATCTTGCAGAGAGTGTCGTGCCTCTGCCGAGGACTGATTTCCGATCCTCTGTAGTTGGCAGTATTTTGCTGCCAATGTACTCGCGCACCGAGCTAGGAGCATGCTCACTAATTTTGAGCATTGCGCTGACTAGAGGAGTGACCGTGGTTTCGAGTTCATTGTCGTTATAAGTTGCCATTGCGGTATCGAGGAGAGATATCAGCCTAGCAGCAACCTTGTTGGGTTCGGAGCTTGGGTATATAACAGCTTGGTTTGTGGCCGTAGATATATCAAGGTTGATTAAGGCGCTGACCAATGGTCCAAAGGGCGAGTCCAGGGGCTTAGAACTTGGGATATCTTGCTTCCATAATAACGCAGCGATGTGTGGAACGGCAGTGTTGAAGTGAGAAGCCTCGTCTTTACAGAAGTGAGTGACGTTGAACAGCAGTTTGAGAGTTTCGGAGAGCGCCATGTCCTCCATAGGCTGTGGCTGCTGGGGTTTGGTGGCGGCCAGCTTAGCATGGCGATTGAGATTTTCCGTGATATTCTCGGCAAGATGATGCTCAGTAATGAGATTACTTAGATGCTCTTTAGTACCATAAGTGGAAAGCAATAAGACGCGGGAATGGAGAAACTCGTTATCCCAATTATCGGTCTTTAGTCCGTCACAGGCTTGCGTAGCGAATCCCTGGTCTACAAGCATCCGCCGTGTTTCGGCCTTTAGCAGCATGGAATTGGCCAGAACTCTCAAGGCAGCTCGAGACGTATCACTAGACGAGCTTTGGAAGCCATGCCGTAAGAGCATAGAGATACCCTTGAAAACGTCAGCCTAGACTTCATCGCGAAAAGGATTTTATACTGGTAGCTACTAACCTCCTTGGTGAAAATAGGATCTGCATTCCGGGCATCTCGTCCGTAGATCTTGAGTTCCTCCAATGCCTCATCTCGGTCTAAGAAACAGTTAAAACCGGCTCTCGCTAAGCCACATAAGATACCGGCCTCGACATACCTTTGGGGAGAAGCGAGGCTTTATCGAGATCTTCTGTAAGCTTATTGACCAGTTCAGTCACTGCCTTAAGCTTAGCTGTGTAGAGTTAGCGAGGCCATATGCAGCCATAAGCCTTTCGCGACGGCTGAATAGACTCACCAGGGCCCGTTGCCGTGCCCAACTGGACACCGGACATGATGAAGATTAAGCTGATTAAATGCTCGAGGAAATAGTCGTGCTGAGCCGGACTGCGCGTAAAAAGGCCCACGAATATCCGAGACCCAAAAAGGCAGTCCAAGGGTCAAGTGATGTGACGGCTGCTGGCTATAGCATAAACGGGCGTGTTTCTGATTGGCCGCCGACATGTAGCTGCGCAACTCACGAATATTAGAACCAGCAAGACGCCATCAGTAATTTGAGGGTGAAAGACTAGAGAAAGGAAGAGGTGTTGAGAACGAAGAAAAGGCGACGAAGAAGGTCTGACGATTGTTGGCCAAAGTCATGAGAGCCGGGCGTAGCGCACCAAAAAAGAGATTAATAAGACGGAGAAAGGCCCGTATATTTTCGGTCAGTTTCTAAGGTATTCTGATTTAATTTCGCCCGAGAGCCAGGGGTCGTGTTAGGTATTGACTCGGAGGCTCAGTGTTGCTTCAAACGTCGTCAACAGTGTAATCTGTCTGCCTTGTGCCGTAGGTACACAGCACAAACCGAACAGCTCAGCGCCCTTTTTGCTGCTTTCGGTACTGCCTCGGGCGCTGCTGTGGCGACTAACCAGCGATTGGTTCCGTGGCAGCTGAGATGGGCGATAAGCGACTGCTGGAGTATGCAAGTTGCTCCGGATTGCAAGCCCCTAATTGGGCTGCCGGTACCCAAGACAGCCTACATGTGAACACCAAATGCCTTGTACCCCGTGTCAGGCCCTCAGGTACCTTCCGCCGCTATCTTCTAGTGGGGGCAGCCACTAAAACGCGTGTTGAAGCGTGCACCGAGCGTGATCGCGTCTTGCTTAATTGATTTCTCGGTAAAATTCATGGGCCGTGTCACTCCGTACCTCTCCCCAGCTTCAACTTGAGGTTTGCAGCTCAGAGGTCGAGAGGCGCTATCCCGCTGCCACAACCGTACGGCTGCGATGCAAGTTTAGGTGGCCTTGGCGGTGACTCTTTTTCTCTGTTTCTCGAGTTTCAACCTATTTCGAACGGACCCTGCGAGATCCCAATGTCTAGTGGACGATCCTCCCTTGGCCGATTCACTGCTCTCTAGATCGCCGACGCTGCATCGCAGCAGCCATGGCATCTTCAGTAGCCCCGGCTCCAGCATCCAATCTCGAGACGCTTCTACCGCGGCCCCCGACGCCACCGCGAGAAACAGGCAAAGAAGGCGACGGGTTGGTCAAGTCCATATTGAGCCGCGCTCCTTCATCTGATCCTCAGGACAGCCTCCAGACTCCGCCGACTGCGAACACACCGACCTCGACCGATGCGCCCGACTCAAAATTGATGTCAAGTAGGACGAGGAAGAAAGTCGTATGGTCCGCACATACCGATTACAAGGACCCAGTTGACTATCGATCAATCGACAAGACTCACAAATCCTCACCTCTCTCGGTCCCCTCGCCGGCTTCGAGACCTATCAAAGGCATTCTCAAACCTTCATCTTCTCCGAACCGTCTCGCTCTATCGTCTAGTAGAGATTTTGATGCGACCTCAGGCCAGCCTAACATAATCGAAATGTTGGACTCAACAATCAAGCAGCTGGCCGGCTCTGATCGAGATTCAAAACTCGATGCCTATATGATGCTTTCAAGAGCCCTCAAGGCTTCCAATAACCTTCCCGATCGAGTTGCCTTACAAGACAAGATGAGCCTGTTCATGCAGTTTATCCAGCGCGATATGACGTCCAAAAGCAGCACTGGAGCACCCGATTCTTCACTAATCAACCATGCTCTGACGCTGCTCGCCACGTTTCTCCATTTCCCCGCCATCGCCTCGACCCTCACCTCAGATTTCGGAGTCTTTGTTATCGACCACTCTATCCGCGCGTTCGAAGACACCAACACTCCCAAGGATGTTGCTCGACATTTGATGCAAGTCGTTGCGTTCCAAAACTTTTCCGCCAAAGTCATGACGTCTGACCGAGTGGGACGACTGGTCACTGCAATGTATCAAATAGAAGACCATCTCACGGGCAAGAGCATCGTCATGAGCAGAATACATATATACAGGCGTTTGGTCAAGCAGTCAAGCTTGCATATGGTTACCCACTCAAACTGGCTCAAGAACCTACTTGCAGATATGCTTAGCTCCGTCAAGGATATTCGAGTCCAGGCCATTAGCCTCGCCACTGAAGCTGGGTTTGCCCTGCGATCTGAGAAGCAGTTGATGCGGAAAGCCAGCGAAATATTCCAAACAACGAACGAAGACCAAGCGTATATCGAATTCTATATCCAAAGGTTACAGGAAATGCTCAAAGACAGGCCAAGCGCTTCAGCTGTACCGCAGATATGGAGCGCCATTATTCTTTACATGCGATGTCCTTTGGAGAGATGGCAATACTACGGTCCCTGGCTGACTCTTGTCCAATCTGCTTTCAACACAACAGATTTTCTCACGAAACAAGAGGCAAACTTTGCTTGGAATAGGTACATCTACCTTACTTTGGCTGATAGCAAAGCTACCCCAAAGAACCTTGGGACCCTCTGCCAGCCTCTGCTAAGTCAACTTCGGAGACGTGCAAATCCTAAGCAGTTAGAAGAAACTGTGAAGCTCCAAAGGATAGTCATTGGTGGTGTATGCAACCTATATTACTACGCGTTTGCCCCAGGCAATGTCAAGTTCCCTCCCGACTCAATATGGGATGTTGCTGTCCAGCCTGTGTTGTCACAACTCATCAGCCTGGATGATAAGCCTGAAATTCCGGGCGATTGTCTCCTGCAAGCTGGTCGCATCTTGACAAGTCTTGTGGACGTCGCCACACCTCGTATCTGGAGACAGGATCGCATCATGGAGACAAGCCCCGCAAAACCTGATGAACTTCCGCCCCTGGACTCAAAGTGGGTGAGGAAGAACTGTGATAAGGTTTTCCAAACGGTTGGTCCCCTTCTAGAGAAAAGGTTCCTTGACTTGGCGAATAAGGACTCTTTGGTATTCCGCCTATGGCATGCGCTGGTCGGCTCAATTGCGGCAGCTTCGGCGAAGGATATCAAAGTCTCAGAAGATACTGCCAAATTCTTCGCTCATGCACTTGGACTGCTGTCTAAGATGTGGTTGGCTGGAGTACCGGAAGCTGATAACTCACATGGCCCGGCATTTCTATCTAGCGTCAAACATTTTATCGAAGTCCTTGTCAAAGCCCAGGGTATGCTTCCCTTTACTGAAAAGAAGCTTGCCATGACGATTGGCAATACCTTTGAGCCTATTGCAACACCATCTCAGAGCCTGGGTCGACCAAGCTCTCTAGGAACCGTCCGAACTCCACTGCAACACCTTTTTTGCTTGCTAGCTTCCGTCCCACAGAGTATTGCTGACGATGAAGTCCTGTCCGACTTCTTTCTATCCGTTTTTGAACCATTCTTTCTTGGTAAAGCGATCAAAGCTCGCTTAGAGCTATCGAATGAGCTTCTTCAGCTATTACCTAGAGCGTCGCCATCCCCCTATGGGCCTTGGGTATTAGCTGCACAATATTTCTCTTTTTCACTCGAGGATAGCGAAGCTACATCCAGTTTGATAGGGGGCGGTAAAATGCTAGGACCGAAATATCGAGACATCACTTCCTTACTTGAACGCGGCCTCTTCGGACACCCTCGGCTTCCTCTTGATAAGTGGTTCACGTTATTCGAACGGCTCTCTGAAAATGTGGTTCAGCAACTGGGTGATGCGGGGCGAGCACTCGCTGTTATCGAGCCCCTGGCAAAAGTGCTGCTAGACTGTCTTGACAGCAGCGTGGAGAAGCCGTCTTCAATCTCTCTTAAGGCAATACGCTCACTTTTCGATGCAGCCAAGCTGCCGCGAGATAAAACTGCTCTAAATACTGCTCGGCAGCGTCTATGGGGAGCTTCTGTGGTGGCCGCCCGAGTAGGCTCGTCTGATCCGTTTGACAACCTCTACAAGCTTGGGAATCAAGCTTTAGAAAGTTTCTACGGCAACTCTTCCATTTTCGATTTAGAGAATGATATTGTACCCTTTCTTGAGAGCATCAAGAGCTTCTTAGTGAGATGTTTCCCTCAGTCAGGTGTTAAAGCCTTTACAAAAGTCGAAGCTGGCCTATGTATGTGGATTGAGGATGACAAATCATGCTATGAACATGATGAAGAGTCACTTCTCTCAAAAACTGTAAGGTTGACTCAAATGCCGTGACTTATAATATTCATACTGACTAACTTTTTATAGCTCATTCATACATGGGATGGAATATCAAAGGAACTCGCTGGCCGCAAACATCTGACAAAAGACGAATTCGACGAGATAGAACCACTTCTGAAGTCTGCATTCAAAAGCAAACTTCCTACTATTGTTGACAAGGCAATTGAGCTGTGGAATGTGGTAGCTAAGGATGAAGAGAAGCTAGACTGCTCAGACAGTCTGAAATCGGTGGCCTCGAATGCTGGATCAAAAAAACAATCCGCGGAAACTAAAGCATTTGGAAAACTTGGTGGCGCGTTCGGAGCTCAGGCTTCTTCACTAAAGGGACTACCAGACGAAACAAATCTCGTTGTGCTCTCTTCAAATTCATCTCACCAGGCCGAGTCCACTGCCACTTCGAAAATGCCCACACGGATGTCAACTCGAAAGCGTCGCATGGAAGAAACCCCTGAACCGAGCCGTACAAAGCCGACGAAGCGAACCAGCACTCCTCGACTTCGTCACGACAATTCTCAGATCCAGTTTACTCTTGTTGCCTCATCGTCTCCGATACCTGAAGATGGTTCGCAACACCTTACGGAAAGACAGAAAGAAGTTCGAGAAAGGCAGCGTGAGACAGAAGCAGTCTACTCAGACATGCGGACAAGCTCTCCAGGTCCTGCCAAGGAGAGCTCACCCATACCAGATGAAACGGTGGCTTCTAATGACAAGCAGGCGGGAGAAACAACCCCACGCCACACCACGTCTTACGATAATCTAATCAGCTCAACACCAACCCCAAGGCGTGGCCAACTCCTAAATATGGATGATAACGATCCTCCGTCCTCACCCCCCATTCCACGGCCATACCCGCTCCTATCAGAGATTAAGTCTCGCTCTATGGCTGGCGGCTCATTGGACAGCTGGGAATTCTCATCGCCTCCAGGGTCGCCAGATCCCAGTGACCAAGAAGCATTATCGGATGTTCAATTGCCTGGAGAGAAGCCGACAAAGAGGTCTACTAGGAAAGCAGACACCAGAGCTAAGAATGCCAATGCCGGCCTGAGAGATGTTATTCCTTCTAGCCTCGGAGAACAAGACAATTCCTCCTCAGACTTGACGGACTTATCGGATCGAAATATATCATCTTCACCAGACCCCCCACCGCAACTTCTTGAAACTCCGACCAAGAAACGGCTAGTTCGTGAGGCTGTCCGTGTGGAAGATAGTCCAAGATCGGTCGACGACGAGTTTGTTGATGCTAGGAGTAGTCCTGAAAAGCCGTCGTTAGTACAGGCCAATGATACGTCGTTCGCGCTCAGCGAGGGAGATGAAACTCGAATGATGAAACTTGTAGAGGAACTTGAGTCGGGTGACCGCGCTGGCCTACAGAAAGAAACAAGCTCTGAAGACAGTTCTGACGAACGACCCAGCGCGCAGTCAGCAGAAACTCGAGCAGCATCGCCTCCAATGACCCGCGGGGCAGCTAAGCGCTCCCCCTCGGCCGCCATTCCGCTTGCTCCTTTGGAATCTCTTGGCAATGGCGAAGGAGGGAGCAAAAGAAAGAGAAAGCGAGGCGGATCCCGCCAAAGCAACAGCCGTTCAAAGAAGCAAAAGTCGGAGCAAAGGTCAGAGAATATAGAAGCGACAAAAGAGAGAGAGACAATAGTGGCGAGCGAAAAGGAAACTCCCGAAACTCCTTCGGTGGGTGTAGAGACCAGGGGAAGCGCACGAAGACAAACCGAGCAGCGCCAGCGAGAGGATAAGACTCCACGCTCACAAAAACGATCAAGCAAGCGAAATAAGAAAGCGCGAAGCGAAGAAACGGACGATGAGGTGATGTCGCAGCTGGTGAATGAATCTCAAGCAGTGGTTGAGAGCCAGAAATCAAACAAGAGTACAGAAGAGGAGGTGCCTGTCACTGAAGATGGACCTCGTCAACCAACGAAACACACGGATGGGAACGCTACGGCAGCAGACACGGCAGAGAGTGAGCCGCAAGCCAAGATCCTGGCGATTATGGAAACGCTACAAACCAGCTTGGCGCATCTACGCGATGTAGCACTGCCCCGAAGCGAAGTATATAAAATGGAAGACATGTTGATGGATTTGAAGCGAGAATTATTCGAAGCAGAGAGACGAGGAAGGGACAGCAATTAGACATGAGGAGGCAGCATGAGGAGGAGGAAAAATCTTACGGCAAGCATAATGCTGCATCACACGGCGTCTGGGATGTTTTTTTTTTTTTTTTTTTTTTTTTCTTTGGCTTTGTTGCTGTCATTTGATAAAAACTGTGTCTTTTACTACGTTCCTTGTTATTAGGCATCGGCTGATTTTTTGGCTGTATGGCATGGGGTGTATGGATACCTATTAGATGCTAGAATTTTTGTTCTATGGAAGTGGATAATCTGCTTGCATGGAGGTAGATATTGGAAACGGCCGCAAGGAAATATATCGGCCTGAATATTCACACGATCTGCTGCCCCTGATGCTATTTTTGATTATTTCTCATTGAGTAAACATTTCCATTAACTCAAGTAAATTGAACGCCACCCTGGATTTCATTTCTTTCCTCAACGCCACCCACATCCTATCAAATCTCCCCTTCAGACAAGTTTCACGAGGCCAAGTTGTAAAGCAGTATCGGCCAACATCATCACCATGACGAGAATAGAAAGAAAAGAAAAAACTGAGTCAGCTCGGCCGAATCGAAACGGGCTGCGGACAGGAACCGCATCCCGCAGTTCCTTGGCTGCTTGGGTGTCGTTCCTTCGGATAACCTAAATAGGCAGTCCGGCGGCAGCTCACCGATGTCAAGCAGCCAAGTCCCGAGGCACACGCACGCAGGAAAGGCGCTTATGCCGGTAGATCCATAATTTTTTTTTTTTCTAAACATGGGGGTTTAGGACTGTGATAGTTTTTCGCAAAAGAAACAAAGTGGGTGGCTGCCTGGCGCAGTGAGAAATGACTGGCTGAAGGCTGAAAGGATAGGAACTCCATACTGCAGCTATACGGAGTCGCATGCTTGATCGTATGTAAAACTGCTACCTGGTTGGTTATCTGGCTGGGCTGCAGCTTCAGAAAGAGGAAAAAAAGTCGCCTGTGGTGTAAAGAAGGCGATGATCTCCGATCCTAAATGCTAGATTCCCTTGCTTGCTTTCTATTCATACAAGCCTTGTTGATCTTCATCCATTCAAGGGCAATGGGAGGCCGCTATGGAGATGTAGATGCATAGACCATGCAATCAATACAAGCATTCCAAGCTGAACGGCAATTGATGCAAGGGCACACACTCAATAAACGCTTGCTTCTGTTCTCAGAAATCCTGGATGAGCCCATTTAGGCTCCATTTCATCGCGGCAAGTGACGTCAAAAAGGAATAGCTGTTTTTTTGTGGGCATCTCGACGCCTTGCCGGCTTGCTTCATGTAACGGAGTCGATGTGGGCCTTCGGGTGTAGGTATTCCATGTGAGAGAAAGCCGACGATGGGCACTACGGAGTTCAACTTATGCCCATGCCGTATCAGGGAATACGGAGCTCCCGACGCAGAAGCTATCCGTCAGCTACTCCTCCAAGGCTGACACCATCGTGAGATTGCAAAACCTGGAGTAGCATGCATGATGTTTCCTGCGTAGAACAGTCTGGACCCTTTTGCGCCCGATGCGCTGAAGGGAGACTTGACTTCGTTTACCCCAGGTTTTTTCATACTGCTCGTGTGCCTCGGATCACTTCTTTGGGGATATCCAGAAGACTGAAAATAAGGGAAGGGGGATAGATTCAGTGGTGGCTGTCTGGGGAAATCTGGGGACGACTTTTCCTGGGGAGCACGCGAGATAAGACAACAAAAATTGGGACGCGGGGAGAATGATTCGAGACTGGAGCGATGGACCCTCCCCCGGATTTTGCACGTTTCTCATCTCAGCGCAAAGTGCAAAGCGATCTGATTAAGCCTTTTCTTCACACTTGGAGATTGATTCATCACGACATATCGTGAAATGACTTGCCCGGCATTGAGTTATCCGCGCTGTAGTCTGAAGACTGGCCGATGCAGCGATTCGCCCTGCACCACCAGGAGAAGGCGGCGATGTTACGCGCGCTAGCATGCACCGATCAGCTAGCGCCTAGAAGCCAGATGTGCCTGAGTCTTTGTAGCTTCTTCCGATGCTGCATTTCTCCTCCTCCTCTTCTCTGCTGACCGATCCGCCCCGACCTCCCGTACACACCAAGTCAGCGAGCTAGGCTTACCGACCGGAAAGATTTGAAAGACATGTTCTAGCAAGGGGCGGCGAAGTTTAAGCCCAAGACAGGAAGTCGGGTTTCCCAGCTGGTACACGCCACCGGCGACAGTTGCGCCCTCGACGCTGAAACTGGCTTCCGTATTGGAGCCAGACTTTTCGGTACCTCACATGAATGAAGAGGTGGCCGATGCCGATCCTTGACTCTGCATGTTGTGATGCGGTTTTGTCCTCTTTTTGCGTTGTCCCTTTGTCAGAAATCGCCTGCCAAGACCCCTTTGATTCCCACCGAGATCCACCATCTGAACTATTAAGCTTGAATCTGATTCGGCGGATGACGTCGCTATTTCCCCACGCTTCTCCAGAAACCGCTGTGTGTGTACAGTATGTGTGCCATCACCAGTTTTTATTCCCAGCAGCGGCTTTTATTCCATGGGGGGTTGGCCGGTTGGCTTTGACGGGCAGGAATCTGCCATGGTGGAATCAATTCTGTCATGCTCGTAGATTTGAGTATCACAGACCAGCAATAGACGATTTGGCTTGTACAGGATGAACGGCAGCTACTACTAGTAGAAATGCAATTAGCATTGAATTATACGACTCAGTGCAAAGGATGAGAGGTATGGACGGGGAACTTTAAGTGGATTTGTCCAGCCTATTGCAACACTAGAACTGCTAGCGAGCAGGGGCTAAAACGAACGAAGGCAGTAGTTACGCCATCTTCGGTGCGAATACTTGGAGAGGATAGAGCACAAGTGCAAGTTTTTCTTGTCTTATTTTTTTCTCGACGCCGTATGATCATGTAGATGGTAAGGAAAATGTTGTAGAAATGATATATGAAATGACTGCCTCATAAATTAGGTGTGCAAGTGGTAATACACACGCCAGAGCAGGCGCGACTGAAGCAGCGTCATCTGGCATCTCTCGCACGTGCAAGGCGGTGGACTGATATTGCCATGCACAAAATGCATTTCACCTGCCTGGACAAAGATCGCCGCCTCGTCTTCTTCTCCACGCCATTGGCCTGCAATTCCATCACTCCTCGCACGTTGGCGCCTCTCACTCGACAAGGCGGCCAGCTAATGACATGAACTAAATCCTAGTGCAAAACACGCCCATGGGGAGCGCAAGCGCCACTCGGCCGGCTTGCTCAATTGCTCCATCGAGACGACTAATACGGAATGCCTACAGCACTCACTTCATCTTCTCACTTCCCGGGAACGGCCATGGGAGGTCCCAGAGAGACTCGGCGCCCCCAGTTTTTTTCTGTGGATGGGGCCATCCATCTTGCTCGAGGCTCGTACTTGTACTCCCATGTCAGTGACCCGGTTTGTCATTCAGCATGTGTGCGCGATGCGACTTAAAAGGGCCTTGCAGCTCCCTCCTCGAAGGTGCTGATCTTGTCTCACTGAGCCCAGGATCCTCATCTGCTTCCTTCCTTTATTTCTTCTCTCTTCGCAAGGACAAAAGAGCACTCTCAAAGAAGAAACAAGGGAAGAGCTCATCAGAGCAGCAACATCAGCTGAACCAAGAGATCGCGCTCTCTGGAGATTAAAGCTACCGTCATGGGGAAATACTTTGGCCTCAGAGGCCAAGCCCTCAACTGGGCCATTGGCACCATTGCTGGCTGCGACTTTCTCTTGTTTGGTTACGGTATGTCTAGGAAGACTATGGCTCATAAGCGATTGTCGTTATTGTCTAACAATTCACAGATCAGGGTGTCATGGGAGGTATCCTGACGCTGCCCATCTTCCTTAACCAGTTCCCCGACATCAATCCAGATCTTGCTACGGATCCCTCTGATGCATCCAGGCGATCTACTTACCAGGGTATTGCTGTAGCATCTTACAATCTGGGATGCTTCATTGGCGCCATCATCACCATCTTCATCGGCAACCACCTCGGCCGTCGGAAAATGATCTTTCTCGGTACTTCCATCATGATTGTTGGCGCCATCTTGCAGGCTTCTGCTTTTACTCTGGAACACTTCATCATCGGTCGTATCATAACAGGTCTTGGCAATGGCGGCAACACATCAACGGTACCCATGTGGCAGTCTGAGACGTGTTCCGCCCACAAACGAGGGAAACTCGTCATGATTGAAGGTGCCCTCATCACGGGCGGCATCATGATTTCTTATTGGATCGATCTTGGCTTATCCTTTGCCCCTGGCTCGGTTGCTTGGCGATTCCCCTTGGCTTTCCAGATTGTCTTCTGCATCTTCATTCTTTGTTTTGTCCTCGGCCTGCCTGAGTCGCCTCGATGGCTCATTCTCAAGGGTCGCGAAGATGAGGCCAGAGAAGTTATCGCTGCCGTTTCAGACGTTGACATTGGAGACAAGCATGTAGACAACGAATTCCAAGCCATCAAGGAAACTGCCATGGAGATGAGCAAGGGCACTTATGGCGAGCTGTTCCATGCCGACCACAACCGCACTCTCCACCGTACAATCATCGCCTATGTCAACCAGATGTTCCAGCAGATTTCTGGTATCAATCTCATCACCTACTATGCTGCCAAGATCTACTCTGACCTCGGCATGTCCCCCTTCATGTCTCGCCTTCTTGCGGCTCTCAACGGTACCGAGTACTTCATCGCTTCTTGGCCCGCTGTCTTCCTCGTCGAGCGAGTTGGACGCCGAAAGCTCATGCTCTTTGGTGCTGTTGGTCAAGCTGTCACCATGGCCATTCTTGCCGGCGTCAATTCACGCCCGGATGAAAAGCCTTTCCAGATTGCTGGCATCGTCTTCTTATTTGTTTTCAACACTTTCTTTGCTGTTGGATGGCTAGGAATGACTTGGCTATACCCAGCTGAGATCACCCCGCTACGAACTCGTGCTCCAGCCAACGCTCTGTCCACTTCGTCCAACTGGATCTTCAACTTTTTGGTATGGGTTTCGTTTTTAATCAAGTAATTTGCTATGCAATGCTAACATTCTATTACTAGGTTGTCATGATCACCCCCGTCTCATTCACCAACATCAAGTGGAAGACGTATGTCGTATTTGCCGTCCTCAACGCCTTTATGGTTCCTTGCGTCTACTTTTTCTTCCCCGAGACAGCCTACCGCTCCCTCGAGGAGATGGATGCCATCTTCCAAAAGGTCAAAGGGTTCAGCGGGGCCTTCGACGTCGTTCACCAAGCAAGAATCGAGCCTCGGCGATATGGCAAAAATGGAGAGCTTCTTATCGCTGTGGATGAGCTTGATGAGAATGAGAAAGCTAATGCAGAGCACCACAACGGCAGCACGAGTGAGGGCAGCGATGCCAACAAGGGCATGTTCACAGGCATAGACGAAGAGACTGCTCGGGGATGAATAGCATGCATCGCACAGGGCATGATCCCGCCTTTTGGCGTGATGACTATTTAATCCTTCTTGCACATTTTTATTGCATGCGTTTGCAGTGGTTTATATTCTTGCCTGGCTTTTCTTGTTTCCTTTTCTTCTTGTTTCCCTTCTCTTTGGAGGCCCTCCACATTGATGGGGTTACTTTCATATATACCCAGTTGTTATACCCAGTTTCATAGCTAGCAAAGGCTAGGAGAATGGGCGTTGCCCTCGAAGGACCCCGTGTGTCATGATTTCTAAGGGCAATAGATAGGATATACGAATTGGATAGGAAGGCGATGACGATTAGATTTGATCCAGTCGACATGTCAACTCATTATATATTCTTTCTGCCTATCTTTTTGCTGTCCTCTTCCTATCTGTTCATGGCTGTGTGCATGTATGAATCAAAATTTGACATCCGTTGCAGCTCCATTGCTAGAATAGGGTGCGACAGCACGTCGCCGATACCGCCTCTTTGACAGGAAATACAAGGAGGGTATTTATGCAGTAATTGCTTGCATCGTGAGAATGTGACGAGTTTCGCTGGCTCTTGTGACTGCGTTTCAGGTTGATTGCAAAACAGAGGCTTGTCCTCTTACAAGATTCGCAACGTGCCCATGACGGCAAGTAGCTGTACTCCAACATCAACGTTGTTTCATATGCATCGGTGAGTACTGAGTACGAAGTGGAGGAAGAGGGGTGTAATTGCAACGCTGCAACAGCTACCCCGCCATATGGAGCTAATGCCGATGCAGTCACTCGTCCTTTTCAGCTTCGTCTTGCCGCGAGCTTCTTCCATTTCTCATCTTTTCCATCTCGTCTTTGTACAGTGCAGTTGATTGTGTTAGCGGGTAAGACTGCTGTTGCTTTTCTGTCTCTTGCTCGAATGCTTGAGAAATCTCGTGCTGATTCATTGCGCTTAGAATTAATTGCCCACTTCGAAGCCCTCCTGTTTACCATCTACATACATCACCACTCTCGATCGATACTCTGAAATATATCGCTACTTGCAAAGCACAATCGCATCATCATGGTCGACCGCCCCAACAAACCCTCGGCTCTGGCGGCCACTCCTGGCCTGCAGCCGCAAGCTCAGGTCACCATCTCACACGGCAACTCCCGCGTTTCCGCATCGCTCCCCTCGGGCGAGAGCATCGAGATTCTTCTGTATGGCGCCACCGTGCTGAGCTGGAAGGACGCCTCTGGCGATGAGAAGCTGTGGCTGAGCGAGGGTGCAAAGCTGGACGGAACAAAGGCTGTGCGGGGAGGCATCCCCCTGGTCTTCCCGGTATGTTGCTCCCTAATTCGAAGCTGAGGATACGAGTTGCGATTCCTTTCCTTGTTCTCTCTCACCCGTTGGATTTATGAGCGCAGGGAGCCATTTTCAAAGTGTTTCTGTTTCTAATTGCTGCCTCTAGGTCTTTGGCACTGCTCCCGATCACGAAGCCACCTCCAAGCTGCCTCAGCACGGATTCGCCCGCAACTCCCGCTGGGAGTTCCTCGGCAAGTCCACCAGCGAATCATCCTCCAACAGCGTCAAGCTCGACTTTGGCCTGTCATCCGAGAACCTTGACGAAGCCGCCCGCCAGCTGTGGCCCTACAAGTTTGGTCTCCTGTACAGCGTCACGCTTGACCGTGAGAGCCTGAAGACGGCGCTGGTGATTACGAACGAGGGCGATGTGCCATTCGAGTTCCAGACACTGCTGCACACGTATTTCAGAATCAAGGTAACGCATTATGCCCAGATATGCTCTTTGCGGTTTGGATACAAAAATACTGACTTGAGAATCGTTCAGGACATCTCCTCCGTCCAAATCGCCGGCCTCGAAGACTCCCCCTATGTCGACAAGGTAGACGCCGCAAAGGCAAAGACCCAATCCTCCGACCCAGTCGCCTTCTCGGGCGAAACCGACCGCGTCTACACCCCTGCCAAGGGCCCCAGCCACCCCGTCGTCATCAGCGAGGGCGGTGCGGCCAAGTTTAGCATTGTGCGCGACAACCTAGACGACGTGGTTGTCTGGAACCCGTGGATCGACAAGGCCGCTGGTATGGGCGATTTCGAGCCCAAGGACGGCTGGAAGAACATGGTCTGCGCGGAGGCTGGCGCGGTGAGCTCATGGCAGAAGCTAGAGAAGGGAGATGCGTTTGAGGGCGCGCAGACTATTTACTTGAAGTAAGAAATGAGCATATATCTGTAGACAAATGTACACGTTCACGCTTGCAGTGCACTGTCCCAGTATATCAACACGCATGTTGATCAGGATTGCATTTGAAAAATGAAGCTGAGTTGTGATTTCCCATTAAGAAAATGTCATTATACCTTTGCATTGCAGATTTCTTTCCGTCACGTATGTTGTTGTTTTTTTCGTCTCATTTCATCTTTCGTAGTACGACGTATCCAACTCGTAGCCTGCTTATATACAAGGAAAGAAAAGGGAGACATAATTTCGTCCGTCTGGTGTACGTTTTCCTTATTTTTTTAATCATTCTTTTTCTACCATTTTCGTTTGGAGAATTGCTTGTGAAAACAATGTATATATAATTCATATACAATGCCATCTCTCACTGTCTCAATTTTCCTTGTATCAAATTTCATGTTTCATTCTCTTTCATTGTCTTTTCCTCATTTCTTATGTTCCCGGGAGTAGTGGTCCGCCACCAAGAAAGCCAGCTCAAGAGCCTGCTTCTCATTCAATCTCGGGTCGCAGAAAGACGTGTAGTTGGTCGAGAGGTCATCCTCATCAAGGCCCTCGCTGCCGCCCAGACACTCGGTAACCGCATCGCCGGTCAGCTCCAGGTGCACGCCGCCGAGGTAGCTGCCCTCCTCCTTGTGGATGCGCAGCGACTGCTCGAGCTCGCTGTAGATGTCGTTGAAGCGGCGGGTCTTGATGCCGGTCGGGGTGGACAGGGTGTTGCCGTGCATGGGGTCGCACTGCCAGACGACGCATCGGCGGTGCTCCGAGTCCTCGACGGCGCGGATGTGCTTGGGGAGCAGCTCGGCGACTTTTCCGGCGCCGTAGCGGGTGATGAGGGTGATTTTGCCGGGCTCGCAGGACGGGTTGAGGGCGCGGAGCAGGGCGAGGATGTCCTCGGTCGGGGTCGAGGGGCCGACCTTGATGCCGATGGGGTTTGCGATGCCGCGGAAGAACTCGACGTGGGCGTGGTCGAGCTGGCGGGTGCGGTCGCCGATCCAGACGAAGTGGGCGGATGTGTCGTAGTACTCCTTGGATTCGCCGCCGGCCTGGAGGGGCTTGATGGTTGGTGATGAGCTTGGGGGCGTGCCGGGCCTGCTGACGCCCGGATGGGTGGGCTTCTCGAGGAGGCGCGTCAGGGGCTGCTCGTATTCGAGCAGGAGGCCCTCGTGGCTGGTGTAGAGCTCGACGGTCTCGAGCTCGCCGGGGCGGGCGTTGATGACTTGCAGGAAGCGCAGCGTCTGCTGGATGCTGGATGCGATTTTGGAGTACTTCTCCTTGAGCGCCGGGTCGCGGACATGGCCCAGGCCCCAGTCAAGGGGCCGGTGCAGGTCGGCAATGCCAGAGGCGAGGGCTGTGCGGATGTAGTTGAGAGTAGCAGCAGAGTGGTGGTACGCTCTTTGAAACGATGAGGTTAGAGACTGACAGAAGGTGAATTGGGTTCGGGTTTGAAACGAGACTCACTTGAGGAGACGGCCGGGGTCAATCTCACGCTCGTCGACGTGGTAGCCGTTGAGAATGTCGCCTCTGAAGCTGGGCAGCTCCTGGCCGTTGACCATTTCCGTCGGGCTCGACCGCGGCTTGGCGTACTGGCCAGCCATGCGGCCAATGCGAACGACGCGCTTGTTGGTGCCCCAGATGAGCACGAGGCTCATCTGCAGCAGCAGCTTGATCTTGGACTCGATGGCGCCCTGCTCGCAGTAGTCAAACAGCTCGGCGCAGTCGCCGCCCTGCAGCAGAAAGGCATTTCCCAGGGCGACCTCGCGCAGGTGAGCCTTGAGGGCGTTGATCTCGTGGGGGTGCACCAGCGGCGGCATCCGCGAGAGCTCGGCCGTGGCCTTTTGCAGCTTGGAGGGGTCGGGATAGGTGGGAGACTGCTTGATGGGCTTTGAGCGCCACGAGGAGGGATCCCATGGCTGGGCGGCGGCGTCTTGGTGGGCCATTGTGAGGATGATGAATGAAGAATGAAGAATGAAGAGAATCAAGGAAAAGGAGCCGAGACTTGAAGCCAAAAGGCCTGTCTGTCTGTCTTGGTCCCTGCTGCGATGCAGAAATGCGTCAGCCAACTGCTGGTCTGTGGACCTCGATGTTTGATATCAATAGGATAGATGGAAGCATCAAAACTCACTCTGATGAAGATGTCTTTGCAGCAAATTACTTTTTCAGAAGCCAAAAACAAAACGACTCGCCAGATGCACGCACCCAAATTTAAGCCCTGGTGTAAATTGATCTGTGAGAAAACACAGAAAGATGGGCGGTTAATATGAAATATGAGTCAGTGGGACATTCCAGGTTTCGGGATTGAAATCGTTGGTACGGCAGCTGTCATTGAGTACGTACCTTTTTTTAGAATTTTTTTTTTTTCCTTCTTTTCTTTGGAACGATGATCCTTGCATTGGCCAATTAGAGGCGATGCCACATGCCGTGCAAAATGGTTAGTCATCCTATTGTACTCTGCCGCCACCAACGTTGTTTCTAGGATGCTATCAACGTCTTACAGGCACAATGACACAATATCTGGGGTAATCCTTCATTATTGCGTTTCTGCTATTGAGTTGGTAGCGCCCAAGTTGTCATTTTAGTGAAAAGGCCCGCATCAGTTGCATAAGCTCAGCATCAGGGATCCAACCAGAGCACAAGGCCAAAGAATACTTTAATTATGAGCTAAAGACGAATCTAAATGGAAATAGAAGTAGTAGAAGATGATAAGAATATCAAATATAGCAGATTGGTTCTATTAGAGTGGACGAGCTATATGGACATGTCATAAGCTAGGCTGAAAAGCACTAGGTTAGTACATGATTTGAGTGCCTGTGCCTATACTACTAAACAGTGACGAGTTCGTTCAGGAATTGGCAGAAACACTTTTGGAGCTCTTTTATTTCATACTCTTGGAATATATTCCTGTTAAAGACACAAGAAGAGAGTATTGTTGTTATACTTGGCGGGTTGCATCAAATCTCATCCATGTAAGCAGCACCTCCATCTACCCCTCCTAAAAAGACCCCCTCCTCCCAAAGCCCAAGCTCAAGGTACATCACCCAAGTATCTTTTCTCAACCACCAACTGCTTTTCCTCTCCCAAGCTCCAAACTTCAAGTAAACAAAAACACAAACCCAACCATCCAACAACCCACCAAAATGTCCTCCGCCGACGCCTCAGACCAGCCGCCCCTCCCCAAAAACGCCGAAGACCGCAAAGCCGCCTCGGCCCTCGCCTCGCTCGATACGCCCTCGGACGCAGCAGCCACGCCCTCCAACGACAACGTCAACTCCGAGGCCGTCTCCCAGGCCATGCTCAAGCTCGGCGACGACAAGGCCAAGAAGCCCGCCGCCAACACTGCTTCTGCTGCTGCTGCTGCTGCTGCACCCGCGGCGGTTAAAAAGAACGTCAAGGTCGACGCCGCGGACGTGGCCCTCGTGGTGGACGAGCTGGAGGTGACAAAGGCAAGGGCGACGGAGCTGCTAAAGGCACATGATGGGGATGCTGTTGCTACGCTGAGGGCTGCAGCGAGAGGATGAGCAAAACAAAGAAAAACAAGGAAGGAAAGGAAAAAAGAGAAAGAGAAAAAAAGACGATATACATGTGTAACTGAAACCACGACTTTGGACGAAATAAAGAAAGAGAAATACCTACAACTACAAAAGTGGTTGCCCTGCGGTTTGTTTTAACAAAGACTTGTTACTGCCGCGTGGAGAATATTATGGCCTTCAATTGCTAAAGACACACACCGATTCGCAAATGTTTCGATACCTCGAGTCTTCGACATGACTACGGGCTGCAGCAATGACTTGGCTTTGTCTGTTACTAGACCATCTACAGCAATCAACACAAAAGGCGATTAGAATCAACCAACACATCATCCCCGCCAGCCAAGGATCAAACCGGGAATCACGTCACGACTAGATTAGTAGCGAGCAAGTAAAATTACATGTACTTTTTCATGTTTATATTCATGACCTTCAGCTAAATAAAGGCGGCTTGTGAGTTCCAACATCTGTCCGCTTGCCACGCCCTTATAAACAATACCAATGTGTGATATCTCAACACCTCAAAACGCCTCATCGCCCATTTCATTGCCTTATTTGTGTCATAAAGATTTCCCCTTTTGTTTTTTTTTTTCCAAAGTGAGTGACTAAACCAATGCAAGCGTCTCTGTCTGTCTGTTTTTTCTGTTCTGTGTGTCCGTTTCCCCATGATCCATGAAAATAGCCGTCAACGTTCATCATCGGGCAAGACCCGAGCCAAAGAAAAAAAAAATATCAGCTGAAAAATGAAGGGACTTCGATTTACACCGACTGTCCAAGCTCATTGTTGCCATATACTACCAACCCCTACTGCCACATCTTGGCCAGGGGACTGCCCACCTTGGGCGCAAACTGCAAACTCTTGCGCCGAGCAGCCATCAGCCGCATCATCACATTCTCATCACTGTCCCTGGACAGAATGCCACCGCCGAGCTCCACAAACCTTTGTGCCTTGGGTGGACAGGTTCGCGTCATCAACTCTTCTCTCCTCAACGACGGGCTCTCGTCATCCTCATATTCATCCACGTCTTCAAGGTTGGACGGTGTCTCAGTAGCAAACTTCATAAGCGCTTCTGGAGCCGGCGTCTTGGGCACAGGGGTCAGAATCAGGTTGGACCATTCAATGTCCTCTTCTTCCTTCTCCTCCTGCTCCTCGCTAGTATCGGACGGCGTGTGGATCCAGATGCTGCTCTGCCTACGATTGGGTGTTTTGGGAGAAGATGAAGCAGGAGGCGCCGACTCCCGCCTCCCCTTGGGCGAACCGCTGACTGCAGAGCCGTTCTGGTTAGAGACAGTCTTGGGTTCCATGCTCTTCCGGCGGCGTGCGCCTCCGCGAGGAACGTAGCTTGTGTCGATATGGTATGGCGACTCGTCAAGCCACTCGTTGTCACGCTCGCAGTCCAGCACCCAGCTCACACCCACGCACTGGACCACTCCGTTGGCCTCCCTGACCTTCTCCAGAGTCCGCTTACTGCCATCTTTGAAGACGACGTGGGTGATGCCCACTTTAGTTGACTCGCTGTTGCTTGCGCTGTTGGGGTTCCAGTTCCATTTTTGCAGACACCGGGCGCCCATCTGGGTGAGCAGCTCAACAAAGATGCCACTCGCATCCGCGCCTTCGCTTGTGTGAACATCGACAAAGACAATGGCCCCACGAAGCAGGTTGGAGTTGAGGTCTTTGCGAGGAGTGCGCGCTGGTGTCCCAAACTTTGCCCATAAATCTGCCTTGGATTCTGGCGTAGACGGTTCAACAATCTGCTCAGGCGTTTCCACCTTTGAAACCTTTTCTGCTTTCGCTGGTGGCGTAGACGGCTCAACTCTCTGTTCAGGCTCCTCGGAAATGGCGCTCACATTCCGTGAGCTTCGCCTTAGCGGCTGCTGCTGCTTCTTTGGAGAATAAGACAAGACCGGGGCACCTCGCTTCGATTGGTCGGGGCGCCTTGGAGCAACACGCGAGGCACTGAAGCTCTTCTTTTTCAGTGGACTTGGCGTTGAAATATCGGCTGGCTTGGTCGGAATTTTGGTCGTTGTGTTGAATGATCGTGTCATAGGACGGCCAACGGGAGTTACGGGTGCCGCCGCCCGAGGCTCTGGAATAGGCCCAGGGCTCTCAACTGGGACTTGGTTCTCATCTCCATACTCTTGGCTAGCATCCGATAGGCTATCATCAAAAGATTGACGAGTATTGGATGCATCTTCGCCCTCCATAGGATCCGACAGAGTCATTTCGTTGGTCTCTTGAACAAGAACTGTATCTTCGTCCATGATCATAGTGTCTTCTTCCAAGTCTTGCTCGTCAATATTCTCTGCGATTTCATCTTCAAGATTTTCATAGTCCTCAGTATATGATGGCTGAGGTTCTTCTGCGAACGAAACAGCTTGTTTGACAGGGCTTGCAGCTGACCAAGAGCCGAGCTGGTCAGATAGAGATGAGAATCCCAGAGTAGACCTGCGAGACCCCTTCATGGCACTGGCACGGGTCCTTGGCGTTGTCTCTTCAAGGCTAGAAGGCGTGGCTGCAAGTCTCTCAAATGCAAGCGTATCATCTGCATCTTCAGCAAATGAGCTCATATCATGGCAGGGATCCAGATCTTTCTCTCGGAGCTGGTAGAGGGTATCTGCTGCTGGAGTCTCGGCTTTTGGTGACGAATCAGTATCTTCGCCTTCTTCTTCCTCTTCCTCGGCGGTATGGTCGTCAAGAACCATTGTATCTTCTGAATCGTCCTCATCTTCATCCCCATCCTCATTTTGGCCTTCATTTTCATCTTCATTTTCATCTTCGTCTGCATCCATATCCTCAGTTTCGGCCGGCACATCATTAGACTCTTCTGTTGCGACAATGATACTGTCTTCGGCGGCATCCTCTGCCTCTTCTTCGGTCTCTTCCCCGGCGTCTTCCTCTGCTTCCAGAGTTTCTGGAATGGCAGCGTTCTGTAGCTCTCCTTCCTCTTCCTCTCCCGCCCCCTCTTCTTCATTTTCAAGCTCAACCTCCACTTCCGCCTCTGCTGTCGCGTCTCTTTCCACTTCCACTTCCACTTCAGCTTCACCCGCTTCTTCTTGCGCCTCATCCTCATCCTCTACTTCATCTTCAATTTCCGCCTCTTCCTCATGATCAGCTTCAGCCTCATTTTCCACTTCAGCCTCTACCTCTTCTTCCACCTCTTGCTCTGTAGAGACTAAATCGGCTCGTCGGAATGGCGCGGTGGATGGGCTCTTGGAAAATCGAAGATCTATGATTGGGACCGCAAAAGGGTCATCTTCCTCATCTTCGTCTTCGTCTTCTTCGACCAAGAGCTTTTGTGAAGATTTGGCTGGCCGAGATGGAGTCGCAATAGGAGACTCATCCAGAGTTGGGAGATTTGACTGTCGAGTGTCTGAGAGCGATTTGAAGCCTGGGAATGCTCGCTTTGCAGGCGATTGGAGCATGGAAGCCTTCGTTGTTGATTTTGTTTCATTTTCTGGCTGCTTTTGAGCCGAGAAGATAAAGGGCTTCATGGGAGACTGCGGTCGCTTGGCGGCTGACTGTAGGAGCGTTGAAGAAGACTTGAAAGGTGTTTGGGCAACCGTTTCATTGCTCAGCTTTAATGTAGATCCTGGCAATGGCATCGCAACCCTCTTAGCGGGAGACTTTATTGTATCTCGGGGTGGCGAAGTAGGTCGCCTGGCTGGCGATCCAAAAAGTGTTGCATTAAGCTCCGGCAGATCAAACATGGCCGTGTTCACGGCAACAGTTGTCATCTCGGGCTCAATATCAATAGGTGCGATTTCTGACTTCTTGGACGGAGGCTTGATCGGACTCTTTGTCAACGGCTTCTCCAATGACAATTCATCCTCAGAGTCATATTGTGTAAGAGTCAACTGCGTAATCTTCTTGGGGCTGAGTGGCTTCTTGCTGCCGGCCTGAGGTTTCGATGGCTTCGCGGCAGGTCTTGTCGTAGTCCGGGCTGCTGCCGCACCGCCTCGTCGTGCTGGACGACCACGCATACCAGTCGGAGCAGGCTCCGGTGGACTTGCGGCGGGCTCTACATTCTCTTTATCGGGCTCTCTGAATTTTACCACCTTCTTGACCGGCGGCTTATTGGCTCCTGTTGTTGTCGTTGTGGCTGACTTCATCACTGTGGGTGGACGTCCGCGCGTCGCCTTCTTGGGCGGCTCAGGCTGCTTGTCGCTTTCTTCGGGCTTGGATACAACTTTTCTCGGCCGGCCTCGCGTCGGCTTCGGCGCCGTTGACTCTTCTTTTGCGGTTTCTGACACTCCTTTTTTTGCCGTTACTTTGGCTCGTGATGCTCCGGTAGACGCCATCGCTGAAGCTGCACCTGCGGGCTTCGCAGCGCCATTATCCTGTTCCTCGACCGGCTTCTTGGGAGGCCGCCCCCGTGGCCGCTTGGCCAGCGATGCCTGTTGCTCTTCCTCTGCGTCATCGGTCCTCGCCTTTCTCTTAGCAGCGGTGCTCTTTGTGTTCGCGGTCAGGTTTGACGGAACAGCGGATCGCGCCTTTGCGGCAGCTGTGACGATTTTGGTGGATTTCGAGTTCGCCGCCGTTAAATCAGGGTTTTTGGCCGGCCTGCCCCTGCCTCGACGCTGCTCGGGTGGGGAGCGCATCGTTGTCTGGTTTAGGATGACTGGTTTATCCCTTGTGCGCGCGGTGTTCCGTTTGCGCAGCGAGCAATATGAACAAAAAAGACGCGATTGAAAAGGGTCTTAGTGTTGACTTGACTATCGGGCGGTGAATGTTGGCGTGACAGGGAAGCGTGGTGGAGGCTGGGGGGGGGCCATTCTTTGTTATGCAGGAGTGGGGATGGCGGGAAGCTGCCGGTTGCTGGGCAACGACGCGACCCGCAACACTGACGGACAGGGGTTCTCTTATATGACGCTTGTACATACTATACAAGCCGCATGAACAGCACGGATCTAGGGCATACGTCTCCAGATTTCAATAATGATCGCAGTGATCATCACGCACACGATAACCGCAATGACGCACACGGAAACTCAAGGCCTTTTACGGCAATGTTTCTTCAAGAAATGGGACAATACTTTTTCATGGCTAGCTATTGCCAATCCCAAGATCTTCGCTACATAATGTCATGATGTGAAACTTTGATCATTGACTCATCAGTGGGTGTATGGTTGTATATATATGAGTGCGCACGCTTTTTTTTTTTTTTTTTTTTTTGTGAAACAGTTCCCCTCATTGTTAATCTCCTCCGCTCTTGGCCCGAGGCAGCTTCAAGCTTGAAAATAAGATGGAAAGAAAGAAAGAGTAAAAGCAAATAAGTGAGACAGATGACGGCGGGATAGTGAGACCAGCTCCAGCGCATAGGGTCACGTTGAGGCAGCCACTGCGCCGTATGTGTGTTGTTTGGCGAAGCAATGGCATGCCGCGTGTAAGCAGCGGGCCACCACCCCGTATTCATGACTACCTGAATGTCGTCCGAAACGGACCATCAATCTTGATGTCCTTGATTCCTTCAGGCATCATTCGTAGCCATTCGTTCCAGCTGTCAATGTCAACGTTGTCGTCGTTTAGTTTGATGGCCAAGTGTAGCTGGGGGCTATTTTCGTAAGAAAAGCTGCTCCGTAGAGGGCTGCTCTGCTGAACTGGCGAGAGAAATATCGAAGGCAGCCTGGAATTTCCGGACATCATGGTATGCAGTGGGGCGGGAAAGCTCGTTATGATTTCTCTCTCAGGTGTGCGATCCCGAGCCAGCTTGGGGTACAGAGCCAGAAGTATCGAGTGTAGTTCGACCACTGAAAGCGGCGTCTGGCGCGCTGCACGCGTGCGTAGCTGATCAGCGAGAGCCCTGGTAAAGGCACACCGATCCAGAGCGGTGAGGTGGTCTTCCGATAAAGAGGCCGCGATGATTTCCAGTACGCCTTGCTGCCTTACGATTCTAGCCGGAGGGAAATACGCGGCATCCATAATGATGAGAGTGTCGGCGCATGCCTCCTCGAGAATCTGCTGCATGCCGCTCCAACGAATAGTGGAAGCTCTTTCAACATCTTTTGAGCTACAGGTTGGGGGGGAGGTAAAGTTAGCGCAAGTGCATACACGTCAATATTAAGCTTGCCAAGGCGTACCTTGCCAAAACCATGTCGCGATTTGCATCGAGATAAGTGTGGCCTATGTAATAGACAATCTTGAGAACATCACGCTGATCGCGCTCCTCGGCAAAGTCGTTGAGTTTGCGCGACAGCCATCTCCATGAGCTTTTACAGCTCTCTGAAGAGGAAGGAATAACCTGGATTTGAAACGTATAATGATAGTACTTGTCAAAGACGTCAGCTAGTTCTCCGACGGCATTCTGGACCGATAGCGCCTCATCATCATCTTGCCAGAACAGTAAAAGAGCCTGGACCGAGTTGTACCGGCCGCGAGTAGTGGCAGAGAGCATGCGCGCAGCGTTGTTTTGCATTTCGTTTTTGAGACTCTCAATGCCCGGCAGGGAAAGCGACTTTTCCAGTCTGGGGCCAGTAGGCAGAGGGGTGCGGATACGAGCCTCGCTCAGGGGGGGTCGGCCAGGCTGGTGATGGTGGCTAGGCGCAGAGCTGGCATCAAGGTCCATCTCTTGGGGATCGTGAGTGAAGACGGGCTGGGCCGTGCTGAGGCTTGTTGCGGGGCTGAGAGGCCGGGCGGCGGGCATCGAGGGCGCAATGTCCTGGACGGCCGGGCTGTGCGGCCTGTGGTGAAACTTGGTTACGACGTCTTCCCAAGTCATGTTATGGTGGCTTGGGTGGCACTGCAAAGAGAGAAGCACGGGGTCAGCCTCGGCTGCATATGCCGCTGGTCGGTCGGGGCCATGACTGTGACTTACGGCAACTCTCCTGCGGCGACAGTCGACGCAGGCTCCTAGCTTTCTGATGAGGGCGGCCCGCTCTCTAGACTGCTGAGATAGGGGGCCGGTACGTCTCCTGCTGGTTCGACGGCTGTTAGAGACGTCGGAGCCATCCTTGAGGGAGAAAATGGACTGGTGCGGGTTAGGGGAGGTGTCGGCACTGTACGATGTGTTGTTGGTCTCAGTAGAGGCCAGGGTAGCCGTGGTGGCCTGCGTGGAGACTGACGAGCCCGTGTCCTGTCTCAACGGCGGCGAGGCGATGGAGACGTAGTGCGCCATGGACGGCGTGGACGGCGGAGGCAGATGCCGCGCGTGCAGGTCGTCTGGCCGCGGCGTGTGAGCTGGCGTCGGGGCCGAGGCGGGCGCCGTGGGAGACAGCGAGAGGCCCGCCACGGCCGGGGCCGATGCCGGGGCCGGCGGCGGAGAGGCCAGGCGCTGCAGGCTGTGCGCGTGAGGCTGTTCCTGCGCGTAGTCGTGGATGTGAACGCCGGCCTGGGCTCCCAGCTGGGCCGCTGGTGGAGGAGCGTCAATCAGGCTGTGGACGGAGTTCATGGCTGGAGGACGGCGGACCGGTACGGACGATCAAAATCCCATACTTGGCGGGGGGCGGGGCCCGGGCAAGACGCGCGATGCAAGGTGAAGCGAGGTGAAGAAAGGTGAGAGCGCGAGACTGGGTGGTGAAGTCTGAGCCGGCTGGGCGACGAGGCGGGGAGACGGGCCACCTCCGGCCGCGCAGACTGTGGCAGAGCTTTGCACCTGCGACGCCTGGCAAGGGATGATCGATCGGACTGCACGAGGTCTGGCGCGGGCTGGAGCGCAGGTTGCGGGCGATTAGTCTCGCAAAACAAACAAGACCAGCAGAGCGACAGAGAGGGCAGACAGCGTCCGTGTACAATATCCACCGCCGAAGCTACCTGCTATCTATCTCATAGATAGGTCGGCATGCGCTGGGCGTATGATGATGTGATGCGAACAGAGAAATGACGGGGGGAAAGGGGGGGAGGCAATAGACACAGGCTGGAAAAAAAAATGGCGAACAATACCAGATGAGCAAGTATACTTGGCCGCGGGCGACTCGCAAGTTCGATGCCGTTGCTTCTTCTTCTCTCTTCGCTTTGGTTGATCGTCTCGATGCGTGTACTTCGTATGTGCCTCTTCCTCTGCGCAGTGTGTGGCTGCGAGGCGCGTTAAAGGCCAGTTTAACCCCGCCAAAGAAAAAAAAAATTCAAGGAAAAAAAAAACTGGCAGAAAAGGGTCAGGAGGGAGAAAAGAGGCGCAACAAGAACGCGGGGTCCTGTCGCAGGCTGGGCTGCATAAGATACTGGCCAACAGCGGCGAGGACAAGGCCGGAGATCAGAAACGGCTGCAGCCCCAGCGGCCCAAAACGCGGCCTGAGCTCAGCGCAAAGTCGTTCAATTTGCGTCGCAAGAGGCGCCAGAGCAGGTTGGACGGCGATGCGACGCCAAGGCCGGCCGCAAATCGAATGTGAAGCTGGACAGGGCCGAGGTTGGATGGAAAGAGCTTCGGTCTGGCATGTTATGAGACGAGCTCTGGCAGCACCCCCAAGGTGGACAAGGGTGGGCGGTGGTGGGCGGTGGTGAGTGGTGGTGGTATTGGGTACCTACGGGCTGCAGAACGCCTCCCACGCTGGGCACGCCTTCTGGCCATGCATTCCGCCCGCAGCAGGCACGCCGGCGTACCGAGTACCTCCGCGTGCCGCCAGTCCCTGGGGCGTGGAGCACGGCGCACAAGCACGAGCCGCTGTGCTGTGTCGTGGCGGAGGCTAAGAATATCGACAATGGGCCTACCGGAAGCATTTAACCATATCCCTGCCCGGTCCTGGGGCCTAGCACCCGAGAATCCAGTGAGCGGCGGGTTTGCTCGGGATCTAGCTCGGAGAACCAAGCCCGTTTGAGGGCAAGGTCAAGGCTCAGGCCATGCCATGCCACCACACCATCAGGCGAGCCAAGTTGAACGTCGCCAGAAGGCATCGCGGCGCACGGGCGGGGATCGCAGCGAGATTGCAGTGCTACAGTACATATCTAGGAGGCCGTGACACGCAGCAGCATGTGCGGCAGCAGTCGGCGGAACCGCTCAGCCAGGGCGGATGAGCGGAACACGGAATTTTGCAGCGGCATCACGGTTCGGGTTTCTGCCATAGGCTCGCTTACTCGATGCGCTGCTCCGTCTTAAACCTAGGTAGGGCTAATGCCGAAGCCAGAGCGGCTAGAGAGCGATGAGGCTTTTTAACTAGTAGTACCTACTGCTAGTAGCACGACACAAACAACCAGACGTCACCAAAGAGGAAGTTCGTAATCATCTCGAGGCGTCCTGGGGCCGAGCGTTGAGACTCAACCGGTGGGCAGCAGGGCTACGAATCAGATCCGGCCAGCGACAGAGCAGATACAAAGGACACAGGACGATGGAGGCGAGTTAACCGAAAGGGGAAGAAGGACGAGTGGCTATAAAAGCGGGAGCGAAATGAAGGGTCAGGAAAAAAAGAAAAACTAAACAACGATAGGTAGTGACAAGAAAAAGGAAAAATCCCAGAAGAGGGGAAGAGGTAAAAGGGCCCTGCAGATCAGGAGCCCAGCGTCAGTAGCTGCATCAGATCACACCGAAGAGAAAATTTTCTGTCGATGGATCGGCTGGTAGCAGCGCTTGGACGCAAGCGAGAATCTGGGGGAAGGAGGGGATGGCAAGCGCCCGGCTGGTACCTGCTGGGTACAAGGGACGGCAGCAAAAACACCTTAGGCGCGGGTGGCTCGCCGCACAGGCCAGCCCAGACCCGGCCAAATCTTCCGTACCGATCACGTAGCCGTGGGTAGCAGCAGCGCCAAGGCAGGTACGTGCAAGTACAGCACGCGCTACAAGATCCAAGTACGGGGCACTTGCTCGTACGAGTGTAGCTTCCATCCCATTTGCAATTGCCATGATAGTGTTTCGGAGTAGCCTGTTTGGGCGCAGAGAGGGATGGAAAGAGCCATCTCGATCGATTCCTAACACTACTGGGTCCTGCCGTACTAGTAGTAGTAGTAGGAATGCTGTTTTGTTTGAATGTAAAAGAAAAAGAAACATGACGCTGTCTTCTCTCTGCTATCCAAACCTCACTTCCAACAGCAGCAGCAGCAGCAGTGTCAAGTATATTCTGACCGTCATCAATTACAAACAACCACCCCTCCTTATCCACCTCTTGGGGGCCATGAAATTGAGGGTTGAAACAAAGACAGCAAGGTCTGGTGATAAGAAGCTGCCGGCCGACAAACAGGGGCTTCTTCGACTTCCCGCTGCAATCCCAAGCTGCGCCGACGACCGCGGAGAGAAAAGACCGCTTCGTGCTTGTGCCGCCCTCTGAGGCCCGGGGTGCCTCCTGCTCCCAGCAGACATCCCACCGGGTTGCCACAACAAGCAACAACGATGCCTTGCAATCTATTTCTAGCGGACAGACGGGCCTTAGGCGTGGCCTAGCTGCATGGAATAAGGGGGTCGCCACCGAAGACGAAAAGCAAAGACACGGCGGGACACCGAAAATGAGAGGGGAAAAAAAGAAAGAAGCAAAAAGGCCCAATCTTGCCAGGATGGACCGGCTGAAAATGGCCAAGCAAATGGCAGAGCGCGCTAGCTCTGCGCGTGAAGCGCCCTCTATCAAAATGCCCATGCATTCACTGCCACAGCTAATGCCCGGCTGATCTAGTTGCGACCTTATCAAGGAGGACTAATTCCCGCTGGTAATGCCCTTTTGGCTCCGGCAAGATGCTCGGTTGAAACTCTGTGCTAATGTACCTACATATGCGGATATGGGGCCGGCGAATAGGCCCAGCCCTTGATCACACCAGGCTGGCACACAACAGAAACAAGACTTTGCCAAGAGCAACAGACAAAGTCAAAACTAGCAACTCTTGGTCACCTACTCCTCACCTACGGCGACCGTCCCCTGCAAGGCGTGGTGTGTCCCTCTGTGGCTACGAAAATGCTCTCGTCTTCTCCACACTCGCCTCCAGCATCATATCGCTTCGATCCATCGCAATATCGGTTCCTTCTCAGCTGTTTCTTCCCTTGGATATGCAGCCACGGGGTCTTTAGGCTGTGCATCGGTTTCTGTTGGGCTCATAACATTTCTCCACCGGATGAGTTCTAGCGAGTAACGTTGCTGGAGCAAATTGAGCCGCCAATAGTCTCTCTGCTCTCTAATAGGTACTCCATGTGAAACAGGTGCGTTTTGTTTCAGCCGACTCAGTATCATCGTATATATCGGATAAGGCTTCCAATGTACACATGTTCCTATGTACGAGCATAACATCTTGAGGCGCTGTTGAACAGTTCTCGGCTACCTCACCAGGTTCGGTGACGGCGGCGCTGCTGCTGACTCTCCGCCCTCAGATCTCCTGCTCAGCTTCGCCTCTACATCTACTCGAAACAGCGTGTGCATGCACACTGACGTTGCTGCACTGCACCCACTCCGGTGTCTTGGGTGCTAATGACGCCAAGATATCGTCAACAACGCACTCTCCCGGTCAATGCTACGCCCGAAACTCGACCGGCGGCCCGGCTCGCTCCTAAAGGTGCTGTCAGTTCAAAGTCTGGCGCCACTCTCCCATCCCCCCTTTTTCGCGATCCAATACGCCTTGGCGTCAACCCTCCAACATGGCTGCGCATCGAACCAATCCGCTTACAGACCGAACGCCCTGCGACACTCCCACCGCATCCTCATGTACCACCTCATAGGTGTCGATGATGCATATGCATGTGCTACCAATGGCGGTAATATTAGTTCAAACAAGTGCCACATGTCTTACACCAGCGCAACAGATACATATGATGCAGAATAGAAGTCGTGACGCATCAACATCAATCTTTCTCTTCTTCTCGACATGCTAACCCGTGCGTAGAGACATGTGTGTGATGTCGATTCGATGACCAAAGCCAGCTGAAACGCCGGTGGTGTGGCTGCCATACCGAACTATGCGGCAACTCACCGTCGTCACCTATTCCTGCGGCAACTCAGCTGCGTCTGGTATCACGACCCATTGTGAATGCTTCCTGTACCTGTCCCGATACTCCACATGTTGCGTCCTAACACCACCTCAGCTCAGGCCGCAGCTCACATGTGAGATGAGTCGGCCGCATTCGCTATCCAGTAAATAGATGGTACGAGGCAATCACCGCCAGCCTCCTGCATACAATTCTCATCTGCCGGGAAAAGTCGTGATAACAAAAACATCCCACCACATCCCACTCGACAAGCGCCCACCCCTACCAAATCCCATTTCCTAAAACGCTTTTCTGCATAAAGGGCGGCAAATGCTCTGCTGTCCAACCGCATCTGCATGCACGTGGATCTAACACCGAAAAAAATGAACCCGCAATCGTGCCTAGCATGCACATGTAGGAGGAACGTACTAGCAATTTTTTTCTCTCTCCTCTCCTCATGCAACTCATATATCATACAGCAGAGAGGTCCTCTTTTTCACCCAAATCAATAATAGCGCATTTCGTCTGAAGTGTAGCCCAACTGGATTCATGGCACATGGCACAGTCTGTATCCACGCTGGGTATCACCTACTAGTATCCATGTCACAAAACGCGCGCTGCCGCGTGAGATGTATGTGACAGATGCATGCCAACCCAATCTAACTCTGCTTTTTCCAAGCCGATGCTCGCATCTAGAAAACTCAAATACGTAAAATTTGTAATCCTGGCTCCTTTCTGTCCCTTGGATTTTTATCTCATCATGTCTCCTAGCTGGCTTTTCTTATCCCCCACCCTGCTGCTGTTGAGTCCATTTGTCGTTCTGGAACCCTCCGTTGTCGACCTTGTGGAATCCAATCTCATCCCTCTGATCGTCAATCAGGCGCCCCCATTCTAACAACAGCCGGAACAAGTAAATCTCCATGTCCTTCTCCCGCAGTGCCTTTTCCGCCCATCGCTGGCCCTGCTGGATGATCCACTCTGCGTCCGCCGTGCGGCCCGGCATCGGTGCCTCCCTGCCATTCATCTTGGGCCGGCCCTCTGTGCCCGAGAAGTAGGTAAAGGTTGAGTGCAGACCCTGATATCTTGGGTCGATGGGCACAAAGTGTAGCCATGGCATCAGCCGCTCCGTGAACCATGTGCGGAAGATGGTTGATACAAACGGCAAGCTGTTTGAGCGTATAGTGCGGAGCACCTGCTGCGGAGGGCCGTCATCCTCGTCCGCTAACAGGACGTAGCGGTATTCCAGCAGTTCGGCGGCATCATCACGGATGCCGTAGGCCTTTTCGACGAGCTTGCAGCCGCTGTGCTCCGAGCACGTCGTAGAGTTTGTCACGCCCAGGCTAAAGGGCATCACGGCGTTGGCCTCTGCGGCCGAGGCCCTTTCGTAGCCGAACCTGTCGGGGGACTTTGCCGTCGGGAGGACCATGATGACGCTGTCGCGCGGGTACGGCGCGCTGGCGAGATGCAGCAGGCGATATTTGTGACTTCCGCGCAGGGCCTGACTATTGATTGCGTGTTCCCCCAGAACCCCTCTCCAGCCCAGACTATCGTATCTTCGTGTAAATTGCCACTTGATGTCGGGCTCCTCCAGCCTCGTCCTGGGAAGCGGTATGACAATGTCGCTGAACTCGTCCGTCTTGGCCGCGCCGAATAGGGGCGCCAGCTGGCGGAGCGGCGGCCGGCGAGGATCCGTGAGGGAGAACCCATGCAGCAGCCGCAGGTCAGGCTGGGAGCACGTATCCAATGACTTTTGCCAATTGGTAAGAAGCTGGCCAAAGGAATGATCCTTTGCGCACGACCAACAGAACTCCATAAAGTTCCAGTGAGGCCTGGTCCTGCTCTTTGACAAGGGGTGGCATGCTTCGACTAGCATCTGACGGAATTCGCCAGCGGATACTGTGCTTTGAGGAGGAAGAGGAGGATCAATATTGCTGCTGCTGCTGCTGCTGCTACCACCATTGCTGGGCTCGGCTGTCGGTTCCTTCTCGTGTTCTGCTGACAGTGTCTCACTGCTGTTGCTATGGATCGCTTCATCTAGTGAACGCCGAGATAGTAAATCAGCTACCGAGCTGAGCTCAGCTGCCCGACTCTTGGAATTTGCCTCTTCCCACGGGGGTAACACCCGAGGACCCGGAGACAGATTGATCGGTAGAACCATATTAGGGAGGTGCGCGGAAAACTTTGCAATCATCTGAACCAGTTCGTCTAGATCCTTGTTGTGACCCTCATCTCCTGTGTTTGCACGAGTTACCTTGCCATCCTTGACCGTAATGGTTGCAACGTCCGGCATCGCCGCCATCTCATCTGCTCTTTTACGGAGCACAGCAGGAGGGACGTTCCAGAAGGGGGCAACATCTCGATCGATCTGATCCCAGCCATCGATCATAACCGAGTCATCTTGCGCATATTTGTACCACGCGTCAAAATTGGGTGGTGGCAACCTCCCCTTGTGCCGCTCTTGGTAGACGGTGACGGCCGTTGCGAGCGTCGTACTGACGCTAACCAGTGCTTTCCAGCGGTCGTTCTCAACGTGAGCTCTGTAGACGAATTCATTGACAGGATGAATTCCGTTGCCAAAAGTTTCCGGCTTCTTAACGAAAATGAATATTGTTGTAGCCAAGAGAAGAGCCAAAAGTAAGACGGCAAACATGATCCGTCGAACGAACAAGACAGAGCGGAGATCATGAAGATACAAGAAAATAATGGTGCCGGCAACAATCATCCACAGTGGCCCCAGCGCAGCGAGCCGCGAAAGGTGTAGCCAATCTCCGTAACGGAAAATCTTGTCACAACAGCTCCAGATGCCTATCAAGAAGGTCAAGGTACTAACGGGCGTAATAGTAGATGTCTCGCATATCCAAAACATGGTAGACGTAATGAGCGCAGTAAAAGCAAAGCTATCAATTACGGCATCAAACCCGTACAGAGAGCCAAAGGAGACGTTTACTCTATGGGTGCCCCTAAAGACGGCGTTGACAACCCATAAGATTCCCACCGAGGCAGCTGATAAGAGGAGCACCGAGCTTAGAATTCGTATCCGCAGCTTGATACTTCGCGCCCATGCTAACAATCGCCAGAGCAAGATGATGATGGTAGCGTCAAGTACGAGGCCTAGGAGCTGCAGCGTGACGGTGTTGAACCGGCTGTCAATAAGGTGGAAGCAAAAGTAAGTTGAGCGTCGGATCTCCGATATTGAGAAGAAGGTTCCCAGCGAGAAAACGAGGGCGCTGACGACAGTGTTGAACATGACTACCCGAGGTCCGCTGAACCAGTCGTAGATATCATCGAATACACTGCGCCAGGGATCGTCATCGTCCTCAGAGACTGGGAACCCCCACCGCCGACGCGTGGAGAATATCTCATAGCCGATGAGAAAGATGCACAAAAATGACTATCACGACGCCAAAAAGCTTTTGTCAGTCACACATCTCATCCCATCTCATGTTCATCTCATCCCCTTCAGTGACGTCATCTCACCTCGAGTCCAGGAGTAGCACATTGTTGCTGTTTGTTCACCAGATGAAATGCTTCCAGCCGAAGGACAATGGCGAGGATCAAGACCGGAAGGGACCATCGCCTGGGCCGATTGGGAAGATGGGCGCTGGATCCCTTGAGCAGGGCATCGTCAGAGGCAATACCGAGGGCCGACTCGTCTTTGCCGGAGACGAAGCGTCCATCTGCCCCGGAGATGAATTTGACTGCAGCGCTGAGAGCATAGCAAATGAGGCCTGATAGAAGCAGTACCAGCAACGATGAAAGCCGAGGTCGCTCTGTTTGGCTGAGATTAGCGTTTGGTGGTCCATTTCACATCTGGCGCTTCATAGGGAGGGATGGGAACACGTGCCGGTCAAGGAATGGCGCTCCAATGAGTGAGAGATGTATATAAATGACGAAACACTACTGTAAATGCAAGTCAGCAACTTGATATCCAAATAAATAATGGAATTGCGAGTGCGAGTGCAAAACATGTAGGCAATTGGGAGCATACCAGAGAGCAGAGACGTGTACAGGTGGGAACCAGCCCATGGCTTAATTGTGGCTCAGCCTGAGCGGTTGGTACCGTCTTGCCGTGTGTTTGTACCTCCTGGCCCAAGCGGTTCAATTCAAAGTTCACAATCAATCATTCTTCTTCAGCTCATTGGACTCATGGCGTTTGGCTTAAGAATGAAAGATTATGCCAGCACCCTGAAACCAAGTCTCTGTATTGGATTCCGACGGGCGTGTACTGATCTGCTTCAGGGGAACAACGTAAGTACGCGGCGCTTACATAAGGCGATGAACAGGTACATGTAGCGCCTCCTTCCTAGCAGTGCTAAGATAAGCAGCGCCAAGGTCAACTTCAATTATACGAGCAGCAGCACCTCGCTCTCTCTTTCCTCAACCACCAAACAATGCATCCCATATCCAGCACATCGCCATGGCCGGTTTCAACGATGTGTCGTTTATGCCGAGGCTCGCCGTGCCCGCCGTCTGCCTGCTCATTGCTTTTCTAGGCTACTTCTCGCAGGTCCTCTTCAACAACTCGACCCTCGACCCAGGCCCGCTGTCCCGCACCGAGAGCTGGACTTTCAACGTCTTGCTGGTGTGCCTCTGGATCTCGTACTTCCGCGCCGTGGCAGTTGACCCCGGCCGCTACATCTTCCCCGACCAGGTAATCGAGGCAGACGGCCGATGGTGCAAAAAATGTCAGGCGCCGAAGCCCCCGCGGGCGCATCACTGCCGTCACTGCGAGCGATGCATCCCCAAGATGGACCACCACTGCCCCTGGACCAAGAACTGCGTCTCCATGACGACGTTCCCGCACTTTTTGCGCTTCCTCGTCTACGCAAACTTGTCGTTGTGGACGCTGAGCGTCTTCTTGTGGCAGCGCTTCTACGCCCTGTGGGAGGCTCGTAATATGCCCGCCCACCTGGGCCCGACGCTGACCGGGCTCGTGTCGCTTGTCGCGACAGGCTTCGTCTGTAGCATCACGTGCTTTGTGCTCGGCATTATGCTCATAACTACGCTGAAAGGTTGGGTGGAAAACCAGACTACAATTGAGGGATGGGAGGTCGACCGCCACGAGGCCAGTATCGGACGTGGGAGGCAGGACTGGTGGGACATAACGGGCCCAGATGGCGAACCCCTTCAGTTTGAAAAGGTGGAATTTCCATACGACATTGGCTTCTTTGCCAACATGGCCCAAGCAATGGGCACGTCCAACTTCCTCTTGTGGTTCTTCCCCCTGGCGGGCAACCCCCAGATCAGCAAGACTGGGTCCGGCACCGGATGGACGTGGGCAGAAAACGGCTTCAACCGCAAAGAAGGCATGTGGCCTCCTTTGGATCCCGACAAGTTCCGCCGCGCCGTGGGAGGATTTGGCATGTCACGGCGAAACTACGAGGACGAGCTCGAGCTCGAGGACGACGGGCTGACCATTGGAGAGCACATGGAAGCTTTCAAGAGGCGTCAGGATGAAGATCTGAGGAGACGGAAAAGAAGACAGGACGAACTCATGGCGGAGCTGGAAGAGGTGGATGGAGATGGCTCAGGCAGAGCCAGCTATGATGATGATGATGAGACGAATAACAGTAATAATATGCGCAACTGGGCAAACTCGGACGGCGAATATCTTCGAGACTACGGCGTTGACGAGGAAGCGGAAGAGGAGGATGAAGACGTTCCGCTCGCCGAGCTGTTACGGCGTAGAAACGTCGGAACTAGATCATACAACGATGCATAAACACATGGCGAGGAGAATCAAAAGATGGCTAATAAAATTGTAAATCAGCGAATAAGCATAAACAAAGTGTTATATCATATAAAATAGATTTTATTTGATTTTTTTCTAAAAGCAAGAATTTTAAATATATGTAAAAATAGCATTTCAGGCCCTGGATCACACAAGGGTCCCGCGTATTTCCCCCTTTAACCCTCCCATCTTCTTCTACCAAAAAACGCGAAGAAAGTTAAAAAAAAAAAGGAAACAAAAGATTTTCCCAGACATGCATACACACGCTTCCCCAGGGATCTATACTCGAGGACTCGTACAGCAGTAGTTGCCCAAGTGACTCGCACACATTGTGTGTATACAACAAAATCCGCCATAATTTTTTCCAGTCATAGAGGCGTAATATTTGTATCAGAAAGCAAAAAAAAAAAAGGGCGAATATAACAAAAGAGTTAAACTGAGCTGTAGAAAAAAAATATATGCCTTCGTGACAAACAAAGATCGTGAAGCATGTCTAAAATTGCGGCGCAGCATCTCACCAGTCGTCAGTCTCGTCATCTCTCTTTTGGTTTAGAGCATTCTTGCGTGCCAGGAGAGCATCCGCCAAGCTGCCTCCCAGGCTAGGCGTCGGCGTGCTTCTGCCGCTATCGCCACCAGTGCCGTTTAGGCTCATGCCAGAATCTCTCTGGGCTAAATCGACAGGCTTGCGACCACCTGCAGCCGGTCGTTTGGTAGGTGGCACCGGCTTCGCCTTGGCTGACGGCGGCGCTGGAGGTAGTCGTGGAGCAGGTGCAGCTTGCTCTTCTACATATGCCGCTGGCACCCAAGCTTGTCCTTGAGCATTCTTGGCCAGCCACCAACCTGCAAATAATGTGTTAGATAAAGATATTACTCAACACTGAGAAACTCGTAGAATTAGCAGTAATACATACCATTGTTCTCCTTCTGGACAATCTCAAGTAGGTCTCCTGCCTTGATGGAAAGCTCGTTTTCCTTTGTGCCGGCGAAATCATATAACACCTTGGCCATGATCTTGGGCTTAGCAGCAGGAGGGGCGGGAGGTGGTGGCGGAGCAACTCGACCCACGGCAGCTTGCTTCACCGGCTTGTTGGCATTTCCTACGATAGGAATAGTCTGGTGAGTCGCCGAGCTCAATGTACTTGTGCTTGCCGACGGGGTTGCTGATGAAGCGGATGATACTGCGCTGCCAAGGCCAAGAGCAGCAGGTGGCGGAGGAACAGTTCTGGTTCCGGTGCCAGTCGGTCTTGGCTGGGTATTGCGATTGCCAGTAAGCCTTGATGGCCGTCCTCCTGGGCCGCCCGGCTTGATGAGCTTGCCCCTGGTAATGGGCCGTGCTGCCACAGGCTTGCCCTTGGGCGTTGGCTTCGACACGGAGCTTGCAGGCTGCCCAGGAGTAGTGTGGATTGTGCTACTCTTGTAGAAATCAGCCCGCTGCTGGGAATCCTTGAGAACCTTGATCTGCTGCATCTTGTTTGGCTTCTTGGCATATTCAATCGTTTCGCCAATCTTGAGGTTGAAACCTCCCGGCATAACACGCTGCATCTGAGTAAACATTTCCGTCTTGAATATGCAGTTCATGAGCGGATCGGGCTCCTGCGGAGATCCGATCCCCAGTGAGAACCAGTCATCCTGGGCTGAGGAGACTCCGAGGAACTTGATAGATCCAAGGGGCACTGCCTTCTCCACCTGAATCTGTGGCTGTCCTTGGATGAGCAGCTGGGCAATGATGTAAAATTTGGAGTTGGTCACGATAATGATACGAGGGCTCGGTTTACTGGATCGGCCAAATTTGGATTCGAGAAGCTCGGCACGGCATGAGAACACAACACGCTCATTGGAGCCAATGTTGGCTGCTTGCCGCAAGGGAGCCCCGGGTCCATTCATGGCGCTGATTCCGAGGTAATCACCAAGGAATCTTCGAGAGCCGAGAAGACTCATTCGTCGTCTCTCCTTTCGTCCTCCAAGCACCTTGTGGCCCTGGTCACGGAGCTGCAGGAATTCTGCACCAGTGCGCTTCTTTCGCCAGACACGCTGTATTCTCGTAGCGGATTCGGCTCGGTACGCAAGATAGGCTCGCCACATGCGTTGAATACGGGTTGCCATGTTGTGCCAGTATCGATCTCTCATATGCTCCAGCGCAAACAAGGTCTCTGGAGACTTGATAAAGGCCTTTGTAACACCCATCTGCCATTCCTCTTTGGGAATACTCGTGTCCTTGAGAATCTGTTTCACAGCATCTTCGTAAGATCCCTGCCACGTGTATTCACCAGCATATGAGGTAGCAGGTGACAGCAGGAAAAAGCGATCGACGAATTTATCAAAGTCTTGTCGATACGCAAATCCAGCTCTTCGAATACGAACGTTTTCTTGCAGACCAAGATACTTGATTTGATGCAAGACGTTGGGTCCGTTGTATTCAGAAGGCGACTTGTTTTCGTTGGGCTTGATGGTTCGGATGTATGAGGGCTGGCATTTCATGAGCGTCTCTACCAAGAGGTTGGCTGATGCTCGAATCGTGTCTCCCGCTGTGGGGGGCTGCTTTCGGTTATCTTGATCGACCTGATGAGGGAAAAGCGTGTGAATGAATGTGTTTCCACTGCCCTGCAGCAGGTTTAGCAAGCCCTTCAGCAGCTGATCCTTGTTCTTGTCCGTGATGCCGTCGACAGTGTAGCCGACATCGCCGGCGTAATGCTTGATGATGAAGCTACCCTGTCGGGGAATCAGGTGCGCGTGCGACATGCCGTTGATAGTCTGCATCAGGGTCCTGTCGCAAGCAGCGGGGTCTGCGTGAGCCGTCTTGGTTGCATCCTTCATGGCAGAAAAGATTCCAACGGGGCGAATCTGCTCAATGAGGTCGCACACAACCTTGTTGTCGAAATATTTGATGGGCGTCCACTGAATCTTTTCCCGTGTGTACTCTTCCTGTTCGGCTTTCAAAGTGAGCTGGATGAAGATCTGCTGGAGCTTTTCATTGACATAGTTGATGCACAGCTGCTCGAAACTGTTGTTCTCAAAAATCTCAAAGCCATAAATGTCAAGAATACCGATGGTGTTGGATGTCTCCTGTCTGGACTTGAGAGACTGGTTGACGCGAACCCTGATCCAGTCGAATAGTTTGCTATAAATAGCCTTGGCCAATGCATCACGAGTAGCGATTGCCTGGGCCGGATTTGCGGGCGACTCAATGACCTCTCCGTTGCGGGGCGTCAGGATTCGAATGGTGATGCCCTTGATGACATCCTCGGGTGTGCATTGCAGCAGATATCCCACAAAATCTACCACAGATTTGTCAACTACCTCGGCGTACCCCTCTTGGTCTTCCTGGAACCGAATGTTGCCAATCCACAAAATGGCAGCCAGCATGCGGAATATCTCATCCTGCTCCGCTTGGCTCAGACCAATAATCTTCATGGCATTGAGCGTATCCTGGAACTCGGCAACATCGTCTATGCCGTCAACGTCGAAACATTTGGAGCGGCTGGTATAGAGGTAGGTCTCGGGCTTCTGAATGCCAAATTGTTCTCGGTACTGGGCAGGGGCTGCTTTTGTAAACTGGTAGAAAATGTGAAAGTTGCGCTCATTCGTAATCTGCCCAACGACTCGAGTGGCCTCGAGGAGATAGTTTGTGATGTCGGCTCCGCACGGCTCGCCTTGGGCGTTGAAATGCAGCTGGAGGTATTTTCCGAATCGCGACGAGTTGTTGTTTCGCAGCGTCTTTGCGTTTCCGAAAGATTCAAGCAGGGGATTGGTTGCCAGCACCATTTCCTTGATCTTCTTGATGTCGCCCGACTGCTCGCCAGAAACGCTCGCAATGTATTGCATGATGCGCTTGGCAGCCTCGGTCTTGCCGGCTCCCGACTCGCCCGAGATGATGACACACTGGTTGTCGCTGTACGCCTTCATGTTGTAGTAGGCTGATTCGGCGATGGCAAAGACGTGCGGCGGCATCTCCAGACGGTTCTTCCCCCTGTAGCTGTCCAGCACCTGGTCGGTGTAGATGCCCAGGTCCCGGAAGGGATTGACAGAGACCAACACATGGCCAATATATGTATAGATCTCGGCGCCCTCGAACCGCTTCTTGAGGTTGTCGTTGATGGCCTCGTTGGACACTTTGCTGAGGAGAGTCAAGTCTGACACACCGATCTCCTTTTTCTTAGTCACCTCGTACGTAGCCTTCCTGGGCTTTTCGCTGGCGCCGCCCGCTGCCTGAGCGCCTCGAGCGGCTTTATCCTTGGGACGCCGTGAAATACCCTATGAACATGGCAGAAAGCGCTCGTTAGAATGATACTGAAGCCTTTTTTTCCTTTTTCCATGGTGGGGGTGAAGAGAGATGGGGAGATGACACGAGTCGAGCGGTCTTACCATGGCTGCGGATGGAGGAACGGCACCGGAAGGAAAGAAGGGGGGGAAGGAAATGAAAGAGAAAAAGACGTCGAAGAAGGGGATTATTCGAGCATCAGACGCCTAATCAATGGAATTGCTGGTGCCGAACGGCGTGACGAGGAACCGGATTTCTGAGCGAGGGGAGTGGTTTGGTTTGGCTTTGGCCTGGTTGGAGCCAAAGGGCTTTGAATGTGGCTTGTCGAGTATTCGCGGCCGAATGATGCGGTGCCTGACGAGTGACGTTTAGTGCCGCTGGCCGACCTTTTTCCGTGGGCGATGATTCCTGATGGCACAGCCACTTGCTGACACCAGCTGCGTACCCGCCCGGCGTGATTTCAGGGATGGAATTTGTGTAAGTCGCAGCGACGACGCTTCAATCTCGCCTACGCGCGCTTTAATTTATATACAGCGAGGGAAAATGGCTCTGGTCCCTGAATCCTGATTGTTTTCTTCATTCTACAAACGCGGAGAGCCCATGCAGCTCTACTCCGGCATCTCCGTAGCCTCGCATCATAGCGCATTCGCAGTTTTTTTTTTCTTAAGAGGCAGCAGTGCATACAGTGGCAGATTACTTAAAGCCCGCCAATGGTTCTCCCGGCTTCCATGTGCCTTACCGAACTCCGACACTGTTTGCTCCTAGCCAGCAACCCGGATTTTTGGGCCCTGAGAGATAAAAAGAAGCAAAAAATGGATATGCCAACGCGGCAGTCCTTTGCTGACTCCAGAGAGCCGCGTCAATGCTCCCTCAGCGGTGGAGACGCTCGCATTCCCGAGTTTTCAGCCAGGTGCACCGAGGCGTCTGATTTGTTGCCATCAGATCTTGCATGCAGACGATACGCGGGCCAGGTCTGCTGAAAAATACGATTACAGCAAAAACAAATACGCACTCGTATAACCGCCGCCTGTGGCCTGTGTCGGGAATTGTGTTGCCTAAATCTCTCCTGACAATCACCCAGGCCGGGCGTCTATTAATACCGATATGCTCCGACGCAGAGATTAATTTCACTGGCCCTGCTGACTGTATTGTCTGGCACCAAATTCAGGAGCAGAGAAAAGAATAACCTTGGATCAGCCAGACAAATGAGCCGCATCCCTCCATCCATCCATCCATCCATCTCAGCAACAATAAAAGCCATCCACCGACGTCTTTGTTCCTGGCCAAGTCCCCAAAAAGCCACACGCGTGGCCACTGGCAACGGCGCCAGCCTTCCTGAGACGCCCTGCTGGAGCCCTCGCCTAAAGAGCGTTTCGCAGCTGAAACCAAACATTGGCGCATCAAGATTGGGCGCCCCTTAATTGGGATGCATGAAGTTATGCTCTTCTGGTCCCTGAAAACGGGCGCCTCAGCGCCTGGCTTAGCGGCTCTTGTCGCCAATGCTCGACGTTTTGACTGGATCTGCTTCTTCGCGTGTAGTTTGCACCCCAGAGCTGTGCGATGCAACTTGTCTCGGGCTTTTGTCGTCTCAAGTCAAAGACCCTCAACCCGCGTCTGTGAACCATTCGCCGTGTGCGACCCCATCACCACCACTCCGTAGTAATTTGCACCCTTGCCCTTTGGCTTCAGCAGCTGGGCAATTGAAGGCTGCGGGGTAGAGAAAATAGCGCTCCCGTGCCCAATATCCACCATCACCAGGTCACTTCGCATTAGCACATGTGTGGCCTGAGGGAGCCGCTGCATCAGGGCCTCAGTGATATATAGCAGCGTTGCAGCCCCCCTCTTTTATTCCTCTCTCTTCTTTTTTTGTCAGTAGAAATAAAACCTACCCAAGTATACAGCACTCGTGCTTCGTTCAATCAATCAACACTCCAACACCGCTACAGTTGATTAAGCTTCCAGCGAAAAGACCAGAAACCCCACCCCCACACATTAGAGGAAGCTCTAGGCCGCCTGACGTCATTGGCTACTTTGCGAGGACAGCTTCGTTGGGCACTTCAAGGCACTGATCCGGGCAGTCTCGCCACTTTTCACACTTGGACCTTTACATACCACAAATCAACGCAATATTCACGTTTTGGCACGACACCATCACCATGGCGGAAACCACAGAGAACCAGACCCCCGTCGTCGACGAGACTCCCATCTCTTCTGTCGGGAACCCTGCCCGCAAGAACTCGCTTTCCACCTACCTGAAGAACCGACCCGAACGCTCCGAGTTGGTAGAGAGTACGTCTCATGATTCCCAACCATCCACCTGCCCATTGATCGCGGGACATGCTGGCACCTAGCCTCGATTGATTGGGGGCCATAAACTTGGCATTGCATCTAGCGAGGGGTTGATACTAACTCATTTTGACAGAGAACATTCTCCCAGACTCCTCAGCTGCTCCAGGCCTTCTTGCCAGCCAAAAAGAGGTAAGAATAGAATTCGCTTACTGCCTGCCTATTTGGTCCAACCGCTGGCCTCGGCGCCACTTTGGAAAGACGGGATTAAAAGTGCTAACAATGCCCGCCATCAACAGCTCCAGAAGCACATGCTCGGAGACAAACTCAACGACAAGATCTCACACCGTCCTACTCCCGACACCCTCCTCAAGGAAGGCGTCCTACACGATGATCCCCGCTCTCCCGAGGAAAAGTACCAGGAGGCCATTGAAGAAGAGTACGCCAAGCGTGAGGGCGGTGCGTAAATTTGTCTAGGACTTTTGTATAGCGACCAAGTGCTGGATACAATGCGACTCAATTTGGTACAGACATGTTGCCGGTAGGGGCTCACTAAGAAACTGGTTTGTTTGACAAGTTGGAATCCTGCTTTCTGTTTTTTCCCCCTTCCTAGGAGCTCGCTTGATATCCCAAACAAGAGGATTTTCATAAGCAAAAGACAGGGCTACCTAATATTGAGGTGTTGTGATATGTCTTCTACAGCCTTAATCTCAATCTCATGTCTTAGCACTGAAGAAACCTAAAAATAAAGTCTAAAATTGACACGTCAAATCTATTAAAAGCTCTTTTTTTTTTTCCATTACTATTCAAGACCTGTCATTAAAAAAATGAGAGCATTCCTCGGACCGAAGAAGCCTCTCTTCAAGAGATGCTACCCCGCGCACGGCGGTCGGCGGTCGGGCGTGCCAAAAATAGAAACAAAAAAAAGAAGGGATGGATTTAAGAAAAAACGGGTTGCCTCCCTTACCGACGATCTTGGTTGGGGTTCCTGCAGTAGTAAACTACCCTGTTGAATTGTTTGTTTTTTTGAGACAACCCATGACATCGTCTATGATAATCTGCAGCGGGAAAAACACGAAAAAAAAAAGTTTTAAAAGTTTATTTACAAATGGAAGCGTTTCAGAATACGAAGATGTGTGTTTTCGTTTCGTTTCACATTTTAAAGAAAGAGAATATACATCTCAAAGATAGGGAGAAAAATAAATTAGATTTTTTTTTTTTTTGTTCTTTTCGCATTTCGTCTCAAAACAATGCTATAGATGCCGCCACCCAGCCTTCGCTTAAGTCCTTAACTCCAGATGATAAGTCATATCTATTTCCTGTTTCCGTGCCCCCATGTTTCTTCCTGGCGCCATTCCTTCAGAGTTATCCAAGCATGAAAGTATAAAAATAACATTTCCCCCAATAAGAGTCCGACAACGCCGAGTAGTAATAGTAGTAGTAGTAGTAGTTTGTATGAATGGACTTGTAGAAGAGCCTAGTGATAAATAGGTGGGGAAATGCCCGGGAATCCGGGAGTGCAAGAGGTAGTAGTTGATCAAAATTGTGTCGTCGTGTCCCAGTGTTCGTGTGCTTGCGTCAAAGAAGATGAAGGGCTATGATGCCTTCTTTGAGCAAAAGGCTATGCAATGCCTTTGCTGTAAAGACATTTCATTGGCCCCTGTAGGAAGGAGACGGCGAGCTGGGATCATAGTGGCGCTTGTTATGCTGGATAACGGTGTTGGGGCCAGATCGAATCACTTGGGAAGTATGGTCTCCTAGAGACGTTATCAGTACATTGTTGCTAGCAGAATAAGCCGGGGCAGCGAGCATACTGGCACCGTATTCGCGGGAGGTGGTGATACTGGGGCGAGGGCTGGGAGCTGCAGAGCGGCCAGATGAGCTGGAAGAGCGGCTTGGGTAAGAGTCCTGGTGGACATAAACGCTGCTGCCGCGGTTGGACATTGTCACAGGTTTGTGTTGGTTGTTGGTTTGTTTGCTTTCTTTGGTAAACTGTTGGTTGATGATCGATTGGGAGTTGAATCGTGGCAACCCTAATGATGGCGATGATCAAGTGGCAGTGATATAATAGTGAGGACAGTTGCAGGTAGCAATGGTAGGAACAGTATAATAGTTGGTAATTGATAGTTGTCTGTATCTTGTCTACACTGAAGGTGTCGATGAGGAAAACAGAAGAGAAGTGTGTCCTGAGGAACGGGATATAGAAACTTTATAGTAGTTTGAAACATGGCGCCGCCATCCGACTTGACTTGACCAAGTGCCCCTTTCACTCGAGACGACGCCAAGCACAGCATAGGCAGATAGGGTGAGGGAAGGCAGCAACATCTTTTCAACCTTACTAGGTCTGACGGTCCATGGTCCGCGAGTGAGTGACTCAGTCAAACGGCAGTCCACCCCAGGGGAGTTGGCTTTGGGAGAGGTGATCTGCCGCGGCGGCCCCAAAGCGGCAACCGGGGGGGGGGCAGGGGCCGCCAATCTCGAGCGAAGCATAGATGGTATTGCGAAAAGAGAACGGGCAGCGTGGCTCAGGCTAAGGGGAGACAAGGGCCGAAGGAGAGGTGGCGAAACAAGCAGAAGTAAAAGCCAACATGTAACTTGGGGCAGTAACTCTAGTTTGGCCGCCTCATGATGCCGCGCAGCCAGCACGGACAGGGATGTTGGCGTGCAGGGCGAGGGGCGCGGCAACTTGGGACGTGAGCGCCGAGGGAGGGAGCTGGGCATGGCCACGGCAGTGAAGCAGCGACGGCAGCGAGGATGGATTGGCAAAATGCATTTCGGGTGCAGTGTCGAGTCACGGTTGGTCTAGATTCACGGTGAACGTTTTGAGAGATTGGGCGGGTTGCTGCGGTGCGGTGCGGTGCGGTACGTACATGTAGGGCATTTGCTGGCATGGCACAGCCGCCCGCCTCGGCCTGGAAGTGGAAGATTCTGGCGGTAGGACTGACTACATGGATGTACATGTACCTATACGGGCCAGATAAGGTCTTGACACCTGCCAGGCAATCATCAAAACCAGTCACCGCAGTCACTCGGTCGGCAGACAGGCTCGGGCTAGCAGCCTAGCAACTGAGGCCTGCCAGAACCAGCTTGACTGAGTCCAGTCTTCGGACCCCGAAGTGAGCCACCGGGACTAGCGCCTCGTCCACACGCGTGGGCGCTGCTAGGCAGTCAGGCAGACATCAGCGTGTCGTTTCATCGAGGGCGAGTGACTCGGAGGACGAAGAAGAAAAGTCGAAAAAAGGGCCACCGAGGGCTTGGATGGAGTTGGCAACGGTGAAATCGGGGGGGGGGGATGTTTTGCTCACCCCTCACTTGATTCCTACGACCCCTCCTTGCTACTGCTGCAAGCTGCACGGCATGTGGCTGGTGATTTTTACTGGCGTTCCACCAGTGACTGCGCGTCGATGTGCATGTGGTGCTTCAGGAGCTTTGCAGCTCTGGGCTGTCACGTTTGTGTGCGACGGGCCAATGTATTGGACGATGGGTAAATTGCGCGTATCACCGTATTAGTCGCGAGGAACCTCTGCGGCCAATGGACGGTTTTCTCTTTGGAGCTGCATCTATCAGCCATGTCCGTTGCCTGCGTTATCCGTGCTATCCACTACAGCAAAGCTACTGTTTACGAGTTGATGCTTTGCACTGATGATACAATAAAACAAAAGAAGAGAATACCTCTTGGGCATGCACATTAAAGCAGATACAAGCTGATTGGGGGCAGAAGCCACTAATTGTCCGCCTATGCTCCATACCTGTACAATGCAAGAAATCGTCGAGCGACATGATAGGCGTGGCTAGCCCATCTTACCCTGTTCCTTTTCCGTTGTTTACTATAGAGAGTCGGCATAACAGTTGCTCTTCATTGCAGCGAGCCCAAAAAAAAAAAGTGCGACGACGGTCAAAAAAAGACTCATCAGCTTTTCTTTGTGTTTTTCGAAATTAACCGGGGAATAATAGATACGTTTTTTGCCATTAACAGCCGGAGGTAGCCATGAATGACCGCCGGTGGAAAAGCTAAGCGAAAGATGCAGCCTCGCATTCCGGGGGACCGTTGCCGGCATAGCCCTCCGTCCGGCTTCGCTCGCGATACGTCAAGCCCAAGAGAAAAGAAGGGGGCGATGTTTATTAACTACACACCTCTCTTTATTCGACTTTTTATTTTATTTTTATTTTTTGGCTTCATGCCCAACTACACCATCTTCTAGGCACTTGGATGTTTCTACCCATTCGGGTCCCTTTCACTCGTGTAAGTGGCGGGAGCACGTGCAGGCACGGGAAACGAAGCTAGCAAAGACCCTGTGGAAGCAGCCGCGGCGAAGCGGAATAGGATACAATGAGAAGCCCAAAAAAATGGGAAACATGGATCAGCAACATGGTGGTATACACAAGAGCTGAGGAAAAAGAAAAAAAAAAAAGGCGAGAAAGGGGCATGTCATGTGCCACTGAGCCTTGCATCCAGCCCAACTTTTTTGTCTGTGCTCTTTTTCTCTTTTTCTCTCCAATCGGTCAATTTAGGGCCTCCCTACGTCATCATACCTGACAGGTACGGAAAGGGTCCTCCACGTTTTTTGCTCCCTATGAGCCCATTTTTTTTTTCACAATTGCAGCCTCAATTACGTAGTTGCTGAGCTCTAGGGAATCTCTAGTCTTGGCCGTATACCTTCTTTGTATTCAGCTATTCAGATTGATTCGCCTGTGTATGGCCATGCAGAGCCGCTTCTCGTGTCTAGCATGGTCCAGAACGCAAAGAAAAGAAACATCGAGGCACCCGCTCAACGAATTGTTGATTCGCCCATTCCATCCCACATGACCTCCATGCAATAAGATACAAGACAGAATCAAACACAATGACGTACCTTGGATACAAAGACGCTCGTTTTCTAATTCTCACCAATCTCCACAGGCCTTCTACATGCCGTCCTCCAATACGTACTGCGTTGCTCGTGCATACACGCAGCATCCCACCAATTAAACTACCATCTCTACGTATTTTTCGTATCGTCCTTTACTTCACCGTTCTAGGCTCCAACAAAGCATGGTCACGCGAGGACATGGGAACCAGTACATACATAAAATCGCCCCTTAATGACGACAACTTCAAATCTCTCAAAAAGCGAGCCCCGATACCCTTGACCACGAAGGATGAGAGAAGAAAGCAATGGCAAAATCAAACAGTTTCATCATAATCGGGCCATGGGATCAAAAAAGCCCATTGAGTCGTAGCGCCGCCCGTATCTGTAGTAAGAGAGATACGACCCAGCGCCAGGCCAGGCACTAAAGCGCCCTCCCCGGAATGCCTCTACCATTGGCGCGGGGCAATTGAGTTGAATGAGGAAAACGCGCCCCCCTCATTGGCCAATCGCCAAAGCGCATGCAGACGCCTCTCCGCTGATTCGGGAAGCTGGCCACATTGCCTCAAGCCTCAAGGGTCCCCTCTCAGCTAAACGACCGCCGTTGCCATTCCGTATTGGCCAGATATTCTCTTCTCTCTTCTTTCCCTCTCCTCCTCTTTTCTCTTCTCCCAACGAAGCCTCTCCCAAGAAGCCCGACGCTCCTCCCCTTCCGCACCGCCTCGTTCGCCTCATTTTTTGCATCTTCCATTGTCCGCGCCCCTCCCCCAAGTTTTCGCCACCATGAAGGCAGCCCTGCTTCTCTCCGCCCTGGCCTCTTGCGCCATTGGCGTCGTCGCCGCCGAGGACCTCAAGATCGATGTCACCCACGCCGTCGAGTGCGAGCGCAAGACCCAAAAGGGCGATAAGCTGTCCATGCACTACCGGGGCACTCTGCTCGCTTCCGGCAAGCAGTTTGATGCCAGTCAGTCCACCTGCTAAGCCGCATCCCGTCTCTCTTTTTTGTCTCACCGTTCTGCACCCACTATTGGGGAAACAAGAACCGACGATCTTTGGATATTGGCTGACTCTCTTCTTCTTCTTCTTCTCAGGCTATGACCGCAACCAGCCCTTCAGCTTCAAGTTGGGCGCCGGCCAGGTGATCAAAGGGTTTGCACCCCCCCACGCCCCGAGCTGGATGCCTTGCGACTGGAGCTAACGGCGATATTACCTCTATAGATGGGATCAGGGTCTTCTCGACATGTGCATTGGGGAGAAGAGGTAAGAAGAGCACCACGACGTCATCTCTCTTTCGCCCCCCTCCAACTCTTCACAATGGCTGACATTACATCACTTTTCTAGAACTCTCACGATCCCCCCGGAGCTGGGCTACGGCCAGCGCAACATGGGTCCTATCCCGGCTGGTTCAACTTTGGGTATGATCTCCTTTCCCACCATCTATCTTCCATTGCTTTCCCTTTTCAACCCCCACGCCGTATCAAACATCAGACCACTAATTGATGTCATAGTCTTTGAGACCGAGTTGCTGGCCATCGAGGGCGTCAAGGCCCCCGAGAAGCCTACCGAGAAGCCCACCGAAGAGCCAGTGGTCGAGAAGGTTGCCGAAAAGGTGGCCAGCGTCGCTGCCGAGGCTGCTGATGCCGCCAAGACGATTCTTTCCGACACTGATGATACGTCTGAGACTCACGAGGAGTTGTAACGAGATAATGATTTGTAAATAGTACTAGCCTCTTCCCTTTTTTTGAGCCTGCATAGCCGATCTCGAACGTCAAATGAAACGTTCCCTCGAAACGTTCCTCTTCGTTGTGTGGTGAACAATAATTCTATCCATGTTAAGCTTTGATCAGCCGTCAGGAATCCATAAATTCCCCGAAGCTATATACTTGGGATGACCATTGGGCTCCCATCATATCTAGATTCTCTCTATACGTCATATTATTGTCCCCTTTCAATAGTGGTTGCCTCAAATAGCGCAAAAAATCAGTCGATTTGACAGATCTGCAAAGACCAGGGAAGTGATTGGCCGAAAGAAACACCGTATAATCCAAAAAGGCTTCAACTTGCGGCTGATGTGTACAGTACGAGGGACATGGATACATTTCAACAGATATTTATCCCAAAAACACCAAAACAATGCTGTACATGTCATCACTCATTACCCATCATGTGCTCCTCTACCCAAAAGTGAGCTTCTTCTGCTTTGGATCCGTAATGGCCGGTCGACCCCGCTTCTTCTCTGTCAGCTTGGGCCGTTTATTCACATCAGGCGAGATGGGCTTCGCATCCTTTGGCTCATCAGCCTGAACCGCATCGCGAATGGTCTGTCTGGAAAGACACAGGTCGATGTGCTCATTGAATTGCCGTTCGTTTGCTGCCTGGGGCCGGAGACATATTGGGCAATCCCACCACTCCTCCTGCGGCGGAGCTTCGCCTCCAGGCTTTGGGTTGGGCACAATCTCCTTTCCATGTCTTCGATCAGCCAGCGCCTTATCCTCATCCTCATCCTCTCCATGCTCGTGGGGTATATCGCCCAGGCCATCATCCAGGCCCTGCATGAAATGCTCATCATCTTCATCAAATTTCTCCCACTCTTCTTCTCCCTCTAATAGCTCGCCCGCTTTTCTTTTCACGGGGCTGTTGCTGCTCGACTCTCCTCCATCTTGCCGGCGAGGCTTGAAACCAAAGAATGCCATGGTGTCAGGTTTCTTGGTGCTGACGAGATTTGTGCAGCGAAGCCCCATCAGCCTCAGCTTCATGCCTGGTATTTCCTGCTCCAGCTTCGCAAGCATCGGCAACGAATAGTTGTAGAGATCATCAGCCAAATCTATTGATTTTGGCAGGATGACTTGTCGTGTATAGACCTCAAACGTATGCAGCTTTATCTTGATGCAAAGCGTGCGACCCTTACACTCGGCCTTTTTCATGTCTTTTTCGAGAGCCTCAGCTGTGGAGCGAAGTTTGTCTCTGAGCTTGGTAGGATCAGATATATCGTGGAATGTGCTCTCTGTTCCAACGCTTTTCCGCTCGTATTCTTCAGCAGGCTGTATTTTGGTGCGGCCAAGGCCCAAGTAGCAGCGAAGGAGAAACTCAAATGTCTTGTCGCCAAAGAGCCTGTTCAAATATTGCCGCTGATCATACAAGTCCCCGCACGTCTTGACTCCAATCTCCAAGAGCTCACGCTCCAACACTCGGCCGATGCCATTGACTTTTCTCGTTGGTAAATCTCTCATAAATGTCATAATGGCATTTCTCTCTTTGGGGAGGACATATTGCCCATTCGGTTTGTTGATGTTTGAGCAAATCTTTGCCAGCCTTGCGTTGGCTGCAATGCCCGCTGAGACTGTAATGCTGGTTTTCTCCTGCACCTCCTTCCTCATCTGTTCCACCGCTGTCGCAGGATCCATGCCATGCTCCTCGCAGTATTCAGTGATGTTAAGATAAGCCTCGTCGATGCTGGCACTTTCGAAGCGCGGGTCGTAGTTGACAAGAACTGTCCTCACTTCCTGGGCTTTTGCACTGTACTTGTGGTAGTTTTGTTTGATAAGGATGAGCTGGGGACAGAGTTTCTTGGCAACGAAACTGGCCATGCCCGACCGACAGCCAAACTGGCGTGCAACATAGTTGCATGTGGTGAGGACGCCGCCGCCAACTGCAAATGGGACATCTTTCAACTCGGGTCTATCCAGCAGCTCAACAGCTGCAAAAAAGGCATCGCAGTCAAGATGCACGATGTGCTGGGTGAGGTCCCTGGAGAGCTCGAGCTCCGCAAGCAGGCGGTCGGCATTTCGTAGATCGCGCGTCAGGTCTTGTTGTTCCAGCTTCTTCTTGCGCGATAAGATTTGGTCAATCTTTTTCGTCAGGATCTTGTCTCGGAATTCTTCGCGGCTGAAAAACTTGGACCCCTTGGATGCATTATAAATAATCTCCGAAACCTGCGCCTGCGCGTTAACAAATGCGATTTCAACACATGGCAACACACGTCTTTGGCAATGACCTTGCTTTGGTCGACCTTGTCTTGACCCGCCTTGGTCAGCGAAGGCCCAAGCAGGTGATATTTGAGAGTTTTGAGGGCATCGTCTTCATCCTCTTCCAGATGCGCTGATTCCGCCGGGGGTTCCGCAGAAGTCATGTTGATGAAGCCATCAAGATGCAGCGTCAAGCAACAGGGTGTGAAATGCGAATCAAGGTAGTCATCAGCATCATGCTGCCAATACCCAAAAGCGCAGGCCGGGCCCTTGCACTATTCGCGCACGAGCGGAGTTCCGACGATGGTCAAGACGCGCCTAATGGGATGGAGCGAAAGCCAGGATGCGATAGCAACACGGAATCACGTGAAGGGTTTCGAGAGCCATTACGTATGGCGCCGCTAATCAGCAGTTGAGCAGTTGTCAATACGCAGCGGGGCATTGTTCCAGAGGCTTTGTGACAGAACAGCCCGCGACGCACCGCTATTGGCCAGAGCCTGTGCTCGCACCCCTCGTTGTTTGGTCGTGTAAGCGCCGAGACGCCTTAGTCTCATGGTCGACATGGCAAAAAGTGACAGACGATGCGGTTTAAACCAAAGCTCGTCAAAATAAGGCCTGTTAAAATTCATCCTGTTAAAACAAGGCCTGCCGAGTCTGCGCCCAAGGAGTATAAGTAGCAACTTGCGCACCGCCAGAGACTGAAGGCATCCAGATCTCCAGAGCTTCATCAGCTTACCACAATCTCGAGACAGAACAGAGGGCTTCGCATTCTCGGCTGGTAACCCGACAACTCTCAGCTACAGTCAGGATGGCGGCAAGGCCAGGCGAGGAGAATGTAGCTACGCTGTGAGTGCACGACAGTCGCAATCGGGGCTTACAGCAATTGCTAACATCAAGGCCGCCTTTTACACAGCTTCGGAGACGTTCACTACTTTTACTCTCCGGCGAATGTGAAGCCTCGCCATCATCGGTTTGATAAGGGATCATACGTCTACTTGTTTGAGAACGCCAGCGAGAGGAGGTGCCGCATTGAGATTGCGAACCACCCCGGAACAGACGATCAAGATGCTTTCCATGGATGTAAGAACAAACAGCGCTGTTGTCACCAGCAGAGTACAAGAGTCTAACATATTCATTTTCCTGTCGCGAAATAGTCCTCGACCAAGCGCACGTTCGATACTCATACAAGCAACACTGCACCGTCTCTTTGACCGTTGCCGAGTCGGTCGACCAGAGCGAATGGCATCTGCCCACCTACGATCCGCGCAACGAGACCAAATACCACTACAAGCTGCATTCGCTCGACATTTACTTTTGGACGCAGCAGGATGCGCTGCAGTTCATCAGCGGCGTCCGGCGCGTGCTTCCGCCGGCCCAGGTCGAGGTCCTTGATGAGCCAGGCCCGCCTCCTCAGCCAGCGGGAATGACTGCCGTCATCCAGAAGCTTGAGACGGCTGCCATCTCCGATCCCAAGTACAACAACGAGGCGATATCGTCGCAGTCGGCTTCTCAAAGCTCGGTTGGCGGCGCTGGCGACGTTTCAGCAGTTTCGTCAACAGCTCCGAGCCTCACCTTGCCGCCGCCGCCGCCTCCTCCCTCTCAACCGGCCAGCTTTGCGCCGATGGCATATAACCCAGCTGCTCCAGCCGCGCCCGAGGCCATTCGTCATCGCGAAAAGACTCCTCCTCCGGATGAAGACCCCCTCAACCCGCTGGCAGTCGCCGTAGCATATGACTATCGTGGCCAACCTTTCACTCCCGGCATTCCTCCGACTCCAGGCATTCCCCCGCCATCTGCACTTGGCAACCTGGGGAACGGACCTCATCAGTTTGCGGCACCTCCAGCCAACCCCGTTCCTCCAGTTCATCCTGGGATTCACCGAGCCACGACGATGCCGGCGCAAGCTTTACCCTCTCCCGGCCTGCCCGGCACGTATGGAGCCGGCTTCCCGGCTTCTCCCGGCTTCTCGCCGCCGCCAGCATCAATGCCGCCAGCGGCAAACCAAGGCCTTCCTGGTCCTCCAGGTCCTCCTCCAGGCGGATATTCCAATTACTCATATTCCCAGCAGCCAGGCTATAATCCAGCGGCGCCTGCAGATTATTCCATACATCAACAGGTGTATCGACCGACCGAGGCCGAGGCTCATGGCCACCACGGACATCAGCCAAAGAAGGAGAGCAAAGGAAGACTTGAGGAGAATGCTGGACGGCTGGAACGCGGCGTGACGGGCATGCTGAAGAAGTTTGAAAAGAAGTTTGGTTAGAGTTGAAGCGACTACATGCACGAGTAGAGAACAAGACGGGGGTTGTGATTTCGTAATAGCAGGGATATCCAGACTTGGAGGAGTACCGGGGGCCTTTCTTTCTTTTTCTTTTTAAATCCTTGAATAGTATTGTGTAGCTTACAAGATAGTCGCTTGATGTTCGACGCTCCGATGCAAGATTGTTACACCTCTTCCCTATCTCGTCCCTATCCCGATCGTTCAGACGGGAGCCTTGTTTGATATGGTTAGCAGCCGACGATGTCAGCACTGACGCTTCTATTTTCGACCTAGGGCTGTTTGCTGCAGGTAGGGTGTGCTTCTGCAAATCAGCGATGAGTAGCGTGGTGGCGGTGTAAGTTACATAACGTGGACTATTGAGTTGGCTGTAAGGACTACTATTGTCCTTCAATAAGACAAAAGGGAAGATCTAACTGTCTTGCGAGTTTCCTCAAAAGGGAACAGTTTTCCGAGAAGGATAGTAATTGTATGGATGCCAATGAATAGCGGAGTTGTCTATAGGTACCTAGCCTATCGCCCTAACAAGAATTTAGGACGTAACCGGCGTGGATAAGGTAGCAGCGGGCTGTATACTAAGAATAGAAACTTTTACGACCCAGTACAAGTAGGTCGAGGGCTTCAGTAGCTGATGTTACAATATGATAACGGTCTCATCAAGAATTCATCTCTTACACAATCTTACGCATTTCTGCGCCGGGTGACGTTTTCATATCAAAGTTTTGTGAGATGTACCGCCATGAACTCAACTCAAAAAAGCCACAACTTAGTACGGAGCACACGTGTCCGGCCCTGTTTGTGCCTGCAAACACGCTGTTTGGTCTACCCAGTCTGACGTCGTGGCTTTCTCCACTGCATGATACAGCACCAGTGTCGCAAACTCCCAGAAGCTTGTTTGTTCGTGCTAGATGGCATCTGAATAGTACTTCTACATAGACATCAAATCTTTTTTAGACCAATCTCAAGATCAAAAGGCACGCGTGACAGGCGCACTAGCACTACCACCCCAAGCACACCGATCCCGCCAATGCCCTATGCAGCCATTAATAGCAAAAAGCAACGGCCCGTCCAGCGGGTAGCTTAGCAGCCCAAAAGGTGTTCGCCTGCGGGCGGACAATGGAATCAATGCTAGTGCCAGCCACCCATTTTGAGTCGACGGGCAGCGAATCGGCAGCGCCTCGCAGCCCAGCTTTTGGAACCTGCCGAATGGCTGCAACTCAACTTGGCCATGCGGTTATGCATCAGATCAGCCTTGGACTCAGCTGCGACGCGGCATTCCGACCAGCCCTAAGACGTGGCTAGGCCATCGGGACACGGAGCCTTTTTTGTTTTTTTCTTTTCCTTTCCACCAAGCGCTGGCTGAGTCGATGGTGGCTTAGCACCCACGGCTTGCTTGTGAAAGCGTCATGAATGGGGCTGACAGGCGACTTTTAGCGTATCGCCGGGTCGCCTTCTCAGGGCCTCTCGGGGGCGTCCTCGAATTAGCTACCTACGCTACAGTTGCAAAGCCCACTGGCGTCAGGCCAGCAGGTCCCGCGAGCCCCGACCCTGCATCTCATGTTTTCCGCCTCCCGCTTCCTTCTTCCTTTTCTATTGCTGCCCGCCCCGTCTCGTATTCTCTGCTCTTGATTGTTTTTTTTCTCGTCATACTTGCTGTGCTCCGTAACCTCACTTCATCCCATTGCTTGCTCGATACTGTCCGCCGCTCCCCGCATAGTCGACGCTGCGAACCTGGTCGTCCCACCTCGCTAAGAAGCCAGCCGCTACATCATCTGCTTGGATCCTCGGTCACTGGAGAGACGCTGGCGCCGCCCGCACTGGGGAGCTTACCTACGTACGATACGAGCCGCGCCTCCGGCAGAGGCCCAATGCGGACCTCAGACTCGTGAAGCTGAAACGACCGACAGAAAAATCTCACTCTCCCACAACCAGCTATCGCGATTGCCTCTTCTCTCCTCCCCATCCATCGGACCTGCGTCCTCCCAGTACATGTCTCGCGCGGCCGGCGAGGATGTATCTTCCCATACCCAGACGAGCGGCGCAACCTGCTGATGGCGCTGAGCTGTCGCAAGCGACTCGCCACCTCCATACGCTAGTGCGGCGGGATGGAATGGGTGGCAGCGTTATAGGCGCTGTAAGTTCCCAAGATGAAGACAGTTATTGGGGTCAGAAAATCTTTTCTAACGCAAGAAATGCTGTAACAGATCATCATAGGCGTCGTCGTTGCAATCATTGTGGTTGTTCTCCTCGTACTTTTCATCAGGCGGAGAAGAAAGTTCAAAAAGACCAAATACGAACGTGCTCAGGGAGACGATACGAGGGAGGTGGCCAACTCCCGTGGCATCAACGCAACGGCTACATCGAGGACTGGACGAGCTGCACGATCTAATGGCCCTCCTCCCGCGTCATCAAATCGCAACAATGCGGCTGCAAGCGGCAATGTGGACCGCAACACGTCGGTTCGCTCGGTCATGACTCTGCCCGCTTACCGCCAGGATGCCGCACAAAACGAACAGGTCATAGGGCGAGAAGGCGAAAGAGATGGCATCGATGTCATTGTCGACTTACCCACCGAAGAAGAGGTGGAGGCTCTGCGCGACGAAGAGATGGAGTCCATGTACCAGATCCGGCTTGCGCGGCGGCAACTGATTGACGAACAACAACAAAGGAGACTTGAGCGACAGGAAGCCCGAACACGAGGCGATGTCGCAGCGCTGGCGGACATCCGTTCTCGTACACGAGCTGCGAATAACAGCACCGTCATCGACGACCTCCGCCGCGAAATGGAACGAGCCAAGGAGAATCGAAACCTCTCCGTGTCCAGTGTATCTTATGCAGATGTTGGACTGGCTCGCCATGACGGTACAAGAATCCGTGCCAACAGCACCGAAAGCGAGCGCGTTGGTCTTCTTTCGGATGCCGGAACTATTGCGGTGTCTGATAATCGGTTATCCCAACAGCACAGCCGCGTGATGAGCGAGAGCTCCGTCATCAGCATGGACAGCAACTTTCCCTCGCCGGCCTTGACCCGGTCTGCCGAAGCCCCAAGCGAAGCCAGGGCAGGGTCGAGCCCCGAGCTTGTGGAGGCGGATTTGGGCGACGAAGCTATGCCACCTCCGGGCTATGAAGACGTTTCTCTCGTGGACGACGATGATTTCCAAGATCGGTCAATCCTGCCAACACAAGAACCACCGCCAGACTATCCAGGCCACCATCGATCAGAGTCGCAAAGGAGCCGGCGGAACGAGACATCGCCGTCTCTTGAGTCGGCCTCGAGCCAGAATAGTTCGACAGAGCGCGACGAGCGACGCATCAGCCGCGGCGTTGGCGGCATACCTCAACTGCCCAGCCTGCGAATCAGAGACCTTCCTCCAATCACGGTTGAACCACCAAGCGCACGCCCGCCGGAACGTGAAGGCGCCGAAGAGGCTGAGCTAAGTCCATTGTAAAAGAGGAAAAAAGTTATACATACATGCTGCGAAGAATCTTGGATATTTTTGCTCTTTTCTGTGTTTTACCCTTTTCTTTTCTCTTTTCTTTTCGTGTCTCTCTTTTATGTGTTGATCGAATGAGCTATGATTTATGGACAGCCTTTTTTTTTCACTTATACTTAATATCCTGGATTTGGATGCGTGGGGAGTGCAAACGGATATGAAGCAAGCGCCATGCTGTGTTCCCATGCTGAGTTTGTTTGTTTGAGACGGGCGCTTCCTTTTTTTTCTCCCTTTCTTATGTCCTACGTCTTCATGGGCGGTGTTATGGCGAGAAGGAGGAGGGACAGAGGAGGCTTTTTTGTATATAGAATCAGATCAGGGATGATGGAAGCTGTGGATTTTGTATGTGCGTGTGAAATACTGCAAAGCATAGGAAGCTTGTTCTTCATTTATAGCCTATATAGTACTTACGTCACTCTACTGGTTTACTCCCTTTTTTTTTGTTCATATATTCGGGCCTACCTTTCTAGATGCGATGGCAGCGGGACCATTCTGCGACATCTCAGATTGTAGGTAGCCAATAAAGGACAGAGAAATGGGGTTTCAGCATATCTCTGCAGGCGATACATCTACATCGGGTCAAAAGATGGTTGATGTGATGGAGTTTACATTCTTCAATCCAAGACAATAGCGGTCAGCAAAACTAGAACCAGCAAAGCAGGTGTCGTGATGCATCAATCTCTCGCGATCCCTAAACAGACTGAGGTGTTGTACGAGGTACGCGACATATACGGCGCTCCACCGTATTCCCGTGTTTTTTTTTTCCCCTGCCAGGGCTGCAGATTTTGCCGGACGCCCAGTTATATAGTCTTTTCGGTGGCCAGGCACATGGATGCAGCGCGAAGCACTAGCAGTATTGGCGTTCTAACTCAATTGCGTGCGTGGTATCATTGCTGTGCAGTTGAGGGGTAGATGGATTCGAGAAAAAATGGCTGAACGAGGGCGTCGGGGAATCGGGTCGAGACTCTTGGCAATCCCTGCAAAATGTTTTCCACTTCATCGGAACCAGCTCTTTTTTTTCTTTTGTTTCATTCTTCCAGCCTTCTTTCCTGAGAGCAATCGGAGGAAAAAAAAAAAAAGACAAGGGAATATTATTAGTAGACGGCGTAGCTAGCTATTTTAACTTTAAAACTCCCGTTTTTCCAAGAGAGGGGGGAAGACGGGGAATTTAAAAGTGACATTTTCTTTTTTAACCTTTTGGCGTTGAGGCCGTGTTTTTGTGTCCGGTCTCACTGGCGCAAATGCGCGGTCAGCGGCACCGGGTGGTGCGGGCGCGTGGCCATGTGTAGGTACATGGTCGGGCGATGTAGCCGAGCTGGGGACGTCTTGAGCCAATGAAATGTTTGGAAGAGGGAAACAGAGTTATTTGGACGGCGGCGTGTCGGTATTGGCGTCGTGCTTGTGATGGTGATTTGTTAGTGGAGGAGTCTAGTTGTAAGTTGGCAGTTGAGAGGAGAAAGTTCTGATTGAGAATGAAAGCCGGACAACAGATTCACAACAAACATGACCAGGCTGAAAACGACTCGAGCAACTGGATGGTCGCTGAGAAATTGGCCAAGCAAGCATTGTGGCCTTGATCGTACGGTATCGTCCGATCCACGATGCCGCAGGGGAGCTTTGTTGGAATTGACACGTCCCCACTTTATCCGATCGTGATGCTATAGCGCACCGGAGAGGCTTGTCACGGCCATGCTGGCAACGTCCAGGCCATGAATTGCATCATTCTTTCTTCTCAATGATTAACATCTTTCATTTCATCAGTAAGCGACCAAAGAGAGGAAATGCAAAAGGGGGCATCTCATCATTTGTTTAAACAAGGAAAATCGGTTCTCCCATCTTCAATCCCGCGCGCTTAGTGACTTAGCAAAGCTTTAGCTAAGCTTCGGCCGTCCACTTTTTTCAACGCCCCGCCCAACCCACCGGCGGGGTCAGCGCCGTTTGTCAGGCTCAAGTAATGCTGATTGTAATGTTTTGTTTTTTTGAAGCACTGCTGCAAATCTACACAGAGGCGAAATCTGGACTGTGAAACTAATTGGCAGCCAATATTAATTAATGCTGACACGATGATTACAGTCTCTTTTTTGTATTTTTTTTTTCTTTTCTGGTCAAAGCTCTGGTTTCCTATTTCGGCATCTCGGAAACTCCCTACCTAGCAAGTTGACGTTTTTGCCAATTCATCGTGATTACCAATTGCAGCCAATGTGCATTCCAGCGATTCAGCCCAGATCTGATGCCTGCCATTATGTGATGGTGCCGTAAAACCAAGTACGCTATACTTGTAGATGTGGAAAAAAGAGGGTCTCTTCGGAAACGATGTACCTCACAATGCCGTGATCTCATAGCCAGACGTAGAGGTACCGCGGATATGCAAGCACACCACACACCACACACCTCGACCTTTTTTGGAGATGCAGCAAGCAACCTTTCCACTAAGACCCAATTCATGGCTAGGCGTCTCGGAATTCAGCCGGGTCCTTGCATGGCCCTGTCCCCCTGGGTATAAGAACTCAGGTCCTCCCTTCCCTCCTTCTTCGGATCTTTTGGAAAGCCTCATCACAGTCACTCACAGTTGTCTGAATTCAAAAAGCTTCTTCCTTTTCTTTTACAGCTTAATACTATTTTTTTTTCTTTGAGATACCCCCCCAGTTTTCCTCTTTTGGAAACTCTAATAATCACAATGGCTCCCAAGATTGCTATCGTCTACGTAAGTTGAGGCCTACCATTCACTTCTCCACCTGCCTGTAGCTATCAATTGGCCGTGCAAAACATCAATTGCATCGCCAATTCTAGAACACAAACATGACAACCCTATTCTTCACCAGAATCTTTCTTTTTACTGACACCAAATCTCCAGTACTCCATGTACGGCCACATCAGGCAGCTCGCCGAGGCCGAGAAGAAGGGTGCCGAGGCTGCTGGCGCCCAGGTCGACGTCTACCAGCTCCCCGAGACTCTGTCCCAGGAGGTCCTCTCCAAGATGCACGCTCCTCCCAAGCCCAGCGATATCCCCATCCTTGAGGACCCCAAGACCCTCACCCAGTACGACGGCTTCCTGTTTGGCATTCCCACCCGATATGGAAACTTCCCCGCTCAGTGGAAGGTATGTATCACACAATCCGATAGTCCTACGCACAAAAGGGAACAGTGCTAATCAGATTCTTTGTATAGACCTTTTGGGACATGACCGGTGGAATCTGGACCTCCGGCGGCTACTGGGGCAAGAAGGCCGGTCTCTTCATCACCACTGGAACTCCCGGCGGTGGTCAGGAGTCCACTGCCCTCTCCGCCATGTCCACCCTGGCTCACCACGGCATCATCTACGTTCCCCTCGGCTACGCCAAGACCTTCCCCGACGTCACCAACCTCACCGAGGTTCACGGTGGCTCTCCCTGGGGCGCCGGTTCCTTCGCCGGTGCCGATGGCTCTCGCCAGCCTTCCGAGCTCGAGCTCCGAATTGCCACCGCCCAGGGCCAGGCCTTTGCCGAGACTCTCTCCTCGTGACTACATGGCAGCAAAGAGAAGAAGTCGGCTGTCAAGGTGGCCCCAACCAATTCGTCTACTCCGGCTGCCCCCAAGCCGGAGCCGATCCCGGAGAGAGAGGAGAATGAGAAGGATGGCTTCTGTGGTCTTCCAGTGAAGTGTGTCATCATGTGAAGGAGATGGGAGAAAAAGAAATGGTCATTTTGAGAGAGGAAGAATAATTATATAACTATACGATATCAGCTGCAATTCTTTTGCCATGACTTTAATTACAATACCTAGCACTAGATGCAATAGAATTGAAGTACATTAATCTTGTCAGTCTCGCTAGTCTTGATAAAACGTCATCTGGTGATTCTTTATAGATGCTCCTTCTTGCATAGTGCACAGTGAGGTTTTCACAAAACATAACACTAGATTCAGTAGAATTAAAATAAATTAATCTTATCAATCTTGCTAGCCTTGGCTATAATGTCGCATTGTAATCATCTCTACTAGTCATGATCCCATTATATATGCTCCTTCTTGCGGAGTGCACAAATCTCCGCCATGCAGTCGACGGAGAGCAAATCGTGGCTTATTTGCTTCGCGTTTTTCCCAATCATCAAGTCGTCAACTAGTTGGTACAAGTAAGTAATGGTAGTCTCTTTGGAAGAACTCCTTCCCAAAGGATTTCCGCCAAAAGACTCCCAGTAGCTGGTCTGTAGATCCTCAATCACATATAAGCCGCCCGGCTTGACGACTTTCCAGAGAAACTCCAGGGAAGTCATCTGCTGGTCCATTGTGTGCCCGCCATCATCTATTATTATATCAAAAAGCCCGTCTGCGGTTGCTTCTGTGGAAAACCTTGCGAGGAAGAGAGTGTCTGCCTGATCGCCGACGAAGACGTGCGCGTTGGGGGTTTTGTCTTGGTATTTTTTGGCGCACTGTCCATCGTACTCGATAAAGTAGAGGTTGACGTAGGGAAAGTATTCGAGCCAAGTGTAATAGGAAGCTCCGGGGCCATAATCCTGTGGGTGCCTGGTGGTTAGAGATTGTCCATCTGATAGAATAGGATCCGCGCTTACCATGTTGCAGCCAAGGCCAATCTCCAAGACCTTCAACTGATCGTCTCGAATGCCCGACAGATACTTGTCGTACATGAATTGATATTGGTGAGTGGTGACTTTGTCTGTGCCATATTTGCGCGCAATCTGCTCAAAGTCTGGGCGTCCGGCGGCGGCTTCATCACCAAAGCTGTTTTCTTGATGAGCGGGATTGGTGATGACAGAAAACGCACCAAGGAAACGATACGCACCGATGAGACGTCAGTTTCTCTTGGATACTCTCTGCCGTTACACTGCCCCACTGGTTGAATACCGCATAGAGAAAGAGGGTGGCGGACGCAACAAAAGCCAGATAGAGGGACCGATTGCCTGTCATTGTGACGTCGAGCCGTGATGATCTTCTCTGGCGATCTTCAGATGCTGCGGAGAAAGGCAGTGGAAGGCTCCGGTGATGAGTGATTCAATGGCCAAACCCTTGATGAAGCCATCATGTAGTGGCTACAATGGTACTGAGAGTCCTTTGTCGGATGTGCGCTGCAGTTCAGCCGAGAGGGCAGGTGCAGCCTGTCTATACACCTGCGGACTGTCTGCTGCCATATTTCAACAAGGGAAAGATGCAACGAAAAGGAATCACTTTCACAACACGGCAACAACAACTGGCTAAAATGGAGAGGCGCGTACATCATACCGCTTGTTGTGATGCCTATTCAGCAAGTGCCACCACGCAAGAGCGGCTCTTTCCTCTCGAGCGCCTGTGTCTACATCGGCAGGTGACTTTGGAGTCACTTCAAACAAGCAACCACGTTTTCAGGTCTGCCTACCCGATCCACCTCTACAAATTGCAATTGCTGTCCTTCATAGAATTACTACGTGTCCATCGCCTCATCTATCTTTTACATGCTTGTACGTGCTCATACTCTGCCGTGTCCATCCATATATCAGTCATAAACTCTAATTTGGGCGTGCCGCACCCCGTCGTCTCCCCCACACAAGCCCTCTTTTTTTTCTTTAATTTCTGTTCCCCCTTTTCTTAAACAGGTCCGTCTCAGACCCAAAAAATGGATTCGGCTGGAACGGCGTCAGAACGTGCGGATCCGATTGCAGTTCGCCATCATACGGCCGCTGGCGATCATCTCCCACCGGGGGCGCTACTTTGATCTCTCCGCGATATATTTCAATCACAGATATGACGGGCATAACTAGGAGCAGCATCGACAGAAGCTGACCAAAGCTCCAATCCTTCTCGCCCTCGTCGCTTAGTTTGACTGATGGATGTCCAAAAGCTTGAGACAGCAAAATCACCCGTACCGCCGCCCCAATGGCAACGGCCATCATGAGGATCCATCCCACGACTTGTACGATTTTATAGAATCTCTGCTTCCGGCTATGCAGATACCATGTTGCGAGCACAAAGATGATTACGTTTCCCGCCATTGCCGCGATGGTGCCCACATAAGATAACCCAGCATTGGATGGAGCCTTCTCTCCGTCAACTTTCCAGACACAGGCAACGGGCAGAGTCGACTTGTCTAGCCCCTTGGAGACGGTCTGAAGGACAAACACCCCAGAAACTGACGATAGTGCCAAGTTGACGAACATGAGAAACTGTCTCAGCCATCTCAGAACCCAGTCACGGCGGTAATCTCGAACTAGCGCCAGAAGTGTTGTATTGTGCGTTGCCATGGATAGGAGGGACAACATCCAAATCAGGAAGAAATGATATGGGACAAGGGAGTTCATCTTAGCTAGACCAACGCCTGCGAAGCCATTCATTCATTAGCGTCGTGCTACCTGGAGATATCCGGGGTTCGTTCGAGCCGCTTACTCTGGATGCCGATCCCTTGCATGATCTGTGAGTCGCTGTATCCGTTGAGTAGCTTTCGCCGGGTTGTTGAGTTTTTCCCTTTAAAGTCCACAAGAATAACGCTCGCTGATAAGATGATGGCCAGCAGGGCTGTGATCATGAAAGAAAGGAGAATCTATGCGTCACAGTCAATAGGGTGCCCGACGATGGCAGGGCCGTGGTGTTCTCTCACGACCTTCTGCCGCGAGTGCCGGTCAACATACTCCTTGCCCTGCAACCCCCGAATCACTGGGGGTGGATTCAGGTGCAGACGTGCAGTTCAGTGTCCCCATGTTGGAAGATGAGGAGATTATGCTTTGTCAAGCAATGGGATCATGAAATGAAGATTGTGGAACGAAGCAATTACGAGCAATGTCAAATTAAAAGAAGAGAAAAACAGAGTCGCCAGCTGATGCCAGTCTACTTTAAGAAGCAATTTGCATTTGAGGACTTGGCATGGTGGGGAGCTCTCATTATGCCCAATCTGTTCGTATGACATCTACAGCAGCATCTGATGATGGACTAGACTGGGCGGCTCACCTTGAAACACGGGAGGGTGTTTGGGCTGCTGGAGCCGCCCGTCATCGACTGGCCAAGATTTTTTGCATCTGCCACATCTGCCACGGTGGCTATCAATACCCTGCGCTTCGACATTCCTGGGCGACAAAACTGCTTGGCTGCCGCTGCTAAGCCATACAGCATGAGGGCAGGATTCAGGAATTCGCCAGGATCTGCTGTTGTTCTGCTAATCTTGGAGCTTAGAGGGAAAAGCTTAGGTGATGATCATCACTAGCCACCTTGTCCAAGTTTGGAGGAGCACAGTCCCATGGCCTGCCGCCATAGGACCCCGGCAGTTGGGCAAAATGAGTTCCACTGCGCACTGAAAACAGAGGCACGCCTTGCAACCCTGCAGCTCAGCAACATGGTCTGTCTACCTAATTCGGCATCAGTCACAATTGAGTTTGCTTTTTGTTCTTCTAAGCTGCAGGACGCTTAGATAGCGCCTACAGGGTACTCTACGAATTATAAGCACTGGTGGTTGGAGATATTATCATCGATACGAATCACATGAGGTGAAGTTCGCTTTCTACCGTGTCAGCCCACGCGACCAGCTTGCTTAGCTCCTTTGAGAATATAATGAAAAATGACAACCGGGGGTCAAGAGGGGAAAATGAGAGCAACGGGCTTTGCTGATCGACCGTTCGAGAATATTAACATTAACATGCTCGAGGCTACAACATACATTTGGGTGCAAGTGCCTATTATTGGTGTCGCACCACAGCGGCCCTTTATAAGATTTGATCCGACTTGAGCGCTGCAGTCGGTCCCAAGCAGGATATTAGCCCTGTATTCTGTCTTCAAAGGGGAAAGAAGGGGAAGAGAAGATCATGAGCCGTGGCTGTGTCCTCCCTTGCTTTGTCTTGCGGCAACCCCGTTGTTTTTTTTCTTAACTTTCGCCCCCAGCTATCGGGATAGACTTGCGGCGGCCGACCTCTGATAAAAACTCCACTCATGCGCCCCTACGGAGACAATTAACCAATGCGATGCCAGCTTTATAGATGCCTATGGCTGCAGGGATACTGACTTGGGAAAAAAACAAGTTGAAACTTTTGTGATGGAAGCATGGGGCACTTCGTAACTGCACAGCACGCCGTTGCCGCCATCTCATCTCAACACCAGACGGCACAGTTCCGCCAAGTACAGACTTATTTCTGAGGCACCTGAGACATGGCAACACATTGCCCCGTTACCGGCTGACTGGATCAATAGGAAGCGCATGCCATGTATGAAGTACGGATGCCTCTGGTATAATGAGTGCAACGCTGCCTATGCTCAATTAGACTCTCGCCTCTCAGCCGAGCTCATTGGGAGATCTCTAGCGCTAGTCGCCCGTAATAACGATCGACGCGCGAGATGCCCTGTCTGTCAGGCTGCGTGTGCCTTCTTCTTGTCAAGGGATGGGGTCTTGTCCCCTATCTTCATCAAGGCAAGCCTAGCGCCAAGGATACCTGGACGATCCACGCAACTATGAACCGCTCGGACTGAGGCCCAGCTGCTTGGATCGGTCCAAGATGCTTGTCATCAGCGGACATGTCGGACGATGGCCATTGTCGACCAGACGGGCGGCCGACGCCGTTAGACTAGGACGGCAGCAGCCCTGTCCGGCCACCGCGCTGGCCGCGAAGGCAATGGCAAACCAGCGCCGTTTGCTGCCATCGTCGAACTTCGAAGTGACCCCTTTGAGACCCGGAGAGCCGCAAGTGGATCGTGGGTGCGCTAAACAGCGGCCGTCGCCAACAATACCGAGCGCAGGTGCAAGTAGTGGCAGGTGGGCCGTGGACGTTGACCTGCGTTCAATCCTATGCTCCCCGGCATAGTAAGCTTCAAGTGCATATAACGCCACCGCAACAGCAGCAGCAGCAGCAGCAGGCTCGAGAGTCAAAGCGTTTAATTTGCGAGGCTACCAACACCGTATACAGGTATATTAAGTAGTTCATGTACTGCTGGGTAGTGCTGGCAGTAGCCACTACCACGACTATACGGCTGTGTACTTTGTGGTGCTGTTGCTCGACGTTTCAGCTGAAATGTCGCTGGTTAGCCACGCACGAGGATCGCACATGGCTTAGAGGCCCTGGCTCATCAAAACATGCTCCCCATGTGGTTCACCCGGCCGGACGGTTCACTGTTAGGCCTCTGAGACTCTAATTTTGCACACATGACCCAGGAGCTCGATGGGATTTCAAGACCGGGGAAGTGGCCCGGCAAGCGGTGCACCGGAACTGAGTAGCATTTCATGGCCCGCGCCCCCCCCCAGAGGGCAACGGCGCATTTTTTTTTCGCGAGTGTTGGTTGGTGGATAGCTCAGAGATAAACTGGACATGTCTTGGAGTTGGAGCAGGCCAATGCGGAAAAGTGGCAGCAGTAGCATCATCTTCATACCCAAACCCCACATATGAGGTGATGCTATATTGCCTCCCCCTTGCCTTTGCTCGCCAACGCTGCGAGTGCCGGCGAGCTACCGTAGGGCATCCTTGCAGATTTGGCCAAGCTACGGGATCTGTCAGTCGGCGACTGTCTGATTCTCTTGCCCCCTCTAGCGCCAGTTAGCTAACCATACTGCCGGTCCCATGTCAGTGGGTTGTCGAGGAGAGGGGGCCTTTACTCCTGCTGGCTGAGAATTTCGCTCGGCCGCAGACGGTGGCAGCGAGTAGAAGGAAATGTCTATACGGACAGGTTGACATTGCGTTGCCACCGGTGGAGCGCCCTCTCCACGACCGCTTGCTTCATTTCCATTGCCATGTTTTCTCAAAATGGCCCACCGCCCATATTCGAGGCGAGCATGTCTCAGCCTGTACGGAGCAGATGAAACCTGGCCAACGACGGTTGTGAGCAAAAGCTACTTGTAGTATGCAATCCTAACATGTGGGCTCATGCTTGGGATACCACTTTGGGTACATACATCTGGGCCAGCCCTTGTCCTCGCATCCACACCCCCCCTCTCTTCCTGTTATGCCACCTTTGCGGCGGCGCTTCCCGTAGTCAAGTGCTTGTTATTAGATTGATCTAGGATAATTAGCCAGGAGCAGCTCTTGGGCGCCCTGGGGTTGCAAGCTTTATATCTCTCTGCATGCCTTGTCTTGCATGATATTATCGAGATCAAATCTTGTCCACAAGTCTCCTTCTAGTCCGCCATGATCGTCCTTCCTAGGCCTACTATGCTTCCGAATCTGGGAGCTCCTAGTGCTCACAGCACAAATATCGAGTCTTCTGGCTCACGATTCGTCCACCACTATCATCCTTACCGCAACCCTCAACATCACACAAGTCAGCCTCACCAACCTCACAACAACCGCCATCGTCAACATCAACCTCAAATGGGCCATCTGCAACAGCAACAGCATCAGCAACAGCATCAGCATCGGCGTCAGCTCAGCCACCCACATCCACACCGACATGATAGTCCTCCTCGACGGCAAGAGCAGCAACTGCAGCAACAACAACCACAGCAACGGCAGTATCATTCCCCGCAGCCTCAGCAAGCCCTCCACCATCGGCAGCATTCACGAACCATGCCGTCGTCCCTGATCGAGCGTCTGCCGCCAGATGTCCAAAAGACTGTCTTCTCGTACCTTGACTACGAAGCCCTCATCCATCTATCCACCATGAATCGATACTTTCATCGGGTTCTAGATCCTCAGAGGATGGCCGACCCGGCAGACAAAGCACAGTTCATCATGAGGGCGGCGAAAGACTTCCCCCAGCATCGCCCTAGCGAGAAGGGACATGACTACAAGCCTGGGAACTTTGAGTGCTACGTTTGCTTCCGTGTGCGATCGCCAGAGCATTTTGACATGCTGCAGCCCCAGTCCGTCTATGTCGATATCCACGGCCAAATCGTCCGTGACCGAGAGCCTGACACGCGGTCGGATAGGCTCATCATGCTTCGACGATTCTGCATCTCGTGCGGCGTGGACACGGGCATCCATGCTCCGTTCGACTGTCTCACTACACGGACGGGGCGCGATCTTTGGGTCTGCAGATGTAGGAAAGTGTGGTCCAAGCCGCTCTGTCTTCGGTGCCCTGACTGCCAGGGAGACTGTCCTCTCCGGCCAAGAAGGAAGCTGGGTGTTGACCGTCCATGATTTGCGTGTTTGCGTTATTGGCGGCGGATTGTATGGTTGGAGATGACAATACTGCGTTGCTTGTGTGTTCTTGGTGGCGGATGCATCAAACCGGATCGGAACTGGGAAAGAGTGTGGACAAACTCTTGGGACGAGATATATAATTACGGCCGTTTTGTAGAATTGGGGGGATTCTGAGGGTGGAAGGGTTACACAGGGAACTTTGGGGCACAAAGGGGAGTTATGCATTGCTGGCGTTTACGGGGGTTTATACTAGGTACACGAATACTAGCATGAGATTGGCATTTATCTTACTACAGAGGCAGTAGCTGCTGCTATGAATTTCATTCCATCACATCATCTCCAAGCTTTCTATCTAGAGTAGTAAGATTAGTGAAAGTAGTAGGAGTAGATAATTCAAGTAGAGGTTTTAAAATCCTACTCCATTCTAATTGCTGGATTCATCCATGTTTTCAAGCTCTTCATCAGCTTGGATGCTTTCCATCCAACATTGCACTTGCGTATTTCCAGCCATCTTCGTCCCCGATACTACTCTCTCCTTCACGGTAAATATCCCCACCACTACCACCATGATCCGACAAATCTTCCACGCGACTCATGGCCATGATGCGATGTAAATCTCAGGACCTATGTCATACCCCCTGCAGACAAGCCGAAGGCTCAAAGTCCTGGCGTTTTAGCTAGTGGAATTGAACAACAACAGATCTGTCATCGGTTTCTCGCAGTGGCTTCAAGCCCATTTCTCCATTCTTGTAATACCAAAAAAATGCTTCAACATCATCTCTAGCGAAATACTGGAGAGACCCAGGACACAACTGGTGGTGAATTTGTCATTGGCTGGCTTCAGCCAAGGACTGTACTCGAAGGATTCCCTTCAATTGGGTGATTGGTGATCCATTTATGGACGGAGATCAAATTTTGACAGCAATTCCCAGATATTTAATCTTCCATTCTCCCTCTCCAAACGACAACACACCTGATATACTCCCTCCTTCCAAGGCCCCAAGACATTCTGGAGTTTTAAAGTAAGCTTTCGCAAGCGCAGTATGCTATCTGTCTTCGGGCCGTATATGAGTTTTCAGTAATGATTCTGAAATGTTATAGGCAGTTCAATGTGAAGGAGCTGCCATAACGAAAACGCATCGTGAAATATAATCTCTACGAGGGACGTTTAGCCAAGTAAAGCAACGAATATTTCGCCATATTTAACATTGCGTACAACGATCAAAGAGGCAGCCTTGTCATGCAAACGAGTTATGTAGTGAGCAGCACAAGAAAGTCGCCGAAGAGGTAAAAACAGAATGAGCAGTAGCATTATTTAAGCAAAAAGAATAATCAATTTGATCTAAACGAATTAGCGCTCACAACCGTGTAAAATAAGTTGACGCTTGGTCGATGCTGGGCTACTCTCTAGTCCTCTTCATGATACCTTCTGCTAAGTCTATCGGCGCTACTTCAGTTGCCATCCTTATTGCTCCTCATTGGCTTCGTCATTCAGAGACAAGGGCAAAGAGATGTTCTTAATGGGTGTGTCGTCTGCATCGCGAGGGACCCAGAGGGGGAAATTGCCTCTGACCACTTCGTCATACCATCCTGGAGATAGGTCAGCACCGACTCGACATATAAGCCAGGAGAACACCTTCGTACGCCTGGCCTGCTCTGTGAAGTGCTTGCGCTCATGGCTTTTTGATCTTCTCTCGACTGGTAGGAGATGATAAATTATATAATGCTTTCTTATGCCGCCCGCCATTTTGTGTTGTTGCAACCTCTAGAGATGACTCAGTATTAATTCATGTATGAGAAACTAAACTGAGCTCAACTTACAAACTGACAAAGGCGGTTGTTGTCATCCCGGTATCGACAGAAGATCTCTCCAGGTATGAGGATCACTTCGCCGTTCTTCCGGAATGTGTCAGCACTTGGGCCACCGCGTGCAAAAGTTGAGTGAGGTATGTCATACTTGGTTGAATTGAAGAGGGGGCAAAAGTTGCTCAAGTCGATTTGCAGGCTGGCCAGATGCTCCCAGATCCGCGTAGCATATGCGGCTTTCGCGAAAGGAGCGGTAATGATTGACTCCTCTGACCATGATGAAGTGATGGATTTGTCTCTGAAAATAAGCGATATACCTTTCCAGAGACATGTCCAGGAATTGTATGGTAGGTAGTTTGTAGCAGAAACAAATTCGAGCGCGTTGCCCTGCGATGCGTTTTACAGCGCCTTCCTGATAGTCTTCTCTGCGCACCAGAGTTTAATTAATGTTTTGGCAACACGCAAGCACACATGACCAGAAGAGAAGGTTTGAGGATTCAGTACAAGGTTCAAACAGGCTTCGCTCTCGTAGCAGCGAGCACTTGCGATTTGTCCAGCCTGACACGCCGGCTACTCTGCTTGAGCCTGTCTGGTAACTTGAACGAGCGTCACGAGTAAAGTGCAAACACTGTCGTGTTGTTGCCCTTGCTTGCATGTATCCCCAGCAGTCAGATTTCTTTCTTGGCTGAGTCAAGGAATTCGCAGTAGCAATGTATATCTCTATTTCACTGACTGCCGCCAGAAGCTTCGCCCGAGAGCTTAAAAGAGGACGCCCGAATCGCTCATCGAATCTAAAGCCATATGGAATCTTCCACCCTTGCGGTGGTGCTGGCAACCACTGATCAAGCCCAATAAGAGAGATACCAAGCTAATTGCGCAGTGGCGAAATTGCAAAGAGTAAATAAACCACCTGTCAAAAGAGTAAAAGGTGGCTAATGCCCTGAAAACAAGTACATCTACATGTATTCAATCTCTGTGTGCTTGAAGTGGGACGGCTTATACGATCTACCAAGCGATAACTACACCCTGAGCATCCGACTTTGGCGGATCCACAGGCTTTGGGGGAAAATATACAGTAGAAATGAGGAAGAAATAAAGATGCTGTTTTCTCCAAGAATCAGTCACATAGGTTTTAGTGATTCAATTCGCTTGGTAGCTCAAAATAAGAACTAAAGAATTCTCCGCAAAACCAGCGTTGCCAGGTCAGGGATGCTTGATGCCCACACGCCCACTTGCAGGCTTTTTTTTCTCCATTGATGTGAGATCCACAACAGCGACTGGATACTGCTGGTTGCGCCCTACTCAAAAGTTGAACTTCTGATTCATGATTAAACAATACCAAAAAAGGGCAAAAAAGTGCCATTACGAGGAGTCGAACCTCGGTCTTCAGTGGTTTGTAGTAATACCACAAACTGATGTCTTAACCGTTGGACCATAATAGCTAGCACTTGTATTGATACTAATTTTGGGAAAACTAATTACATAAAGGTGCAAAGCTAACTGCTAGTTACGAGATGGCTTTAATTCAGTTGTGATTGTGACCAAGATGCAGGATTTCCAACTTGAGTAATACCATTCTACTACTGTACAGAATAAGTGCATAGGCTTGTGAAACTGTAAAAGATAAGGCCACAAAGAGAAGCAATCCGGTTTTACATAGAGCGGCCATTGAAGGCCACTAGATGATGGCCATTGATAAGACGACTCAAACAGTCAGAGGCCTCTCCGCATTGCGTTTGACAAACGCCACTGCAATTGCAATTTTACCTTGGATAAGTCCTGTATGAACTAAAGAAACGAGCTTAGACGGCTGATCCAGATAAGAAAAACACTCACTCTATGAGCCTCCGCTAAGACTGAAGTAGCAGCAGAAAGTCGATGGCCGCTTTAGCGTCATGTAGTCCCCTCAATCCGGCAATTATAATGTAAGTGCCATCGGTCTCTACCCCTCCGTCACAACTTATTTAGAAGCTGCCCGAGATTGTAATTTCTTAAACACCACATTCCAACTCAAAATGATTCGCTGGATCTCGTCTACGGCGCTGCTTACAGTTCCTGTGAGCGTCTGCGCGCACCAATTCGCCGCGTATGGCGGTAACCAGATCCCCTTTTGGGCTCATACCGACGCTGCCGTTGACGAGATTGACTTGTCGACATACGATTTCTCGGGCATTGGCACCTACGCACATGTTCCTTATGAAAACTGCTTTGTTGATGACGGCTCTTCGAAACCCTTTGACATTGCAATTTTGGGTGCTCCATTCGATACTGTTCGTCGATGTCTCCCTCAAACTATCTCTGAATGTTGTCTTAGACTAACTGCTTGAACCTAGGCCGTTACTGCGAGGCCGGGTGCGAGGTATGGACCTAATGCTATAAGGGCAGCCTCACAACGGAAGGCATATGGATATAGCATCTACACGGGTGAGAGATATTGACTTAAAAAGTAGTATCTGCATAGTCTACTTACTATCTACCATTAGGTCGCGATCCCGTCCATGACTGGGCTCGGATTGTTGACTGCTTTGATGCCCCCTTAACGTGGCTTGACAACCGCGCAGCACTCAAGACGCTTGATCAGGCTCACAGGGTCATCTCTGGGCGACCAACAGCTCACCCCGATGAATCAACTGTTCCAAGAATTATAACCTTGGGAGGAGATCACACAACGACTCTTTCGGCGTTGCGTTCCACACATAAGCGATGGGGACCGGTTTCCGTGATTCATTTTGACAGCCATATTGGTAAGATCCAGACTCTTCCAGGCGATGAGATGATGGGATTCTAACTTTTGATACAGATACATGGGATCCAGCGGTTCTAGGTATGGGGTGCCCCCAAGCCCTTAGGAAATCTCTACTAACATTGACAAAGGCGGTGGCATATCGGATTATGCGTAAGACATGGTGTATCCGTTACAGTTCTTTTACTGATATCTATCAAGAGGTCTGAACCATGGCACATTTCTACACATTGCTCATGAAGAAGTGGGTTTTACATGGCCGTATTACCGACAATGTTGACATACTTCACAGGGACTCATTCTCAATTCCTCAATCCATGCTGGTATTCGTGCTCCTTTGACCCGTCGGAAAGCGGATATCCGAAACGATATCCGATGTGGATTCGAAATCATTACAGCAAGGGATATCGACACCAACGGAACGCGAGCCATCATTGATAGAATCCGCGAACGAGTTGGTGATACTAATACTTATATTAGCGTTGACATTGATGTATTAGACTTGGCATTTGCGCCTGGTAAGTCCAATCATTTACCTAGGATACATTCTTTTTATAGAGTCTAGTTACTAACGGAGGTATTTGGCTGAAAAGCTACTGGTACTCCAGAGCCGGGTGGCTGGAGCACTCGCGAGCTGCTCACCGTTCTAGCCGGACTGGAAGGCTTGAACATCATTGGGGGCGATGTGGTGGAGGTAGCACCAGCATATGACGACAACGGCGAGATTACTGCAATTGCGGCTGTTGAAGTAACTCATGCTATTCTCGAGCTGCTGATTGCAAAGGCGGTCAAGGCACCCGATGACGCATAAAGTGTTGTAACACAAGATAGGGGGTAGATCGTCTCTGAGTATGCATGGGTGTTCCATATGTGTACTCGCACCTTTCTTCAAAGACAGGAGAAGTGTTCCATATTAGTTATCCAGGAATCTTGCGATTTGAGTTCGCACCTTTCATCAAAGACAAGAGAAATCAACAAGTACATCTTGAGCCTGACATCTTCCATAGCCTTTTCGACTTCACCTCTCTCTGCTTGAGACTAATTGACTTCCCTATTCAAAGCGGTGTAGAAAGTAATGACTGTCATGCAGCTCGCCGTGATATCAGCCCTTGTGTTATCGCGTGATCATGAGGGCATATATGGGCACTCAGTCGCATATAAAAATTCTCATAGTTTCTTGCTCCTGTTGGGACTTTCTTTCTCTCTTTTCTTTCTTTCAATCACCCTCGCGAGGTACGTCTCACGACTCGCGATAAGGTGCCAAAGCTCATTGCCAGGACTTTATCCACCCCGAGCTGCCCGATTTATACCAACGCAAATATGTTGGCATCTCAATGTCTGACGCCACGTCGGCGTTCGTATTGTTCATTACATGGTAAGACTTACAACTTTCATTAGTCGACACTTAGTTGCTGATGTATTGCATTCGGTCAAGATTTATAGATTGGATATGCCCATCAATGATGCGGCGTGCCCCGAGACTGCGATACATGTGGAGCACATTGTTGAGACTCACATGGCATATCACATCAGAGTTTTTTTTACCTACCGGCACATGAAGTCTCTTTCGCGTCAACTATTCACGGCATGATGCTGGAGCCTTCTGGGGCCAAATGTTATTCATGATGGAGGCAGGACCGCACATCCAGACAAGCGACGTCATATTCAAGATGCTCAAGAGGTTCCGAGCCCAGGCTAATATAGACATTCATCAAGACCTTGATGAAGTTTGGACTTTGAAGAGCCATTATAGAGGCACGCTTGCATGTTCTCGCGCCGTTGAATTGACTGCGATCTAACCAGTTTCACAGAGCAATTCACCCGACGTCATTACTGGGTATAGCTATGTGGCTGTTGGTCACTTGAGGCAATCTACCCTCCCCTCTCTTATGCTCCGCCGACAATCCAATTGGAACACAGTGATTGTGCGCTTTGAACTGCTTGCACAGGAATTACATCGCCAGTGCCGGGACTTTATCCGCCGCTCATCGTGGAGCGAGATGAGGTTGGGTGAATTCAGCCAGATACTATCGTGAAAGAGAGGGGCATTTATGTTCTGTGATTCGCCAATCGCCATTGCCCTTGCATCTCAACATACTGAGCCTGAGTTGATGAATGCGTGGCTAAAAGTGTAATGGGAACCAAACTCAGGCCCGCGCTCCAGTTTCTCTACAGGACCGACACTCTCCCCCCATGCGATCTACCCAGCCAATGCTTATTCTTCGCCACGAGCAGTGCTGAAATCGAGAATGGTCTCTTTACAATACAGGGAACCACCCAGCCATTGACCACGGGGCAGCTGGCATTCATTTATCAGTACATCAAGAGGTTCGTTTGTCTGGAGGGTACAATACCTGTCACAACGCTCCATTATCACGATACACATCATCCTCTACCCTCTCCGTCAGTTATAATCACCCTCCAACCTTCCAATTACTTTCCGACGTTGTCAATCGAACCTGGGCGTCATAAACGCACCGAGATCCGCTGTCTTTCGACCGTCGCTGGTCCAACAGCCCGGCATATGAAGGGACTTGAAGCTCTGCCGATTGTGTTTTCCTCGTCTAAGCCATAGCAAGCCGCATACTACCCCGACAAAGCGCCGAAACTCTGACGACAGCAGCTGCAATGATCTGCTAATTAGCCGATACAAACCGGTTGCTCTATCGCCCTTGAATGGTTGGCAAAACCATGATATATCCCCATGCACGACACCCCACGCTGTTATAAGTCACATCGCAAAGTATTGCAGTAAGCCGAGCCCAACATCTCGGAGCCATCGCGACGTCGCAGAAGAGAGAGGTTCTCCCTCGTATTAGCCGCGAGTGTGGCCTAACTGGCTTCACGGCCCGTTGCATGAATGTGCTGGTATCATACCGGAATCTCCCATACGCTGCTCCAAATTGCCCCAAATAAGGCGACAAATATATTGGCGCGAGATACTCATCTCAAAAATGGACTTTACGAACGAGACAGAATGATTCCCAGAAGATATGAATTGAGCTTGTTTTGGATTATATTGCCACAAGATGGCAATAGAACAAAAAAGATGAAAGCAATTGATCTTTTTATTGGAACACTCCATCAACAGGCGATACGGTTCCGACGGCTTGCCCATATCAGCTACTCTATCAGATGATATGTGTCGATAAACTGTCTTCTGCTCTAACAGACGACAAGGTCCCAACGGCCAGCCCATACCAACTACTATATCAGTTGATATGTACCAAGATATACAATCCACACGCGCAACAGAAGAACACCGCGCCATAGCAACCGACCTATTCCACGATTACAAATTGGCTATATGAACCCACAGCTATATAGGCATCATCCACCTTGAGACTGAGGCCATTCCTGACCATGATTGGCAGCCGCAAAACAGCACAGAGAGAGTCGAGTCAAAAAAGGCACTTGTTTACCAGACCAAATGTGGTCATGGGAGACTGAGGACCCTATCCGCAATGGTTTGAAGGGCAAAAAGACACAGAAATGGAGCTCATCCCTGGAAAAGCTTCACCTTTAGTGGGGGAAACAATGGACAACTTATCAAACAGACAATGGAATTACAATGGAAGAGACGAGTTGACTTGTCGACCGCAATGGTAAGAAGGCCAGAGATCTCGGTGAAAAGCACATCTTCTCAGGAGTCCGAGCGTTAGTTCGAATACGCCACAATGGCTAGATATGGGTGGGAGCGACTTACAGAACCGCGACAACCCGAAAGACCTGAAATGTAAGCAAACTAGATTCCCAAACTGGCTGTGTATTTGTGTTTTATCTAACAGAGCTTCTTAGTTGTCAACAGACTCAATACGCTGCTATACGAGTTAAGGGCTCAGTCTCGACCGAGTAACGAGGATAAACAGCATCCCGAATCGCCTTTGATTGCTCACAGAACTAAAGCAACAAGAAAAGCTCCCGTTTGGGTAAAAGGAGAGACATTTCCTGAACCGCGAGTACAGAAAAGTTTTCCCGGCAGGCCCCCGACCAAGTTTAAGCAACCCAGCCAAGCGGCATATCCATTCAGCATCATTCGACAAGGAAATGGCACAGCTTGCCCCTCCAACCTGGGAAGAGTGTGGGCTTCTATCTACACGAAAAGTTTCTCATGAATCCATCACGTGTGGTAGCCAATCGACTTCAGCTAGACCAAGCAAGAGAATGACTATTAAAATTATGACACAGCTTTATTTTGGTCTTTATACAAATACAGCAAATTAGAAACAAAAATCTATCCATCTGTGATAATTCCTTACAGCTTGGACAACTATCAAGAAAGGCATAGGAACTGACATCATAAAAAAAAAAAAGCCAAATCAGGAGGTGTGGTACATATGTACATATAAACAGAGAGTATCATTAAAACTATAACGTCATAAATTATTGCTGCTTCATAGTGACGGTTTATTTCCATACCCGACAAATTCTAAGATATCCAAACCCCAACGCCATAGACCATGCTCGCTTTTTAATCCCAGTATCTGATATCTCCATCCAACCCAGCAGTAGCAACCTTGCTCGTTTCCTGAGGATGCCACTGCACACACGTCACCGCCTGGTTGCCCGCCTTCAGCTTATGATACATCTTGCACGTCTTCCAGTCCCAGAAGCAGACGTAGCCGGCCTGATCACCGGAAGCCAGGAACTGGCCGTCGGGACTGCAGTCCAGATCGATACCCAGACCAGCGTTGTTGTGGCCCCGGTAGCTCTTCTTCCTGTTCTGGCGGAACTTGTCGTTGGCTCCGTAGACGACGATTTGGTTATCTGAGCTTTGATAGGCGACGTATTTACCGGATGGGTGCAGTGCTGCTCTCGTCATGGGGTACATGTCTGGCTCGGCGATGTACTTGATCGGCACGGGGATATTGTAGTCCCATGCGCGGAGCGACTTGTCGTCGGATGTCGTCATGAAGCGACGGTTGTTATCGACAAACACAATGGTGTTGATGGCAGCCAAGTGGTGGTCATACTCCTGAACCACTTCGTTCGGCGTACGTATATCGAACTGAACAATTTTCTTGTCTGACATGCCAGCAAGGAACTCATTCGAGTGCTCCGGATCAGGGTTGAATCTAATAACATGTGGCGTTTTGCCAGTCGTAAACTTGTTGATACAAACGCCCTTCTCCGTGTCCCAGAGCTTAATCATGCGATCATACGAAGCAGACAAAAACTGTGTTCCCGAGTTGTTGAAGCAAATATCCGACACCGACTTGGAGTGGCCCGAGTACGTCCGCAGCAGTTCCCTGTCGTGATACACATCGCGAATCTTGACTGTGGTGTCCGCACCGGCTGATAGAAGCAAATGTCCTGAGCTGGGGAAGAACCGCAGCGCATTGACAGCTCCGTGGTGGTCCTTCCAGCCGTGAACCTGCTTCTTCGGGATAAAGTTGGTGGTGCTTCCAGGCTCCTTGCGCAAGTCGACGTCCAAATCCTGCGGCACATGCATATATGTTCGGCCCTGGTAGTCGTACTCTTCGGAGCCGTGGAACGTCGTCGTCTCGTCTCCCAATGCCTCGACTTCCTTGCGTCGAGTAAGGGCACCAGCAGGCGCCTGTAGGACAGTTCCACTCTCAATGACTTCGTCCTCGTCGATCTCATCATATTCTTCGTCGCTTGCCAGCTCTTCATCCTCGCCAACGACCTCGTATTCTTGCTTTTTGAACTTGGCCCAAGGTCCAACATACGCTCCTGCGCCCTCGGCGATGGTTGCGTCGCCTTTCTTCTCTCGACCAGCCCGTAGATTCGCCGCCTCGGCCTTGATGTCTGCGCCGCTTTGATACTGTCGCCCAGGCCCGCCTTTCCTCTCGATAGCCCTGTGTTTGCTCCGGAAGGTATGTTCGCTCACAAATGTCTCCTCAGCATGGCCAGTGAGAATATTTTTGCGTTTCAGTGTGGTCGTTGCATCCTTGTACGGATTTGCTGGGCCGGCTTTTGGCCGCGAAAGATCTTCCGCAGTGTAAGGAACGACTGCATGGTCGGGCTCTGCTTGTTGGCGCACCACGAGGGCATCCTGGGGCGCCATATTCGGCGGGTACTCTCCAAAATCCGCCATGGTTTCGATTTTTGCGACAGGACGCCGCAATTGCAGATTCAATCGTGGGCATGCGATTACAAGACAAGCCCGCTCTGATGGGCAGAACCGTGGCGCGTCTGACGCAGAAAATCGAGTCACGTGATGCACTAGAAACGCTATGATGCTCCAAAGCAGCTGTAGCTAGCCGAGCTATGACGATGGAGGGGGTTATTGGGATGCAACCGAAAAGGGACATGTACGATATATAGAGGCCAAAGACGAGAGCGCTGTGCAAGATTTACAATTAACTTTATTAACTAGATTTTTGTCTTCCCTAGTACTCAAAGCTTCCATCATTACTCCACATAGCTTCAAACAAATTTGGCCAGCCCTCCTGCGGAAAAAATAAGCAAAGCAGGAGGCTGCGCAACCCAAGCCGCGAAAAAAATCATCTCTCGTAAAAAGAGAGAAAAAGATCGCCTCAATGTATTAAGCTCCAAGCGCTTGTATGTCACCAGACGCTGTGCTTAAAGCTGCAGGTAAAGCCCGTCTCTTTCTCATCAACAGCTGCTCCACCGCTTTGCCAGCTCCGTCGTAGTTCTAAACATCCACGGCCCATTTCCCATTCGTGTCTTGCCCTACCGGCTCCTCGTCAGAGATCCCGTCATGTTTAGTTTATCGATCCTGCCAGAGATAATGGTATCGTATGGTGGGGTAGGGTAGTATCGTCAGTCATTCAACACGGTTTACGAGGACTCATCGCGGATGAGAGCAACAATCATGCTGTAGAGGTAGAAGAAGAACATGATCAAGTGGAAGGCCAGCTTGATGAATGACTCCTATAGGACTGTTAAAGCCGTGCCCAAAAGAGAGTCGAGTATCCTATACATTGCAACGTACCTTCTTGTGGACATTAAGCTTTCGGAAAATCTCGGTGGCATCAAGCAAGTGGGTGTTGTCAACAATTCTGGTTCAAAGCTCGTTAGAAAAAAACTATTCCACGCCGCGGCAATAATCTGGCTCGAGGGCAGCTCACTTCTTAATGTTGTATCCAAGCAAGGGCAGGTTGAGAATAAGGGCAACCCAGTATCCGTTGATCAAGAACAAAAAGGTCAGGAAGCCATGGACGGCAGCTTCGGGCAGGATGTAGGCGTTGAGGCGGTTGCAGAGGTCGATGGGGTTGATGTAGTCGCTACGAAAAGCCGAGTTAGCCATGGACAGACATGAGCCACAAAGGGCCCGTCGATAAGACGCATTTCCTTGCGCGCATGCGTCGGACGTCGAGAGCGGTAACACGGGATGCCATACCATTCCAAATCACTGTACATGATGGTGAAGAACACCTGCAGGAACAGGTTGACGGCGTTGATCAACACCGACAAAAGGAACAGCCACGCTTCTCCAGACATCATGCCGGTGGTCTTTGAGGGTTACGTGAAGTTGTAAGTCGGGAGAGAGAGGCGGCAGAAGAAGAGCTGGAGGTGCTTCTTGTCGGTTCGGTTGTCACAAGCTTTGAGCTCTGGCGCAAATTGGACAAGGTTGGCGCGGCGTGCAGGAGGGAGGGGGAGCTGCTTGGAATTAGTGGGGGGTTCGTGATAAAGCTCGTGCCCGGAACGGAGAAGCTGCTGCGTGCGGTCGGTGCTCACCGTAGCAAGGCGCGGGGACGAGGCAAAAGCAATGCTGCGAGCACAGGCGGGAAAGATGCGAGGTGGCCTCAAGCGTCACGGGCGAATGATGCGATTCGGTGGTGGAGAGGGAGGGAGGACGCGGGTTTGTGGGCGGCCTGGCGAGAGACAGAAAAACCTGGTGGTGACTGACCTCAACTGGAATTAGTGGTATTTGTGGCGATATACGGAACAGAAACCTGCCTGGGGGGTGATTTTGAGCTGGTCCCAGCAGCCAACCAGCTCGGCCGAATGGACCGGTGGGGGCTTTCAGCGCTTCTCCAGCAAAGCAAACACTAACAGGAAGCCTCGAGTAATGTCAAGTACATCAATTTGATAGGCAGTCATTACAGAACATGAAGGGCTCAATTTATCAACAGGCATCCTCTAGGCCTGCTATCTCGTTGCTGCAGCTGCAGCTGCGTCTCAATCAATCAGCAGACACACCTCTCTTGAGAGATGTGATCCAACCGAGCTCGACCAACGTCTGTCTAGTGCAATCCTACGGGGCATTAGTGGCACGACGCACCGCAGAGCTCCAACGACCGTCCATTTTCATGTGAATTCACCGTTGCAGGGCACACATACGCTCCTCAACCCCACAGAGCAGCTACATCCGTCTATCTGCTATATCAGTCTCTACTCTATACAACAAAATTTGTGAAATACGTTGGAGGTTAATCTTGTTCAATTTCCAAAAATTGCCTGATAAACAACGAGCCTAGACTTGTCCAATTTCTCGTTGCGCATAAATCATGCGGGACCCAGCATCAATGCCTACAGCGACCCTTGTAGCAGAGAAAAAGCGATCAATCTATTGCATCCGCAGCACACCACGACGCCAGAACCCTATCGCTAACTTCTAGGATGCCCACATCATACAATACGCTACATAATGATGGTATTCAATCATATTCAATCACTTCGTCAAAGCTTCAAATTGATCGTACATTGCGTCAATTACTCTCCATTGGCCACCTTCTCCGGCATGGGAATCGGCCCACCCGGCGAGTCGGCCGTCCGTGCCGTAAGAATCTCGCAGCCGTCTTCCGTAACAAGAAGTGTGTGCTCTGCAAAAAAGTATAAGTGGCATGTCTCACAAACAATGGGTTCTCCAAGACAATGTGGATTGTAAACGTACCGAACTGGGCTGTTCGCTTTCCGTCAATGGTTGTGCTGGTCCAGTTGTCGGGCCAAGTGATATCTCTGTACTTGCCCAGAGCGATCATGGGTTCAATGGTAAAGGTCATTCCAACCTTGCACTCACCCACAGCCTTGTTCTTGGCATAGTGCGGGACGTTGGGCGGGCAGTGGAAGAGCTTTCCGACGCCGTGGCCGCAGTACGTTCTAATTACGCTGCAATCCTTTTGCTTTGCAACCTTTTCGATAATGTTTCCAAACTCTCGGATCAGGACGCCCGGCTTGACGGCCTTGATGGCCTCGTCGAGAGACTCACGTGCTGCCTCCACTACTCTTACGCTGTCGGGATCGGCCTTGGCCCTGTCGCCAATGTAGTATGTCTCGTTAAGATCGGCGTGGTATCCACCATGGTACAAGCTGATGTCAATGTTGAGGATATCGCCGTCGAGGAGAATGCGCTGATCGGGAATACCGTGGCAGATGACTTCGTTGACGGAAGTACAGCATGATTTGGGGAAGTGGTTGTAGTTGAGGGGTGAAGGGTAAGACTAGATGAATGTCAAACGGTGAATCAGCCTTGTTTGCCCTGTTTTTCATGTAGAGAGCATGCCATTGCTCACCTCGCGCTCTATGCAAGCCTTGTGAACAAGCTCGTCGATGAAGTCGGTCGTGACGCCGGGCTTGGCTGCGGCGGCGGCAAGATCGAGGACCTCACGCGCTAGCCTGCAGACCTTGCGCATCGCAGCAATGCCCTTTGCATCGTGGACATCGATCTTGTTGCGGTTGACCAGTGACCGGCTGTACTTGGGGTCGCCGTCTTGCCACCAAGTGGGATGAGGAATCGACTTGGGAATGGTACGATGCTCGGACAGAGGATAGACGGGGCGCAGCGTGCCGGCGAAGGGGAAGCTCGGGAAAGGATTGTAGTAGCCGGTGACTGGATCTGGTAAGAGTGGTTTCGGAGGAATGATGTGGTGGAGGATATTACTTTGTGATTTGTGCAGGGACTTGTGGGTGCTCTATTCACGCAGAGTCAGCTCGTACTCTCCGCATCTTGTGTTGTCGCTCTCTCAGCAGCCATCTGGATGTACGTACCCAGTTCCTCTTGAAGCAATCCTGGGCACAGAAGAAGCTGTCCTTGATGCCAAGCTTCAAACATGTCGGGCACTGCAGCGCGCCAGCCTCGTTATCGCAGTCTGCGCCTAGGCACTTCTTCTTGGCGGGGGGTTCGGCGGCCATGGTGAAGGAGGGTCGGGATGCGGTATGTAAGTTGAAGGGAGATGATAGGAGAGCGGCTCAAAGTAATGATGCTGCGAGCGATTACAAATATGACAAGAAGTTGGACAAACCTATCATCTAAGTTGACGGCAGATAAAAAAAATTACTACAGCAACTCGGGCCAGATTAGCGAGGCTATGTACAAGCAAGGGCGGCGGTTATTCCGCACTTGGCCGTCTAGCGGGGCACTTTGACGGGCGTTATGCGCTATAACAGTGGTCAAGGCTCTATATCTTACGATCAAAGGGCAGTGAGAGAGATGTGGAAGATTTGCTTACAAGGTTTACGCAAAGGTAAGCAGATGTAAATGAGAGACAGAACGAGGATGAACAGCATGGAAATGAACTAGCAAGAGAGTCCATGACTTCATAAACCACCCCGTCTTCCCACCCAAAATCAGTTTCTCAAATCTTGTCTCCATCGTCTCGAAACTTTGATAACAGCGAGCTATCATTCTTCTAGTTATTTTTGTAGCATACAGGTATCAATGCAAAAAGAGCCCAACATATTCCCGCAGACTGTCTATTATAAGCAAAGCCGTCTTTTTTTAAAAAAAAAAATTATAAAATCTCAACGCAGTCGGAAGCAGAGATGCCAAACGTCGACAAAGCACGATTATTCCAATTGGGAAAGCCGCCTTGCGACGCCGTCCAAATGCGGCAAGGGCTCGAAATTCTAATGGCTGCGAGATGGGCTGGATCAAGGTACCTAATACCGCTGCAGATTTTTAATGTTCCAAATTAACTGCTGCCACTCCTACTAGGTTTGATATTAACTCGCTCAGCTAAAGCCACTAAGACAAAAGGCGGCCATGGTCACGCCAATAATAACTGTGGCTGGTCTTTAGCATGATGTGATCAGACATAGTAATTCCAATGTAGCTTTCGCCCCCTTCGGCCGGAGAGCCTGGGCGTTCTTATAGCTCCAGAGCTCCCGGCCGTCTTATACTCATTCTTTTCCAACATTTCAAAAACTTGTGGAGTTTTCACTTTGAAAGAGTTGTCTGGCTTTGGGCGAACATGGCGGACACTAAGATTGTTGTTGTTGGCGCCGGCCCTGTTGGGTCGTTGGCGGCGCTCTATGCCGCCAAGAGAGGCCACCAAGTCGAAGTTTATGAGTTGCGGCCGGGTAAGTCTACAATTTTTTTTCCTCAGCGTATCGTGAGTCCGACACCTCCGAACTCGGGCTGGTGTTGTTGCAGCACTCGTGCCTTGGAAATGTACATTTTCTGGCTCAAGGATTTTGAGCGATTCTATTTTGAAGCAGCTTTTTTCAGTTGACGAGACACTGCGTTGTTGTTTAGCTCTTTCCAAGAGTCTACGACTTCTATTTGCTCCATCACATGCTTCCAACAGCTCCGCTAACGACTATGTTGTAGATCTTCGCGATCCGAGCATAGTGCCGCTCAACTTCACAAAGTCCATCAACTTGGCTTTGTCTGAGCGAGGACTCTATGCTATGAAGCAGTCTGGAGAGCCACAGCTTGTTGACCATGTAATGTCCGCAACTATTCCCATGCGTGGGCGGATGATTCATGGACAGTCGCCGAATGGAACTCTATACGAGCATTCTCAAAACTATGGTGTAGATGATCAGGTAAGGAATTCACAACCAGCTAGGTTTTACTCATTATATGTTATTTCTTCACTCGCTTCTCTCCTAAATGTGCACAACCTCATCTCCAGTTTTCCATCTCTTTTTTCACTCTTTACGAGACTTTACTAATTCAACTTGTCCAGGCTATCAATGCGATTGACCGAGGAAGCCTCAACTCTCGGCTACTAGACATCCTAGACTCTATGCCCAATGTCAAGCTCTTCTTCAACCACAAGCTTACCGGAGCTGATTTCAAAACCAACAAGGCTTGGTTTGAGGCACGCGACAAAGATTTCGCCGCCAATGGCCGCCCCCGAGAAATTGAGATTACTTTTGACCTCATGATTGGCGCGGATGGTGCACACTCTGCCGTTCGCTATCACTTGATGAAGTTTACCAGAATGGACTACCAGCAAGAGTACATCGACACCTTGTGGTGTGAATTCCATCTTCCTCCTCGTCCTGTGGATGACAACGAAAAGGACCCCAATGCAAAGTTCCGCATTTCGCCGAACCATTTGCACATCTGGCCCGGCAAGGACTTTATGTTCATTGCCATTCCTAGCGAGGTAGGATTTGCCGCTTACAAATGCAACCACGCATAGTGATTTCTAATGACATGTTTACTAACATGTTGCCTCTAGAATGGCTCGTTTACTTGCACTCTATTCATACCCAGCGCTGAGATTTCTGAGTTGGAGAGAGATCCTTCCACCGTGCCAGCTTTCTTTGACAAACACTTTCCCGGAGTCACGGCCCTAATACCAGGACCAGACCTCATCAAGTCATTCGAGACAAACCCTCACTTACCGTTAATCAGCCTCAAGTGCAAGCCCTACCACCATGGCTCCTCTGGAGTCATTGTTGGTGACGCCGCCCACGCCATGGTGCCCTTTTACGGCCAGGGCATGAATGCCGGCATGGAAGACGTTCGCATTCTCTTCTCCATCCTCGACAAGCACGCGAATCTCGACGAGAGCAACAACCCTGACGGGGAGCTCATCCATTCTGCCGAGACGTCGGCTTTCCAGCGCTCTCTCGCCTTGGCAGAGTACTCGGCAATCCGAGCCAAAGACGCCTATGCCATCAACAACCTGGCGCTCGAAAACTACGTCGAGATGAGATCGTCCGTTCTTTCACGGCGTTACAGGCTGCGCAAGTATCTCGAGGAGTTTATGAGCGTCCACTTCCCGTCCTTTGGCTGGCAGACCAAGTACTCCAGAGTCAGCTTCGGCAACGAGGGATACGCCGACGTGATCCGCAAGAGCGACCGCCAGGGCCAGATTCTGATGCAGAGCTTTCTTGCGCTCGTCTCGAGCCCGGTTGTCTTGACGGCACTTGTGCTGATGTATAAGCGCCGAGGATCTCTCCTATCGTTTGTGCGTGGGCTGTTTAGTTGGAATTAATACTGATAGAATCTCACGCGATAGGAAAGGTCGCTGCCACTGCACCCTTTTTTTTTTCTAGCATCAAATTGTCTGGAACATGACGATCTGGTGCTTTAGTTATCTAAACAAGTGGCATGCAGCCTGAAGGAAATGTAACTGGGTACAGCGTCAGAAAGATTCGAGCGACTATTTGTATAGTATAGAATTTTGGAAAAAAGTTACGGGCGGCATAGTCTGATACAAGCCAGGATGTTTGGATACCTCAACTCTAGTTATTACACAAGTAGCATTTCATGCCAAAATAGATTTATTAATTCATCTTAAAAACAATCATCATCACTAGTAATTCATTTCTTTTTGTCTCTCTCGATGGAGATGCAAATCTGAAGAATCAACTTGTTACTCCACGGGCGAATTGGCATGTATCAACGATAGTACGAGCCTGCTTAGTCACCAATCTCCAAATTTTTGACGATTCCGGCTCCGAGGCACTAAGCACCACCATATCGAAAGACTCGCGACAACCTCGAAAAAGGAAACCCCATTTCAAACTCTCAGCTGTGTCCAAACTACCGCAGCTTTCGCAAAGCGCAGCTCTCCCAGGATTATTCTCCTCTCCTCTGGGGATCTTATCGCTGCCCAAGAAGGGCAATTGGCCAAAAGCAGGCGATGCGCCGTGAGTTAACAGAAAAGCCAAGAACCTTCAAAGCGAGCAAAAAGATCTAACCAGGAGCCAAAACACAGATTCATATTAAATTCTTCTCTCGACGACAATAAAGCAACAAAACCACACAAACCGCCCACCATGCCGTCCATACTCAACATCGCACACATGTGCTCCCACCTCCAAAACGCCTCCAAGGCCCGCCTCGGCCTCACCTCCGTCGCCAACAACAAATACAACCTGCACCTCGCCCTCGCCCTGCACCGCTCCGGCTTCTTCTCCTCCGTCTACCGCGCGGGCGCCCAGCCGCCGACCGCCGAGCAAATGGTCGCCCAGGTCCCCGAGCCCGTCACAAACGCCACCGTCGCGCAGATGCGCATCTGGCTCGGCCTCAAGTACTGGGAGGGCCGGCCCGTGCTCAACAAGGCCTCGGTGATTAGCAAGCCGTCGCGGCTGATGACGGTGGACGTGCAGGAGCTGGGGAGGCTGACGAGGGGGTTCCCGACCAAGGTCAAGGGCGGGATGGTGCAGGGCTTGGGGGTGGGCGAGTGTATGTTTGTTTCGACGTCGAGGGGGGTGTTGGAGGTTAGGGAGGCGCTGGCGAGGAAAGTGGGTGGTGTTTTGATGTGCCGGGTATCATAAATTTAAACGTCAAAAAGATGGGAGGGTGGTAAAAGGGAAAATTGCGGCTTCATGATGTATATATATATCGTCTCATAAAGAAATGGCGGGGGAGAAAAGTACATCTCACTGTATGAATAGAATGAACTTCAAACAAAACACACAAAAATTGTCAATTTGAAAAAGAAGAGTTGGGGGGCTGTTTTGATGAAGCCAGGAATAGCCATGTCTGGCAAAAGATCAATTTAAAGCAGTTTATACAATAATTCCAAAGTCCCAGAAGAAAAAATTCACCAATGGTCGCTATAAACAGGTAGGTATCTAAGGTATCTTAATAAACTACATCTTTCCTTTTCGACAGAGCACCTGTCCAATATTACATAGACAAAGGATTCGATATCAAACAAAAGAAACAAGGCACAAAAAAAAAAGCATCTCCACCTAGTCAATCTGACAAAAACGCCATCCACGACCATAAGAAACACCAAACTGCTTTAATTTTTCCCATTGATTCAGATTATTGCTTATGAGGATGCCTAGAGGGCTGGTCCAGCAGTCGCTTTAGTATGTCTCTGGGACAGCGGTCTCAGCAACTTGCTCCTTTGACTGTTCGACAGTCTCAGGAGCTGGCTCGACAGGAGCCTCCACGCTGGCAACCTCTGGCTCAGCAACAACCTCAACAGCAGATTCAACGGCAGGAGTCTCTTCAGCCTTGACCTCGACAGCCTCAACAGTCTCAGGAGCAGCCTCAGGAGCAGCCTCAGTAAGCTCAGCCTCCTCAGCAATCGCAACAACCTCCTCAACAGTCTCAACATTGGCAGTCTCAACGGCAGCCTCTTCTACAGGGAGAGGTTCAGGCTCGGCAGGCTGGACGATGGCGTCTTCTTCGTGAGCCGCCTCCTGGACAGGCTCCTCAACGGCCTCCTTAATCTCGGCAACGGGCTTCTCCTCCTCCAATGTAGGCGAAGGAGACTTCTTACCAACCAGTTTCTTGGGAGAAGTCTTCTTGCTGGGGCTGTTATCATAGTGGCTACCGTCCGAAGCTCCTGATGCCACCGTTCCAGCGGTGGAGGGTCGGGATCCAGCTCGAGATCCAGACTTCTTGGGGGGCGTGGTCGGCTCCTGGAATTTGCTAGTGGAAGCTTGGGTAGGTCGCATCATGCGAGCCAAGAAGCCCTCATCCACATCCTTGGCCTTCTTGGTTGTTTCACGAGCAGGTTTGGCGGGCGGTGGGCCAATGCTTGGCCGAGCACGCGAAGTAGGTCGCTTAGCTGTTCCGGCGCTGGAAGCAGCTCGGCCAGATGCATGCACGCCCTGTCGGCTGAGCGATTGGCGTGAATTGGTCTGTCCAGCCTGGGTCGTTCCAGCTGCCGCGCCAGTCTTGGAGACGGAGGAGGCAGTGGGAGCAGTAAGAGAAGAAGGAAGGCCAACCGGTTTGGTGGGGGACTTGGTCCTCGGCCTGGCGGCAGCAGTGCTGGCCAGGGGTTTCTTGACGGCAGAGGTTGCCGCTCCAACCCTGGGCCTTGTAGTGGCAGTTGACCTAGCTGCAGCAGATGACTCTCTCTTCACAGCAGAGGATTCTGCGGCCTTCTGTGTTGGTCTGACGCCCGCTCTCCTGGAGGCATCCGTAGTAGCCTTGGAAGCAGTAGCCGCTGGCTTGGGGATGGCTTTGGCAGCCGCTTTAGGAGCTGCAGCTGTTCGTGTAGCAGCGGTCCTTAAGGTGGTTGTAGCAGCCTTTGTGGCCCCAGGCTTGGCGACAGACTTGGCAGCTGCTGGCTTCGTGATCTTGGTTGTTTTCTGCGCGGCAGGACGAGCGCCGCTGGCGGGAACAGCTTCCTTGGGCGCCGGCTTCTCGGGTTCAGCTTCAGGCGTAGGCACAGCCTCGGGCGCATCCTCCGGGGCAGACTCGGGCGCAGACTCGGGCGCGGATTCGGGTGCAGATTCGGGCTCAGCCTCAGCCTTTGCGGTGAGCGGATCTGCTGGCGACAGGATGCCGGTGGGAGTCTCTTCGTCCATGACCTTGTCGGGGTTGTGGCTCGGCTGGTCCGACACAGCTCCCCGGAGCTCAAAGGAAGCTCTGGCAACGCCCGCGGACAACTTGTCCATGGCGGAGCTCATGCTGGCAACGGATGCAGACGACATTGGCGGTTTGTCCTGGCTCGTCGGGGCGGGTTCGCGGGGGATGTCGAGGCTGGGTCGGGCGGAAGAGTCGCGAGAGGCGGAGCCGTTGTCTCTAACCAAGCCGATGACGCCGTTGCGCTCAATGGCCACAAAGCTGCTTCGCACCTTATTGAGCGGCCGTGGGGAGCCGCTGAGAGCTAGTGGCGCGAGAGAAAACGAGTTAGCGGACGGCACTCTTTTTTGTCTTGCGTGTGTGAGTGTGTGTGGCATTTTGCGGCAGCAGTAGCTCTTTTGGGGGGAAAGCAGCCTCCAGCTCAGCCAAGCTCAGAACTAACAGCTACAGGAGCAGCTCAGCAGCGTCTGCGCCGGACAACAACAAACAGGCTTCTTGAAGGGCATGTAATGATAGGCTGGAGAGCATGAACAGAGAGGAGATCACGGAGCAAAACATCAGCACACACTGAGAGCATTACCTCCTGGGGTTGGAGAGGGACTAGAAACACCAAGGGATCTACCTCTATCTTCGTCCGTTGGGCTCGCGTCCCCTTTGTTCTCGAACATGGCTCGCAGGTTCTTGACCGCGCTCATGGTGAAAGACGGGCCGCGTCCGCGGGGGGAAACTCTGGGGAGGGATTTCGTTTGCACTCGATGCTGGAGGTGTTGTTGGTGAGGATTAGGATTAGGAAGAGGAGGGAAAAAAAAAAAAGAAACAAAGAAAAGGAATACTAGGTCTAATAGCTTCGCAGGTCTGCGAGTAGGGAAATTGATAAACAAAATAGAGCTAGGCCGAATACTTCAAGTTGTAATAAGGGAGAAGGGAACGGAGGATCCAGTGTGGTGGCACAAGTACTGCTACAAGCCGCGGCCCCAGGAGGCTGGAGGCGGGCCGCGGGTAAAACATGCGACACAAGTCCAGGTACGGAAGCCTAGCTCGGGACTCCATATCTCCAGACTCCATCCATGGCGCGACACGGGTCAATTGGAATCAGGGGTATCTGTAGATGAAGTGGCCTCTTTTCACAATTGAGAGCAGTAATGCTGCAGCTACATAGCCGTACCTGTACAATAAGACGAGGCATAACAGCTGAATGTGAGTGAAACTGTGTCTTGATCCGACACAGGTGCACAAGTGTCTGTCTTACATGCTTCACAACTCTTGTCCAAAATTAGCAACCCCAGCTGCATCTGTCAGGCCGAGTCATCTCTCCATCAGCCACATCAGCGTGGCACTGCGCCTTACGCAGGCGCCCGCCAAACTGCGAACATCTCGAGTCAAACCCGCCACACAAGGCAGTTTGTCAACGCTTCCAACTGCAAGAAATGAGGTTCGGATGGGCCGATCCGCTATGCCGCTACAGCGCAAGTTGGGCGTTTCCCCAGGGCGACAGGTGGCCTATATAGCGGGACCTTCCAGAACAAGGACCTGCTTCCACGCCTGTGCTGTCATCTACAGGTACATGCCGCTTTCGCCGTAGTGCTCGTACTTACACCAAGTTACGGCCTCTAGTTCTGACGACAGCTGGTAATCCTCCATCCTACTGTAATACAGGATCGTGTGTTGCTGTTATTAGAAGGTATTAGTCTATAGTAGTATGCACCTAATGTTGGTATAAACCACTCCATAGTGGTGGCGTATAACGGTGCAAGGAGGCCAATTACAAAGGGCGCAAAGGGTCTCATACGAGTGTGTGGCCACTTTGGGCAACACATCCAGTGGCGCGACGACAGCTGATTGGCCAGCAAGTTGAAATAGCTTGCAAAATAGCCAGACGCGTTTTAATCTCCCTTGCTGGATGTTGGAGGGGTGGATTCTTTTCATGTCAGGAGACGAGGCGAAACAAACGCAGCTTACTGAAGCTATCGAGACGAACTTCATTTCGGCTTTTGAGCGCTCGATGATGATGTCTATTCAAAAAAACCTGTGTGTCCAGCATTGGGGTGAAAATGAAAGTACCGGCTACGGGGAACTCGGCATGGGTAGCAATCTGTCACATTGTCTGCGAGATCCTGTATTTACTGCTCCGAACACTAATACGAAGTTGACAGCCCCCCCTTGCATTAGTTGAGGAGAGCTGCTGCTCCTGGTAAGTGGCATACTGTACAGTACAGCAACGACAAACCTCGGATATCTCCGCCCTAAAGAAGCACGCAATAGAAATTATCTGTTTTCAAAGTCAAAAGACACTTCTTCATAAACTCTTTCCCAACGGCGCATCGTTCGCACCAGGCCCTTACTTGCATATGGCTTCCATGTAGATATAGTTGGGGACATGTTAGTATGCATCACCTGCATGATCCAGCAACAGTTAAGGGGACCCCAGCCAGAAGCACGTTCCCCATACCGAACCCTCCTCTCGTTATTCCAGGTCCTCAAACCAACAATCCCTTCCCTAACCCACAGCTTCTCCATACAGATTCCCGCTGCTAGTGCACAACGTTTCGTTGCCATGTAGGTAGCCAGCCGTACTGTATGTGTTACCGTACCACGATTCCCAACATCGAGTTGACACGTTGTCGCGGCATGAGATGAGAGATGGCCCATGATTTTTCTCCAGGGATTAGGCGGAAACGAGCTACCTCTTCGGATGTGCCCGTGCCTTGTCTACTTACTCTTTAATGACAGTCTAGCCCTATGCACGTTTTCTTCCCGTATGGGTATGATGAGAGAACGGTGCTACTAAAGTAGACAAGCGAGATGCTATACAAGTCCTGCTGCGAGTGCTTCTACTAGCGCTGCTTGGATCCCTGGTATTCGCAGCAAGTCAATACGAAAACGCAGTTTGTCTCCCCACATGCCAGCCCCCTTGTAGTATCAATACTACTGCTGCTGCTACTGTATACATGGTATATTAGCAGTAGAAATTTGCCAAGGTTATCCTGCTGACATACGCATCTCCATCATGACCGATGCAAGGCCGGGCGGATCTGTTTGTTTCGAGCTGGGCTCACATGAAATGAAATCACTCATGGCTCGTGGGCTGTTCATTGCGAGTGAAGTGCAATTGCGTCTTAGTGTACACGTATATGCATGAATCAAGTCTATCTATCTGCATCTAATCCTGCTACTAGTCCTAGCAGCATTTGCTTTTTTATATCCCTGAACCCTTTTTGCTGGCTAGCTCTTATTTTGCTTATCCTAGAATCATCAGATGGACTACATAAATCACATCTGCATGCTTCTTTTCCGTACTCCATACATAGTACAAGACGCGTTTTACAGGAGGGGTATTCGTACAAGGCAGCCCCCCGGCTATCATTCAAGACGTGGTATGATATCACTTCTCGGGGAGACTGCCTAGGCCAAGCGGCCTTCATTAGCTAAAACCATACGGAGCTTTTATTTGGTTCTCTTGGCGTCGAGCTCGGCCTCGTACTTGGCAATCAGCTCCTTCCTATTGACGAGGTTAGTCGCGTCTCAGTAATTCAGTAAGAGGGGAATATTATAAAGAAGAAACTTACTGCAAGTGAGGAGGAGCAGGGGCATAGTGGCTAAACTCCATGCTGAATTCACCCTTGCCCTGCGTGGCGGCACGCAGCTGCGAGCTGAAGCCAAACATGGCGTTCAAGCTGCAGTCACAGGTCAGGATAAAGTCTTCGCTGCCAATCTCGGTATCGTTAATCGTAGCGTTGCGCTTGTTCATCAACATGAGAATGTTTCCTTGGAACTCGTTGGGGGCGGTAATGGTCGTCTTCATCAGGGGCTCGAGGACCTGGCCACCGGCCTCGGGGAAGGCCTTGCGGAAGGCCATCTGGGTAGCCAAGCTGAAAGCGTAATCGGAAGAATCGGTAACGTGGGTCTGGCCGTCGTTGATAATCATCTTGGAGCCAATGACGTGGTGGCCCAGCAGGGGTCCCTTTTCACAGGAGAGCTCGAAGCCCTTGGAACAGGCAGACAGGAACTTATCGGGAATGTGGCCGCCGACAACCTGGCTCTCATAGTGGTTCTCGTCGGGCTTGTCATTGGGCTCGATGTAACCAGCAACGCGGGCAAAGTCACCAGGACCACCGCTCTGTCGCTTGAGGAGGTAGTCGAAATCAGCACGGCGGGAAATCGTCTCACGGTAGGCGACGCGAGGTTGGCCAGTGACACACTCGGTCTTGTACTCTCGCTTCAGACGCTCAACATAGACTTCGAGGTGCAGTTCACCCATACCGGAAATGATAGTCTCCTCACTCTCGGCGTCAACGTGGACACGGAAAGTCGGATCCTCGCGCTGGAATCGGTTCATAGCCTTGCTGAAGTTGTCGGCATCGCCAGAACGCTTGGGCTTGATCGACAAAGACATGACGGCATCGGGAACAAACATGGAAGACATGGTATAAGGGAGACCACCATCGGTAAAGGTATCACCAGAGGCGCAGTCGACACCGAACACGGCGCAGATTTCACCAGCGCCGACCTCGCTGACGTCCTCCATCTCGTTGGAGTGCATGCGAACAATACGGGGAATGCGGACCTTCTTGTCAGTTCGGGAGTTGTACAGGTAGGTGCCCTTGCTGAGCGTTCCCTGGTAGACACGGATGTACGTGAGCTGGCCGTAGTTGTTCTCCTCGAGCTTGAAAGCAAGACCGACAAAAGGCAGAGAGTTGTAAGGAACCAATTTGACCATCTCTTCTCCCTTGGACTTGTCCAGAGCAGTGTTTTCAATCTGACCGGGGTTAGGCAGGTAGTCGCAAACAGCATCCAGCATGGGCTGGATACCCTTATCGGCCAGTGCAGAACCCATCATGACAGGAGAGAATTTGAGGGCAGTCGTAGCGCGGCGAATAGCAGCCTTGATCTGGTCGTTGGTGGGTTCCTGTTCGTCGAGATACAGCTCGGCCATTTCGTCATCAACGTCGGCCAGCTTCTCAATCAGGACCTGTCGCTTCTCGGCGGCAAGCTCCTGAAGATTGGCAGGGACCTGGTCGGTAACTCGGACCTTGGTACCACGGGGACCTTCAAAGTACATGGCCTTCATCTCGATAATGTCAACGACACCCTCGAATTCGTCTTCAGCGCCGATGGGGATCTGAATGGCAGCCGCGGGGATCTTGAGCTTGGAGTTGATCTGTTCGACGGCCTTCCAGGGGTTGGCACCCATGCGGTCCATCTTGTTGACAAAGGAGATTCTGGGAACATCGTAGCGCTTCATTTGGCGATCGACCGTAATCGTTTGAGACTGAACACCGCTGACAGCACAGAGAATCATGACGGCACCATCGAGCACGCGCAGAGCACGCTCGACCTCGATGGTGAAGTCAATATGGCCGGGAGTGTCGATCAAGTTGACATGATACAATTCTTCCTTTCCGTTTACCGTTTTCTTCCAGTCGCAGAACGTAGCTGCAGACTGAATAGTGATACCTTTTTCTCGTTCCAGTTCCATAGAGTCCATCTTGGCGCCGACGGAATCCTTGCCTCGAACCTCGTGGATTGCCTTGATTCGTCCAGTGTAGAAGAGAACTCGTTCCGTTACCGTAGTTTTGCCACTGTCAATGTGTGCCTAAATAGCCATCGTCTTAGTTTCTTCTTTCATTTCTTTCTTGTTCATTTCAATGCGCCATTAACAATCGCAAGGGATGTCGTACCGCAATACCAATGTTGCGAACTCTTTCGAGACGTTGAGCCTCTGCGGGATCCATGTTGGCGGCAACATATTCGGGCGTCAGACTGGCAGCATCATTCTGGGCTTTTTTCAAACTGCATTTTCCCTAAAAGTCAGCCTTTTGTTTCCGGTTGTATGTAACACAAGCTTAAAAAGCCCAATGCATATGGAGTGTGTAGGTAGTCCTTACGCTTCCTGCGCAGCATTACATCGCTGAGACGATGCGCTGAAGGCTCGCAGCTGGCTTTGGACAGCCAAGGGAAGAATCGCAGCCTGGAAATTGCGAGCTCCAGAAGCTGCCTTCTGGGCATCCCCAAACAGATGGCAATTAAGCCATCTGGCAGTCCCAAATGCCCTCATGGTGCAAGCTTGTCCACGGGCAAAGTGGGTGTTTGGCACTGAAGATCGGCCATCGGCTTAATGGCCGCATTGAAACTTTTTTTTTTCTTAGTCCGTCGGGGTCCCTCCAATTGGCTCGCCCCTCACGTGCTGGCGCAAATCGGACCACCACCACAGTGTTACAGAATAGCTGCTACTAGAATTGAAGCTACTCAATTGTAAATATGCATGCACTCAAATACGGCCAAATAGTTTAAGGTTCAGAATTCTTGTTGTAGAAGGATAATAATAATGATTTTGATTTTTATAAGACATGTTTAGTCTAAGCTGCAGGTCTATGTGCACTTATGTACCTCAGGTATATGAACGCTCGTTTTTTTGTAGCGAATGATCGAGAAGCCGGCCTCCTCAACTCCAGCGGTGCTTGCTAGTATTGAAAAAAATGAAAAATGAAAAATCCCTATTATGCCAATTACGCCCTGAATCATGTCAAAAAGTCATTAAAAGCACTACTAGGTGGGTAGAGCGTGTCGAAGAGATTGTATGGCTAGGTATGTAGATTTACAGCCAGCCAGCGCCGAAAATAGCGCCTCCAAGGAGAGTGTAGCCGATGGTCATGCCGACGATAATTGCTCCAGGGCCGGAAAAGGCGCTCGTATAAGGCGCAGCGTTGTCGCTATCCTGGAAGCCACTAGCAGCAGACATGCCGCCCGTTCCTGAGGAGGGGCCAGATTTGCTCTGGTTGGGGGCGCTGGTGGCGGACGGGATAGGAGCGCCACTGCTGGCGAAAGCAACAACGTTGGTCTTTGTGGAGTTGAAGTTTGTCGGAGCAATGGCAATCTCGTTGTTGACCAGGTCGTAGACAACAAACGCAGAGCGGAGGAAAGTATCGCCCAGCAAGAAAGGGGAGCCAGTCGTGTTCTGGATGCCAAATTCGCAAACAGACTGACCCTGGTTGGGTCCCGAGGAAAACTTGGGCTGAGGGCCGCCGCTAAAGAGGTCGAGGGCAAGCTCGGCCATGGTGACGTTGATCTTGGGGCCGTCGGCACCAGCAAAAGTGAAAGAGAAGTGTCCATTGACATTTCGGATTGAGCAGGGGACAACAGCCAAGCCGAATTCCTCGTTGAAGCTGGCGCCCACTTCCTTCCATGCCTGCTCGGCCATGTCCTGCGGCAGATAGGTCAGAGTCGTTCCCGAGTCCAGAACGGCGACCAGAGAGTCCACACTCGTGCTGAGCGTATCGGTTCCAGAAGGGCTTGTGGCTTGCACCTCAAAGAGCTCGACCGCAAACTCGGTGAAGACATTGCTGTTGTCAGCACGTTGAATGTTGATTTTTGTGAGATCGCCCTGGTACTTTTCCGTGTCGATACCGCCAAATAGGATGGAGCCCGCGCTGGCATCAAGGTCGTTTAGCCACAGACTGTAGGCGACGGTGTTGATTAGCTTCTCCTGTTGTAAGACAACCGGAAGGTTCGGGTAGGTGGATCGTATTGTGCTGAGAGAAGCCTCGTCGTTGATATAGCCGACTCCGATGAGGCCATTGGCGATGGATGAGTCCAGGCCAAGGCCCATGGTTAGATTGGAGACAGTCACGCCACCGATGTGGAAGTCGTCTTGGATGTAGTCGCCCTTGGAAAATGAGTTGTCGACATAGGTAATATCGAATTCGTCCTTTCCAACAGTTCTCAAGCTAGTGGACTTATCAGAGTCAACTACAAGTGGTTGTCAGTTAACTGTAAGTGAAGGGCATAATTTGACTCGGATGACTCTACTTACAGCTTCCAAAGGTGCAGCCAGGATTCCTCTGAGAGACCTGGGTACAGATGTCGGCGCTTGAAGAAGGTACCCAGACATCACTACTGCCTGTGTCCAGCTGAAGGGTAATGTTCTGAGGGGGTGTTCCAACCTCGACGTTGAGGAAGTATCCGCCCTGGATCTGCTGGTTTGAAAGAACGCCGTTGATGGTTGCAGCCCGGCGGCCTAGATCTCTCAGGTTCGGCCCGTCTCGCTTCTGGATGTCGAACTGGACGACTTGTGCCTGGGCAGTAGAAGCCAGGGCTACGCCGGCAGCGGCCAGGGGTGAGGCCTTCATGATGCAAATTTATAGAATACTCCGGTTCGATAAGGTGAGATGAAAATGTTTTTTTTTTTTCCCGCAATAATCCTTCAATCGTATATCACAGGGCTCAGGGGATGGGCGTCGAGCGTCTCCTGAGTGGTAGGTAATATAAATGTATGTGGGGGTCAAGATAATGGGTATAATAGGACAATGCCAAAAAGATATACAGTGATAGATGACTTTTAACAAGGGAAAAGAGCTCAAAAAATAAAGAAAACAAAATCAAACAGCAAACCCAAAAACATCGCGAGGCTCAACAGGGCTCCATGACTCTATTATAAATGGTACCAGGCAAAGCGGATTCCAGCGTGGCTGTGTGAAATGAGACCCGTGGCCAGCGCTGATGAAACAGGAGAAGCTGCAGCGGCAAAGCGTCGTCATTAGCGCCGATGGGGTGGATGCTGGGTCGGCAAAGAAGCAAAGACAGGCGCTGGACCCCATGCCGAACGCCCGAAGTGTGGCAGGACAACGCGCGCGCGGATTTCACGGCTCTGCGGTGACGACGACAGCCTCGAGTTTTCCGGGGAAGATGGAAACTATCGCGGCGTTCCATTGCTTCTTCTCCTCGTGGCTTTTGAGTTTGTGAGCTTCTGGGCTGTGCCTCTTCTTTGTCCGTCGGCCTGTGCGTCTGTCCGCTTCCGTACTGCTCGTGTCGACGGTACTGCAAATACTCCCAGGCAGTGTAAGAGATTGGCCGTGGAATTAGATGATTACAGGCGCTCCATACCGCTCCACGTAATACGGACCGCGAGGTACATTTGCTCGGCCAGCACGTATTCCTACAGGACTGGGAACCATTTGAACGAGGCACTATTGGGCTCCGTGCGGGCAGGGTTATGCGCTGCCAAGAGAGCTGCAAATTACGTCTATTGCTTGGCATCGTCTATCGCACGCACAGACTGAGCACATGGAAAACACACAAAGGCAGCCTGCGCGTTGTAAAAATAGCACTTTTGCTGGGGCTGAGGCTGAGGCACCGATGGAATCCCATCTGACGCTTGCCCAATGCGGAGTGCCCGCGCTATGACAGATACGGGCCTATGCGCCACTGCACTGCTACTGAACCAGATTCTGCCCAACATAGGCCGCGAGTTTCTGCAGCGCTTCCGCCAGCACGGCTGAGGATCCAACGTAGCCGACTCTTACATAGCCCGCAAAGTCCTCGCCCCGGCCAAAGCAGTGGGAGCCGGGCACGAAAAAGACTTTGGTCTTGTCCAGCACGTCGCGGCAAAAGGCAACGTCGTCCACCGGCTTGCCCTCGCTGCGGAACTGCACAAATGCCGTTGTTCCCGCGGTGGGCGCCACCCAAGAGCAGAGTGCGCGATGCTGCTCCACGAAGGCCTTGACCATGCCGGCGTTGCGCTTCGCCATGTCGACATTTCGCTTTAGCAGCGGGCCACGCACAGCCGGCGACAGCGCATAGCTTGCCACCTGGTCGTCCAGCTGCGAGACGCTAATCGCCGTGTAGTGGCGGGCCTCGGCGAGCCTCTCGATGATGGCCTTGTCTCTTGACGCAATCCAGCCCACTCGGATGCCGGCCAAAGAGTATGCTTTGGACAGAGATCCGGTGACAATGGCCTTTTCGTAGCCCAGATCTGCCACCGATGGCGGCATGTTCGGGTTGTTTTCTATCCCGTCGTGGAACAGTGGCCGGTAGACCTCGTCAGATAGCACAATCATGTCTCGAGCCCTGGCAAAGTCCACGATCTTATCGATGAGATCTCGTGGGATGGGTACCCCGGTAGGGTTGTTGGGATTGTTAATTACAATCATCTTTTTCATCCGCGGGGTGATTAGCGTGAAACAAATCATGAGCGCAGGGTTTCTGTTTTGCAAACCTTTGTGTTTTCTTTGGCGAGCTGCTCCAACTCGCCCATGTCAGGCAGGAAGCCATTCTCAGCATGTAAGCGCCATAGAGAAACTTCCGCCCCAAGGCTCTCGGGGACAGAGAAGAGCTGCTGATAGGTAGGGTATACGCATATGACATGGTCTCCGGGGCCGACCAAGCCGTAGAAAACTAGAAAGTTGGCTGCTATTGCGCCTTGCGTGACGAGAACGTTGTCGCTCGACACCTGCTCCCCCTCGTACAGAGATGCAATGCGTTCTCTCAAGGTTGACGATCCGCGAATGGCCCCATAGGTGAGGACGGTGCTAGTCTGGAGCGGATTCGCAGCCTTGTCGTTTGATAGCTGCACCAGCTGGTCGATGGAAACGGATTCGACGCATGTCTCAGCAATGTTTAGAACCCCCGGCGTTGTTTCATAATCATCCATCCACTGCTCTACCTCAAACCGTTGGAAGCGCACCATGGTTGATTGGCAGTAATGCGGCTGCCCTGAAGCTCTCACAGATGATATTTGCTATCTTGCTGGTTTGCTATGCACTCTTCATGCCCAGTAGGGGGGAGCAGGTTTCTTTTTAAAGAATCCGATCCATGTACTTGCTGATCACCGAGGCCAATATGAGTTGTTGCTTTGGGACAGAACCCCATGTGGGGCATGCAAGCGACTATCGGAGAATACATAACTATGAAGGCGCGCCTTATTGTTTAGTAGTAGGCAAATGGTTCTAGCTGTGATTGGTCGCTGTTTATACATTTGCTGGATAGGATAGATTGTCGATCGATTAGGAAAGTGTGACAAACATAGCGAATGCTACAGTTGTTGGTAGAATTATGGCTTACATCGTCACAGAATGGCTGTTGGGATCAACAATATCTGCAGAGCTGGTCAACGGCTTTTACCATCTATCATTGGTGCTGAGGATAGTACTGCATTCCAAATTTGAGGTAACATGCTTGCACGCGGCAAGGGTATTTTATGTGTATATACATATCGAAATCCAAATGAAGCAAAAATACCAACTTCAACAAGATGACATTCGTTTCAGTAGCTTATGGAGATGCAAGCAAGACATCATGGCAAGCTCCAGGTTAGGTCTTATAAGAGCTCTCTTGCTATACTCTGAACAGCATCTCGTACTACAGCAGAAAAGAGGTGCACAATTTCAATCTAAAATTGCATCGTAATTCCAGCATTAAATTGCAGTCAAGTACTAGTAATGCATCTGGCATTTGGAATTACCTAGCGATATCGCAACCATTGCTAAAGCAGCATGGATCCCAGGCGACTCCAGCGTTGCGCAGTCACATGGAGCCTATTACAGGGCATCTTGTTGGGGTTGGCTGACTGCGGAGCATTTCTACCGTGAATTCTCCCAGTAGCTTAGTACCTACCTATGGATGCTAATGGGCACATAGCTTGGCACTGGGGCTGGCTGCCTGGCATTTTAGCCTAGAAGCATCCTGCATCATGTTAGCAGTACGGAGCAGCGTAGATAGAGTCCATGAGCGTACAAAATTTGCATTTCGTTGAGAGTTCGGGGCGCAAAAGCTTGAAGGAAATACGCGTAACAGGTGTACTCAGGAACCAATGTTCTACACGCAAGGTACGGCCAGCAGCCCCAATTTGTACAAGCTCTGCTACGCTGATCGTCACCACGTGCCTTGTAACGCTCGGCGGCTCAGCAGGTCCAAAGAAGCTCCCGCGCTGCAGCTCAGCGCTGCGGAGGCCGTACCAATACCAAATGAGTGACAAGGCGGGGGCCTAGGTTGCCCCAGACCACCGATGACGACCTTGTTTCGCGCCAGGAACCAGGCCGCGGTACGTACCAGGCGCCAGCTCAACCAACCTCCAGGCTGGCTGCGTTTCTTTTGCCTCGACCATCGAACCACCGACACACACCATCGACTCTGCCATCTTGAGAGCTGCACCCGCACGCGCTCATCGTCATGGCGCCTCTCAGCTGTCGAGGCCTGCTCGTCGGGCTCGTGGCTCTACTGCCCTCTTTGACGGCGGCCTACGCCAATTCCAGCTACAATGTCGATGCTCTGCGAGCCCAGTTCGCGCTTATGGATGACCGCCCCAAGGATTGTCCGCCATGGTAAGAGATGCACTGGAGTGGCTATTCGCTGGCATGGTTGCGACCGTACTGACGATAACTTTGCAGCTTCAACTGTCTCCTACCTGCCCATACCTGCGCGCAGTACGCCGGCTGTAACGAGTTCAATGGAAAATGCGACTGCCCCGATGGGTTCGGCGGTGACGACTGTCTCGAGCCATGTATGTTTATGGACCGCCCACCTAGTGCTACCTATCTGATTTTCGGCGCTGGCGCAACATCGTTGTCTATTTCCAGGCATCTGTTAACTGACGCTTCTCCGCTTAGTGTGTGGTTCCCTTGGGCGCGGCAAAGACCGACCGATGCGATCGGGCTCGTCTTGCGAATGTGACGAAGGCTGGACTGGCATCAACTGCAACGTCTGCACAACGAACCAAGCTTGTAATGCGCTGATGGAGACTGGCAGCGGAGGTGTCTGCTACCAGAATGGCGAACTCGTTAAATACAACAATCAGATCTGCAAAGTCACGAACAAGAAGATTGCCGACTTGCTTGGACAGCAAAAGCCTCAAGTTACATTTACCTGCAAAGAAGAGGAGGAAACTTGCGACTTCCAGTGTTGGTTTCCTGTGCCCCTTGTTAGGCCGTGATGCATCTGCTGACCGCTCTCCCTTTAGTCTGGATTGATCAAGTTGAATCTTTCTATTGCCACTTGTCAGATTGTGCATCTGGTGCACAGTACGGCATCGATAAGAATACCACAGCATACAAGTGCAACCACATCGACTGCAGTTGTATTCCTGGCCGTATGATGTGCGGCAAAGATGGTTCGCTCGACCTTACCGATTTTCTGGACCAAGCAATCAATGGCCCTGGCCGATTCGAGTGTACTCAAAAGGGCGGCGGTGCCCATGACTGTGCTTTCAAAGAGCCCGCAATGGACGATCTCATCACTAGCTTAATCGGCGACTCTAGTATCCTTCTAGACTGCCAAGCGGGCGAGTGCTTGTACGAGACTGAGGTGCCAGGTTATCACCGTCCGGTTAAGCAAATCAATACGCCCCTCATTGCTGGTGTTATTGGAGGATCTTCGCTCTTCTTGGCAGCCGTCATCATTGGAACGTGGTATTTGTCTCGCCGCAGGTTGCGTTATGGAGCAATTCGCCTCGAGGATTCCGACGATGAGAGCACCAAGCTCATGGTGGATCATAAGCCTGCCACTCTCTTCTTCCAAAATGTCGCCTATACTCTTAATGGAAAGAATATCCTGACTGGGATCCAAGGAGTTTGCCAGCCAGGGGAGGTGACTGCCATCATGGGAGCTTCAGGCGCGGGAAAGACAACGTTTCTGGATATTCTTGCTCGAAAGAATAAGCGTGGCCACGTCAGCGGAGATTTTTACGTCAATGGCGAAAAGGTCAATGATATCGATTATAGAAATGTGGTTGGATTCGTCGATCAAGAAGACACCATGCTGCCCACGCTTACCGTTCATGAGACTATCCTCAACAGCGCTCTGCTGAGACTTCCCCGGGATATGGGTCGTGCTGCCAAGGAGCAGAGAGTTATCGAGGTTGAGAAAGAGCTAGGAATTTATCACATTAGAGACTCTCTCATTGGTTCCGAAGAAGGCAAAGGCCGTGGAATCTCTGGTGGTGAGAAACGACGCGTGGGAATTGCTTGCGAACTGGTCACCAGCCCCTCCATCCTCTTCCTCGATGAGCCGACCAGTGGATTGGATGCTTATAATGCGTACAATGTCGTTGAATGCCTTGTTACCATGGCCAAAAACTACAAGCGAACCGTCATCTTCACCATCCACCAACCTCGCTCCAACATCGTTGCGCTTTTTGATAGGCTCATCTTGCTGGCTCAGGGCAAATTGGTTTACTCTGGACTCTTTTCGGAATGCCAGCAATACTTCGATGATATTGGCTATGAGTGTCCCCCGGGCTTCAACATTGCCGACTACCTTGTGGATCTTACTATGCATGCGAGCAGCAACCAGACGGTAGACGACGGACGAATCGATGCCGACGGTGGAAGTGTTGGCCCAAGCAGTACGCGGGCTGTCAAATCCGTTGCAAGCACCACCATTGGAAGCGCTGGCGAGGTTAGTGCCGAGCCATCATTACGTCCCAAGAACCGACGCCGCGACTCGGTCAAGGTACGACAGGAACGAGAGCTCTTTACGCGTAGAAAGGCCCCTGGCACTGCCGCATCTTCAGATGCCGGAGGAGAGAACCAAGATGGCTATCGGCTCCAGAGCAACCCCATAAACTCTCAGCCCAGCCACCAGCTGGATGATCCTCATGACTTACCCCCTCCGGCTATGACAGGAACCGATCTGGATATCATCACTCGATCTTTTGCCAAGTCTCATATTGCTGCCTCTATCCGCGACGACATTCAGCAAGCAATCAGTGGAGCCGAAGCGGCAAATGGGTCAAATACGAACGGATATGCTGCAGACGGACCAAACATCTATACTAGCGCTGTTGGAAAAGGATACGCTCGGATTGGATACCTGCGCCAGTTTATCATCATCTCTGGGAGAACCTGGAAAAACCTGTACCGCAACCCAATGCTTATGCTCACACACTACGCAATTGCCATCATCTTGGCGGTTTTCTCCGGATACTTGTTCTATGGCCTCACTGATGATATTCCTGGCTTCCAAAACCGCCTTGGTTTATTCTTCTTTCTGCTGGCTCTCTTCGGCTTCAGTACTCTTACGAGTCTCAATGTATTTGCCAGCGAGCGTCTCCTTTTCACCCGAGAGCGAGCCAACGGCTACTATTCCCCAGCCACTTATTTTGCCGCCAAAGTCCTGTTCGATATTATTCCTTTGAGAATCATTCCACCGATTCTCATGGGTTCCATCATCTACCCAATGACGGGCTTGGTGCCAGATTCGGCGCATTTCTTCAAGTTCATGCTTGTTTTAGTCCTATTTAATCTGGCAGCAGCAGCCATCTGTCTGTTTATCGGCATTGTTTGCAAGGACGGTGGTGTAGCCAACTTGATTGGTAGCTTGGTGATGCTGTTCAGCCTCCTCTTCGCTGGTTTCCTCCTTAATCACGACGCCACACCAAAGGGTGCTCTGTGGCTTCAGACCCTCTCTATTTTCCACTATGGCTTTGAATCGCTCATCGTCAACGAAGTCATAGAGCTTACACTGGTGGACAAAAAGTACGGCCTTGATATTACTGTCCCTGGTGCCGCTATTCTTAGCTCCTTTGGATTCCAAAACGGCGCCCTTTGGTCCGATATTAGAAACCTTGGTATCTTTGCCGCCGCCTTCGTCGTTCTCGCCTATGCCGCGATGCACATCTTGCTTGTCGAAAAGCGATGAGAAGAGCAGCTTCGATTCCATCCAGGATGCGAAGAGGCATTTTTGTGCAGGTTACGACATGTACATACTCATTTCAGGCAAACTAAACTTCCTGGGAATATTGCACAACTGGCGTTTTATGGTTAGAGAGCATATCTTGCCCCTTTTTTGAATTTTCGCGTGTATCTGTGGCGATAGTTTTTGGGCATTGGCAGAGTGCCTTGTTTGGACCTAATTAACGCTAAATGATCCTTTTTCTTCGTAATTGTATGCAATTGAGAAACTATTTTGAATGGCATAGCTTGAGCTGTGTTTAATTTGTGAAGCTTGAATGTGGAATTTTTCCAAGTGTTTCTGATATATATATAATACATTGCAATGCGCTGTAAGGGCGCATGATATTCTACTTCTTCATTTTTTTTTTTTTACAAGAAAATTCTCATTATCGCTACTCCATTTTGCCTCCCGTAAATTCCTCAGCAATCCTCTTCTGCCGCTTAACGGAGCGATCATATTCGGACTCGTAGTAATCCATGAGCTTGGTTGAATTTCCAGTTGTGGTTTCCAGCATGTTTGCGATGGAGGGAGGCTTTCCGTAGATTCCCCAAGCGTTTTCGGTTGTACCATACCGTTGGAAGTATTGACTTTGTTTCCTGAAGTAGTCCTCGCTGAAAATCTCATCAATCTCAGCCTTGAGCTCGCTTTCCTGGACGATGAAGTTGGAGGCGTTGATATACAGCTCCATAAGAGCATCCCGTCGAGCTTCGTATTTAGCCTTCTCTTTCTTCTGGACCTTGACCTGGCTACGCTGGGCACGGGCAAAGCGCTCTGGGTCGGGGTATGTTTTGGTGTCCAGAATAGCATCCAGGACGGTGCTTCGCGTGAGTCTGTCGTCTTCTCTTTCTGGCGCAGCAGCAGCCTCGTTGTTCTCCTTGAATTTGCGGCTTACGCGGGCGTTCCTAATTGCATCGCTCTTCTCGCGGCGTGTATAGAGTGCCTTCAAACCTTGCTCAAGATTCGTTCTTCGGGTTTCAGCCATTTCTCTCTTCCATCTCTGAGAATCGTTCTTGGGTTCCCGTGCATTGGCAGACCTCGGGGCTGTCTTGTTGATATAATCGGGCTTGATTTTGCGATCGCCTTCGGATCGAAGGAACACCTGCCGCGGCACTGGCAGTGAGCCTCTTACTCGAGGTGGCTTGACTTCGTCAGTTTGAGACTGAGGAGGGGAAGGAAGTCGGATGTAAGAGGGAGATTCGGGCGGGACGGCATTGGAGAGAATGGCCGGGGTTGTTGAGAAGCTGCGTGAAGTAGACGACAATTGCCGAACTACTGGCCTGAGGCAGTTGCCTGCAGAATAGAGCGACATTTTGAATAGAAGTTGCGCTGCGAAATTGAAGATTCAACTGCCCACGCACGAAGGTGGTGTGCGATATCGACTTACAGAAAATTGCCCATATCCGCAGAGAGCAGCTCGGATTAACTGATGCCGATTTTCCGCTGTACCCCTGTTTTGCTTAAATAAGTTGACCAGCCACAACCTGCGGAGATGTGGGCTAGTGGGGTCCTCTGAGAAAAAAAAAAAAAAAAGTTCGTGATAAGAAGCTGCAGCCACTTTTTTCCAATCTTCTCTGCTCTCTTTACTTCCGCCCAAGATCTTTGTGCTTGCTAGCAAGCCAAAAACTTCATCATGGGAACCGGAAAGAAGGAAGCCGCCCGGCGCGTGCGCCAGGGCAAGACTGGAGATGGGATGGGAAATGTTCGCGTCAAGGGCGAGAACTTCTATCGGTATGTGCAGCAGCTGTGCCTGATTTCTTTTGTTGGCGACAATGTGTGCTGACCAATGTTGCGTTTGAAGCGATGCGAAGAAGGTGAAGCTCGCGAACATGTACAAGGATGGCAAGGCTCAGAGAGACGCGGACGGGAAAATCACAAAGGCTGCGAGCTTCCAGTCAAGAGACATCCCCAACGCCCGAATCGAGCCAAACCGCAAGTGGTTCACCAACACTCGCGTCGTCTCCCAGGACACTCTCACAGCCTTCCGCGAGGCCATGGCTGAAAAGGCCAAGGACCCTTACCAGGTTCTGCTCAAGTCAAATAAGCTTCCCATGAGTCTCATCCACGACGGAGGCAAGGACAACAACACCACCAATGGCATCAAGCAGCACAAGGCCAAGATGACGATTGAGACGTCGCCGTTTGCGGGTGTCTTTGGCCCCAAGGCCCAGCGCAAGCGTGTCAAGCTTTCTGTCAGCACTGTTGATGACCTTGCTGATGACACCGAGAAGAGCATGGAGACTTATGAAGAGCGCCTGGAGCACAACAGGCTTCTGAGTGGAAATGGCGAGGAGCCCGAGTCACTTACTATGGCTATCGAACCTGTGTTTGATAAGGGCCAGAGTAAGCGTATTTGGAACGAGCTCTACAAGGTCATTGACTCTTCGGATGTGGTCATTCACGTTCTTGACGCCAGAGATCCTATTGGAACTCGATGCAAGAGTGTTGAGAAGTACCTCAAGGAAGAGGCACCTCACAAGCACCTCATCTTTGTCCTCAACAAGTGTGACTTGGTTCCCACAAGCGTTGCTGTAAGTTTGTTTTAATTTCTTTTCCCTTTTTTCCCCCTCTATCAATATCTCTCTTGGCTATATGCCCCCAATTGTTTTTGTCAGGACACCTCGCATTATTCCCCGTGGAGGACCGTCTGTTACAACATTGGGAGATTGATTGCAATCTCGACTGTCTCAGCTTCGGCTGCAGGCTGATATGGTGCCGTTTTGGTTACCTATCAAGAGAAGGCTGTGTGTCTGATGAGTTGAAGCCTTCCCTCGCCCTCGCTGGCATCCAAAGGAGCTTCTTAGTGAAGACACGCACATTTCTACACCTTTGTTTTTTATTATGATATTCATGTACAACATTTTGATGTTCTCGTCTAATATGAGAATAGGCCGCCTGGGTACGAGCTCTCTCCAAAGAGGTTCCCACGCTTGCTTTCCACGCAAGCATCAACAACTCGTTCGGAAAAGGATCTTTGATCCAGCTACTGAGACAGTTCTCTGCTCTTCACACGGACAGGAAACAGATTTCTGTCGGTCTGATTGGTGGCCCCAACACGGGAAAGTCTTCCATCATCAACACTCTGTCCAAGAAGAAAGTCTGCACCGTGGCCCCTATTCCTGGTGAGACTAAGGTGTGGCAATACGTAAGCTTAATGAAGCGTATCTACCTTATCGACTGCCCCGGTATTGTGCCTCCCTCTGGCACTGATACGCCAACCGATCTCGTCCTACGAGGCGTGGCGCGTGTCGAAAAGGTGGAGCACCCAGCGCAATACATCGATGCTCTACTGAGCCGTGTCAAGCAAAACCATATGGAGAAGACATATGACATCAGGGGATGGCGAAACGGAACAGAGCTTCTTGAGCTACTTGCTCGGAAAGGAGGCCGTCTACTCCGCGGAGGAGAGCCTGACCTGGATGGCGTAGCGAAAATGGTGCTAAACGATTTCATGAGGGGCAGAATCCCCTGGTTCACCCCAGCTCCTAAACTGAGTGAAGAGGATGAGGAAGAGGGAAGTGGCAATGTCAATGGCCGCCGCGGCAAACTGGGTGAGATGCCCCGGAAGCGACCCGCTTCCGAGACATTGGATGACGCTGAAGAAGCCAACGCCGAAGTCCCCGGAAAGGAAGCTGACGGGGACGAGTCCTCGGACAGTGAGTTTGAGGGGTTGGGCAGCGACACTGAAGAGGCCTTGTCAAGAAAACCTTCTTTTGGTGCTACCAGTGGAGCTCAAAGCGATGCTGAGAGCAACTCTGACGATGTCTTGTCCGTTAACGACCTGAGCGATGACGAAGCTTCCAAGGAAGCTACTCCCGTTACCCAAATCTCATCTGACAAGCCTGGTCGCTCCAACAAGCGACAGCGTCGTTGAACAAGAGACAGGAGATGCAACTTCATTGAAACCGCCTTTGAGAATAGCAGTTTGGAATCTCAAACAAATTCGAATGATGCAATAAGCACGCTATTCTTAGAAGAGACTGTCTATACCCTTGCTCCATCTTTGCGGCATATGGGCTCCATTGCGAGAAAAAACATTGTCCTGGCATCAAGAACACCATTAGCCGCGATAAGCTGTTAGCTAAGATCAGCACATTTTAGGATATGTCGCCTAGGCCTTGCAAAAAGGCCCGCGATATCCGAGCTGGCAATGTTCTGAACAAACAAGCATTGACCAGTTTAAAGCAATCGATCACACACCAATCGCGATGTCAGTTTGCGTGCGGTGTATTCTAAGTGGCCCTGCCTGCCATGTGGATTGAAGGAGCTTTGTACAGAAACGGAAAGCTCTAGATGGATGCCAGAGTGCAGGGATCTATGCAGTGTGTGCTCCTTGGAGACGTCATTGGGATGTGCCAAGCTTTGGTGAAGCAACCCTTTACAGCTTTGCGAAGAGGCTTGGAGGATTCGATCCGTGAGCTGTGTTCCGTGATCGCTCTAAGCAGCTAGGTCGGTCCCCGAGCTCATCGTCTTGTCCAAATCGGCTACTCATGATGAGAGAAACGCCGGAGTCGAGATGGCCCCGCAAGAACGCGCTGATCAATCACGATCACGATCGCTCGGATGGGCAGGAAAGTAAATAGGCATCTTTCAGCATCAAGGTCACAACTGTCTGACACGGCGGACCTGACTTAGACAAGTCGAAATAATACCCACCAATGAATTAATGTTACCAACTTGAACGGAGTCATCGTGACTGTGATTTTAGTGTCCAATGTCTTAACTCTTGAAGTGTTTCCCTGGCGTCTTTGTGTAGGGGGCTCTAGTTCCACCTGCAGTGCGGATTGAGTCGAGTCGCACGGCAGAAGAAGCTGAACTAATAGATTATAGACAAGCTACCGTGGTGACGTTTGTACTCCATACAGCCACTGCAAGCTACCCGAACCAGATCGAGGTTGAAGGAAACCTTGTCCTGAGCTATCCTTTCCAGATACGAGTTTTCCCCAAGATCTCATTGTGCAACCATGAACTCATCTGTTGGAGCTGAACAAAGCGGATCGTCGGTCATCTTAGCCGGATGGCCGCGGTTGGCCAAAGCAGAGCCTAGTGATAACTCTAACCCGTTTTCAACCAGGGATCTGCCTGTCAAAATGACAAAATCTCAGCCGAGGAGGCTTCGAATTACTAGTTGATAGCACCGCTTTCTACTACTTGATGTGGGTTGTTGCCTGATACCACACGCATGGCCCATATAACGGAAGAAAATTGGTTCTCACTTGCTTGGTTATACTGCGGCTGTTGGCTGTCGGCTGTAACGGCTGCGCTGTCACGGACATGTAAGACATTGTTGCCACTGTTGAGTACTCGGGCGAGGGTCGTGGCTCTCGCGGATTGGTCTTGTTTCAGCTTACTCGGTGAAGCTTGGGCGCTTTCTCTCTCTCTACCGCGTTTTGCTCGATATGCTGGGGGCCGAAAGGATTCGAGAACTCAGAGGGGCGCACATCCCCGGCAGTTTTGGAGAATGATGAGAAATGCGCAGAGGCGTTTTCTCGTATTTCGGAGGAGTGGTGAGGTCAATGGTGGGAATTTTCCTTTTAGCGGTGGTGATCCTTTTTCAGGCCATTTTTCTTTTCTTTTTGGATGACGATGTCCTTTTTGGACGTGCATGTGGCCAGGAGCAGTGAGGTAAGAGGCATCGTGGAGTTGGTGGCTTGAGTGAGAGGAGAGCTCGGAGGGCTGGATATGGACATGTCATGACAAGGAGGACTCTCTCGCCTTGATTTTTGAGTATATAACGATGGTCTCATTCCATCATTCTTCTCCCTCTATCTTGTTCTTCATTATACGATATTCTCTTCTGTGAAAACAATTGTTCAAGAAACTTCTGAGAGGTAGTTATCCTCCTTTGTGGATAGCTTCTTTCTTCTACACATAATACCCTACCTATCACACACTTGATACTACACAAGCAGAACACTTTTCGCCAACAATGTTATACTCTCTACTTGCTCTTGGCCTTGGTACGGCCCTGACTGAGGCTGCCGTTGTGCGGACTTCTGGCTGCCAGTTACACTTTACAGCTTCAGGAGCCATTTCTGGTCCTGTTGGCGAGATCTCGTCAGGCCAGGTGCGAGCTGGCAGCGGTGTGAGCTCGACAAGTTTCACCCTGCAGGGAAGTCAGCTCTTCGATGACAAGGGCCGCGGCTGTTGGTGGACTCGTAAGTTTTTTTCTTTTTTTTGCACCCTCCCTTACTTGTATAATTCTTGTTTTGCTTGCTTCGTGTTTGAGAGACATGCATAACGCTTATGCATACACGAGACGCAACGTGTGACTCAACACATGTCTTGGATTTGATTCTGGATTGTGGTTCTGCATGCTGACGAGTGTGGAACAGCGCCTGCCCATGTGCTCCAGTGCGACAAGAACCAGAACCCAGACAATGGATTCAAGGTTGGATGTGACGGCTCTGTCTCGTTTAATGGACAGACGGAGTTTTGGGAGTGCCAGACAGGAGAGAGTGGCCAATACAACGTCTATCTGAATGGAGGACAAGGGGTCAACTGCCACCAGATCACGCTCAAGGCTGATAACTGTCACTCGGGATGCCCACCACCACCACCGCCGCCACCACCAGCACAATCATCATCCCCTCCTCCTCCGCCTCATCAAAAGACCTGCCCGGCCAACCTCAACGGCCCCTACGAGTTCCCCCACCTCATCATCCCTGTGGACAAGACCAAGCCAGACAACGCCCCGGGAACATCCTTCTTCGGCGAAGTCTCCAGCAGCGTCTCCTCCATCTTCAACTTTGACATCCCCAGCGACGACAAGGGCAAGACATGCAGCCTCGTGTTCCTCTTCCCACAGCAAAAGGATCTCACGACCTCGTCCTTTAACATTACCGGCTCGGGAGCCCTCGACTTTGCCAGTTTGAGCAAGCCCGCTACCCAGAGCACGACGTTCAACAACCAGCCGAGCAAGAAGCAGGATTTCGGAACCACGACGGTATCTCCGGGCCATAGCTATACGATTGCCACGTTTGCGTGTCCTGCTGGGGAGGCGATTGCGTTTGAGATTTCGGATGCGAATGGTGGGGGCACTTCGTTTAGGTATTTCCAGGATTATAATCCGTCGCCTATTGGGTTGTATATCACGAAGTGCTAAATGCGCTGAGAGAACTTGCACCAAAGGGAAAAAAAAAGGAAAAAAATAAAAGGGAGATGTGAGATGGAAGGATGTAATGTGTGGTGGGATGGATGTCGTGTTTGGAGCAACTTTGGTTGTTATGCTTGACGGCTATGGATATATGTGATAATGATGATGAGTCATTCCCTAAGAGGTAGTCAAGCTTTTTGTAAATGAGATTTAGCTAATTTAATTTGCCTATTCAAGAACTTCTTTAGTCATTTGTGTCGAATGTGGAAAAGAAGGGAAGGTTTACATCTTACGTGAGATGAGTTTCTAGAATTTCTCTGCCCAGCGAAAAGTCACAGCTGTATCTCAAAGTTGGACAAGTAAGCCAAAAACGCTGAGCATAGTCATCATCTTTGAACCATTTTCTTTACGCATGCAATTTGTTTGAGATACAGCTTCGCATGGGTTCGCTTGGGGAGAGATTCGTTGAACAGGCTAATTGTAATCACGACGTTTATACTGCAACAATGTATCAAAGATGATCTGCTGGGGAATATGTAAATACAGTTTACTAAAATAAAGATTTCTGATTGGTTTGGGGGTTTTATAAGATCTTCTAACATTTATGCATTTTCGTGCGGTTGATCATATCGTCGAATATATTTATCACTTTTCATTACTGCAAAATTAGCATTACAACAGTTAATACCAAAAAATCACATATTATTCATGGTATCTCATAATCATTTGCATTATTTTCTAGTGAAAATAGCCTAAAGGAGAACGAAGTAAGTTAAAGATGCTACTTCTACTGCCTCTACAATCTCTACTGCTGCTATTGTCACTACTGCTAATAAATTCTATGGCTTTATTGTTATTAAGTTTTGTTTCTATTAGTATGTCCATTTTCAGTTTGCAGCTCCTGTTTCCTTCTCTTCCCTTCATCTATTAGTCGTATTATTCGCATTAGCATCCTCGACTTGACGCCTCTTAGCCAACTGATCCTAATAGAGTAGCTCGAGATCACATTATGCTAGGAGTAGACAAAATATATGCAAGGGCCATGAATCTGTAATCTATGACGCCACTAAGGAACACACAGTAGCTATTGATGATGTAAACGGCGAATCGCATCTCGCTCTGTTGTCAAATCAGATACCGGGGATCGGCACTCATCTCGATGTGGGGAGATTGTCAGGGAGGGGGAGTGTGAAGTAAGTGTGAAGCAAACATGAAAACAACCTCTGAAAATCATTGCTTATTCAAATTTTAGCACAATTATTGTTCCGATTATCTGGAAAAGATGTATCTACCACGCAGCTGCGCTTTTTCTTTAAATCCACCACTCGACAGCTTGCTCTGCCTGACTAACGCGGTTTATCCGTGGCCTCGTCAAACGTATAGAAAGGACAACTCTCCGTTTTTTAAAAAAAAGAGAGAAAGTCTCTTTATTGGGTATCTAACACCGGCTATCGCCAGAGGCCCGGCCCATGTCGAGCCGCGACTCACCAAGAGCTTCGCTTTTCGTCCAAGTGGCGCCCTGGTTCACCACCTTGGATGCACACTCACAGCCTTAGCCTCTTGTCATGCATACCATGAGAAAGAGGAATCAAAATTGACTGGTACTTATTACCATCTAGCGAGCTTTCAAGCTGATATTAGGGAGAGTAAAAAAACTGATATCTAGCTTCGTAGATCAAAGAGGCCTTTATATACCTAGTTCTTCGCTGATGTAAACACGCCGAGTAATTACCGTTCCAACCGATTTTCTCCCTAGAAAAACGGACACTGAAATTTACCCCTTCAAGTAAAACCGAGTCCCTATGGGATAATCTCAGTCACCTACCAGGCTGTTTTGTTGCCTGGCACCTCCATGGCTAAGCAGCATCCTTCCAGCAGGCCCAGCCTCTGCCGATTTCGCACATGACAGCAAAGCGAAACATGAAAACATTTTTGCTGATCTCTAAAAATAAAAAGACGAGCAGTCTAGAACGCTCCCTGCGTGCAGCAGCATGCCATCCCGCGCCCCATTGCTAGGATATCGAAGCAAAAGCATCGTGGACCCTGAAAACTTGCCTAAATAGGCAATGCCGTGGTGGTGGGGGTCGGCTTCCCGGGCGGGCATCTCCATATTATAGAAACATCTCAGCTACAGTAGCTCGCTAATAAGCAGCTGTTATTATTATTCAGATGGCACTGCTAGACATGCGACATGTATCACTGCAAGATTTTCACTTTTAAATCCGATGATCCGGTTCTAGAACCCGGGGGCTGATGCCCGCTTTTTACCGTTCATGGGTCTCGAGGTTGCAGTTTGTGCTGAGCTTCGTGTTTGCTACCGATTCCGGAGCGATTATCTGTCTGCGATGGAGGACGTGAGAGGATTGATGAAAAGAGCGTGCATGTATGAAGATTGCCCCTTGCAGGAGAATTACTAGCATTAGGACGCGCAAGCGGTGCTGGGTATGCCTGCATGAAGGGTCAAGTAATGTGATCATAGACACTCAATACCAGATCCTATTTCGAGTTTTGACGTGTAGAGTATTGCCGTTGATAAGTTCATCTGATGCTAATTCTCCGATTGAAGTCATTGGGATGCTTCCATTGCATCAATGAGCTCTGAAATCGAGGTCAAGTGCACGCCTTCTCTTGACCTTGAAGTGATGCTAATCCAGTCAGGGCTCGGCTAAGCTTTGCGGCAGTAATGCTCCTCAACCTTACATCTCGTCTATAGACGATCATTACTAGCAATGGAAGCTCAAGCATACCAAGCTTTGCCCTGTTCCACGGTCATGGGACTGCTAAATCTGACGTGGGCATGGTTTCAACTATCCGATGCCTCGATATCGCAAGAGCACATGCGTTGACGCCTATCCTGTTGGTAGCGATTCTTTCAGTTGGATCGTAAAACAGCACCCTCGACGCTATAGAAGCATCACCTAACTAGTACTGACATCAACTGCTTCTTCCCACCACTTGGCTGGATGTCTCCCAGCTCTGTGTCCTTGCCCACCACCACTAGACCTGACCCTAATCGAGGTGCTCTGGAGGATCCTGGCTTCTCTGTGGGGAATCCCGGGGTGGCGCTTCCGGGGCGTCTTAACAAGATTTAGCGGCAGGATGGCTGACGCCGCCTCCACAAATTCCCCTCCAAAAAGCCAGGGCGCTACCATCAGAGTCCGGCTAACCGTCGCTGGTAATCCGAAGCTCGCCGTGGCTCTCGCGAGCTCGATCTGGCGGGAATAGCAGTATACGAAGCTTGCTGCCCCAAAGTCCAATCATCCTCTGGCTCCTGATACCTCTCTCTTGGCCAGCTTGAATTTGCAGGCTCGGCAGCCTGGGAACAAATTGGGGCTTTAATTTGAATTTCTGTTCACGAGACTTCTGTCCCCCTCATTCTCCCCACCCTCTCTTCGATGCCGCCCCCTTTCCGGAACGAGAACGCCTCCCCAAATCAAAATCCTGGAGCCATGTCCTCTAGATCTTGCTTTCGCGTAGGAGCTCCAAAATCCTACCTCGTACGAGAGCTCTGTATTGGCTCGCCAACCACATGCATCGCCGGTCTCAATCCATTGCCACCACCCCCTCTCTAAATCAATTACTCACTCCCCTCCCTGGCTATTCCTCATTCATTTTGATGCCCTCGTGATGGTTTGCGCCTTGCCACATACAACTTGCCGCCATCGTGATGTTGCTTGTGCGTATCGTGAGTTTGGCGTAGCGTTGCCTCCATCCCCTCACGCCACCAAGCCTTCCCCGCAAACGGTTCGGTAGGCCTGAATTGTGTTGGTTCCTCGTAGAATTTAAATCCAATTGCCATCCGCATCTTTTTGCGTTTCTGCCACCATCATTCCATCGTAACAATTGTCTCTGGCTCCTCAGTTATAAGCCAATCCAGCCAGCCAAAAGCTTTTTGTGTAGCTTCTCAGGCTTCATTGCCATATTCCATCATATTGAGCTTCGTCAACTCTTTTTGAAGTACCACCACCACCACCACTCATTCAGAAATGTCTCGCCTCGCTCCTGCTCTCAGGTTGCTAACCCGGCAACCTCTTGCATTTAGGGCCTCTAACCGTAGCAGCGCTTTACTGGCTACTACCGCTCGTCGAAACATGCATGTCTCACCAGTTCTCTCATCTCCTCCCCTTGATCCGGTCACTCGGCCACATTTGCTGGCCGAGTTCACCATGAAGGACAAGGTCGTTGTAATCAGTGGCGGTGGAAGAGGATTGGGCCTGGTACAGGCCGAAGCACTTCTTGAAGCAGGTGCCGTTGGTAAGCTGTTTGGCAATCCAAGTTGTTCTGCATTTTGCTGACCCGTGTGTCCTCTCAGTGCACTGCATTGACAGACTGCCCGATCCTACCTCAGATCCAGAGTCGGAGTTCTCTCGTGTAGCCAAGCGCGCCAAAGAAGAGTTGAACACCAGTCTGACATACCACGAGCTGGATATTCGTAACGTGCCTGAATTGAACAACATCTTCAGAGGCATTGCAGATGAGAGAGGTCGTTTGGACGGCTGCCTTGCTGCCGCTGGAATCAACTATGAGAGCCCGGCTCTCGACTACACTCCCGAAGAGTCTGATCGCATGATGAGCATCAATGTCTCGGGCGCTTTCATGACTGCTCAAGCCGCTGCTCGCCAGATGGTCCGACTGGGAACGCCTGGCAGCATCTGCATGATTGCCAGCATGAGCGGCACCGTTGCCAACCGTGGCATGTTTGCTCCGTAAGTCTCATGCCACTTGTTTCCCTAGCGGTGCTTTGTGATTCTGACAAATACATGATAGAGTATACAACGCCTCCAAGGCCGCCGTTATGCAGCTGGCCCGAAGCTTGGCTGCTGAGTGGGGCCAGTATGGCATCCGCGTCAACACTCTCTCTCCCGGATACATCCTGACGCAGATGCTGCTGAACCTGTTCGATGACTACCCCGAGCGAAAGGAGCAGTGGCCCAAGGAGAACATGCTTCAGCGATTCAGCGTCCCCAAGGAATATCGCGGTGCCGCCGTATTTCTGCTCAGCGACGCCAGCAGCTTCATGACAGGAAGCGATCTCCGTATTGACGGTGGACATTCTGCTTGGTAATCGGCAAAAGCAACTTTTGGCGTCAAATGAAATAGAGCATATAAAGGCTGGCAGGCACTTGATTGCGGCTTTGATCTGGTGCGCATGACGAAATAGGGAAAGGGGGGAAGAGGGATAAAAAGGGATGGTGAATTCCCATAATATCCGTTTTTTTTTGTAATTGTTTGCATGTTTGGAGTTGGGCATAGGTAGAAAAGAAATTTCATGTTGCAATCTCGACATCAGCTCGTCGCACTATTAATTCGCGGGAATGTGTGTCAAAACGCCTGCGGGTCCTAGTTTGCCCAGGAATCCGGGAGTGACTCTCAGTCTCTTCTCAATATCAGCGACAGGAACATCACGGCTCAAGAGATGAACAGCATCAAGGATGGTTCTCATATTGGCCATGCGGCATCGACCTCCCTCGCGACCCATAATCTCAAGATCTTCGTCAGCAACTCGCTCCAAACGGCGCCGAGCTTCGAGCACAGTGAGCGTGGTGTTTTGCTTGGCCGGTGGAAATAGCGGTCCTGGAGGTACGGCCAGTGATTCAGGCGAGAAATTGGGCGCTGCGGTAGAAGAGGGCGAGAACGTAGGGTTTGGCTGCACGATGCCCATCTGGTGGAGGCGTTTAGAGAAGTCGCCGGGGGCAAAGTCAGGATCCATGGCATCAGCGCGAATTGCTATCAGCTACGTTAGAGCACACGTATACAAACACAATGAACATGTAGATACTAAACACTGGTCTCCTTACCTTCGTCTTTAGACCCATCTCCGCGAGGCGCAGGCTGCTGAGGTCTCGCCCTCTGAGTGGTAGCTTGAGGCACAGCTCCAGGTGATCTGGTGGGATACTTGCGAGCTGCTCCGCGAGCCGCTGCTTTGGATGAAGAGGCGCCCATGATCGGTTCTATTTTTCGTCGTAGTCCTGCGTGGATATTGAGCGTAGCGGGCCAAGCGAATATGCCGGAGCGGTGTCCGAAGGAGAAGCAGGATCGACGTCTTTCTTTAAGACAATGTCAAGGTTAGAAGGGAAAAAAAGCTATGAGGCGGCAAGCTATGAAAATTATGTCAAGCCTAACTTTTGACAGCTAGGGCGGGGCATTTTCCGGCTATTAAGGTGCCCACCAAGTCACCGCTAAAAGCACAGTGGCAGCTCCTGGATGCGCTGTGACGTCGCTCCTACAGTGCAGTCTCCACGGCTGATCCACCACCTACAACCTCCAACGCCAAAAGCGCTTAACCATGTGAACGCGAGATGCGGATGAGTAGAAGCAGAAGAATAACAGCGTTAATGTATATTTATTTGTGAGTTCATGGCTACAATATTCCCAACATGTCTACTTTGTTTCTCATCTGGTTAACGGCAACATATCTAATTTCCGGTTTTTACTACAACATAGGCCGATTTGTTTTTAGCATGAAGAGTCTCAAATCTATTCATTAGTGGGCTACAATCAAGTGCTAAGTGAAATAAGTGGAAAGAATTGTACAGCCATCTTCTTACGACCATTATTATTGTAATTATCTCGTGGAAGACGCAATTCCGTTACATCTTTCCAGCGTTCGTTCGTCTATGGCAGCGTATATGTCTATAAGATCGTCTGTCAGCAAAGCCTACAACTGTTAGAACACTTCGTTAGATCCACCAACTACGCTCTCTTAATCGTATTCAACGCCTCCTACGCTGGTACTATTTCAAACTATAAAATACATAAAATAAGCGTCAACGCCGCTGTCGCCATAAACACGAACCATGACTCAACCATGTCCTCACCGTTGCCGGTTCACAGCCTTTATGATCAGCCTCGAATCCACTGCACAAGTGTGACAGAGCTCGTGTATGCCATCGCAATTGTTCCGATGACCATTGTCGAGATATCCAAACCCTTCTCCCACGAAGTCTCTGCAACACCCTTGTAATGCAGATAAGCAGGGTAGATGTAGACCAGTGGAACACACGCAACACCTCCGATCAAGGCCACAAACTTATCCAAATCACTTGCTCCAAATATAGCGACGCAAATGCAAACAGCAATGGCCAAAGTCCGAAGCCCATTTTTCTTCCATTTGATTGCAAGGCTCCGTTTCCCTGTAGCTCGCTCGCCGAATATCGAAGTCTCCAAGATACGCACGGCGGGAAACAGCTGCACAGGTTCACCTGCTAGCACCGCGAGCGAGTAGAGGAACTGAACCGCATTGACGACAGGCGAGTCTTGTGGGAAGTTGGAGATGATCTGAATCTTGGTGTTCTCACCAAACGTAGCGTAACAGAGAGCTCCAACCGACGTGAAGATGGCGGTGATGAGGAACATGACAAAGTACAAAAGTCCTTTGAATTGATGTGGTTTCTTCATGCTCGATTGGATCGGGAGGATTAAGCCAATTCCTTCAAATGTAAAAATGGCCGAGCCGAGAGTGAGCGGAAAGTCTGAAGGATTGAAGAGCCTAACACTCGGGTCCATGCCGTGCCTGGCCAGGCTGCCAATATCGTAGTACCAAATGTATACAAGTCCGATAAGGATAAACGCATCAGCCACAAGCGCGACAGGCCCCAGTTTGGAGATGTTGCGAATTAAAGCTAGCGGAATGAGAGGGAGAAATTGCAGCGCAATGATACCTGCCACTCCAATATGACTAGCGTCTTTCGTCACGGCGTTGAGAAAAGAATACAAATTTTCGGCCGTGAAAATGAGGCCTGAGCAGACGAAGCCGAGCTGAGAAATCGCAATTGAGGCGAGGATAAGGCTTCGAAAGCGAGGACCGACGATGGATTCTCCAAGCTCTCCGTAACCACCGCCATACTTCTGACGACAGTCAAGCAGCATGCGGAAACAGAAGCAATTGATCAGCGAAACAGAAATAAGAGCAAGTGATGAGAAGAGGATGCCTCCGTTGCGGAAGGCCTTTGGCAAGAATAGGATGCCTGTGCCAATAAAAGCTTTGAGGAGCGTGAAGAAGGTCTTTACGGTGCTGGCGTCACCCTCCCGGCTGAGGCGTCGAGAGCTTTTCCGGCGATCGGTCTTGGGTCGCCTGAGCAGCGGGCGCTGTTCGTCAGGGACTTCTTCAGACTCATCAGTGACTGCAGATTCGTCCTCGTCCTCGTCGGTGTCTTCGAGCGCTTCACCCGCAAAGCTCCCGTACAAGTCGAGGAAATCCACAAAGGTAGAAGCCACAACAAGGCCGCTCTGCTCTCTTTGCCGAGCTCGCCGACGCAGATGCTGCCGCCTAAATCCGCCCGGCTCAAGCTGCTCAGAGGCCGTCAGCTCGCCAGATGGGCCCAGGTGAGGCGAGGGATGGTGAGAGAAGGTGTTGGATCGGCGGATGGAGCCCGCTTTGGCCCTGATCTTGAACATGTCACGATGGATATCGCCGCCTTGTAGCTTCAGGGACGATTCTAACGTCTCCAAAGTCGGCGTTGCATCACTGCTGCCATCCTGCCCATTCTGACCATTGTTGGTAGTGCCCAAATCCGTCGCAGACGCTGCAGGAGATTCGAAGAGATCTTGGCTGGCGGACGCAGCGAGAATGGGTTCCACGGCGACCTCGACGGGTTCGTTGGCCAAGCTAACCTCTGGATCAGCCGAGTAGCCCTCTGGGAGGTGTTTATGAAGAATTGCAGCCTGCCGCTGCACGGCATCTGAGTTGCTCGGGCTGTCGACCGAGGCGACGAGATCCGGTTCAGACATGATCGATGACGACTTGTTTCACCGCTCCACTTTGGGGAAGTACAGCGTCGCGATGAGTCCAATTGAGTGAAAGACGGATGGAAATGGAAAAATAAAAGATGATATAGGAAATACTATCGTAGAGCTCCGTATGCCATCCCAGATGGATCGTGGACAAAGTCACAGCCCATTGAGGTGGAGTGCTGGTGATGGCGGAAGATGATGGAAGAGGAAGAAAGTCGGTAGCATCATCGGACTGCGGAATCCGGAAGAAGCTGGGCACGGGACGGGGATCGCAGTACTACCAGGTACTCTTTACTGGTGCAGAGCTGCGCCAGTACTCCGTTGGTACGCCGGGACCCTTGCTCTCCACTGAGACAAAGGCGCGGCTCGTGTCGCAAGCGGCTGCAGGCGGCTGGAGCGCTGGAGCTGGGCGAGCAAATCAGGCGTTGAAGCGCCTGCAATGCGCCGTGAATGGCCGCTACACTGCCGTCTGCGGACGAAATCCATGCCAAGCTACTGGACAAGCTTAAAGGCTGAGAGACATACAGTGTGGAAATACAGTAATACGCGTCGCAAGCACTGTATCCTGACCTCATCGCTGCCCCTCCAAACGACCCGGGCCCCACCCTTGACGGTAGATTTTGCGACGATACATCAAACCGGATACGATTCCTCGAATAGCCACTCTCTACACCATCATTTTCGACATTTTGCGAATATTCAACCGCAACACCAACAGCCACAATGGATCCTTTAGAGAGCATGTCCACCGGGGGCCCCCTGCCCAAGAACTTTGACGCCGAAAATGCGAGCAACATGGAGGATGTGCGTCTTCGTTTCTAGCTGTGCAGCTCATGGAAGTTTCTAGCTGACTTTTTTTTTGTTTCTCGTGTGATAGATGGAGAAGCAATTCGCAGTCAAGGGTATGAATATGGCCTTGGCTCTTCACGGATAAAACTGTTCATACAACGACCTAACACATGCTCTTCATACAGTCGTTCAGCACATGGCCACCTACTGGGCCATTCTCGAAAAGGTCAAGGGCTCAAGTCTGCGACTCACCAAGATCGACGACGAAATCTACGAGCACCTCAAGGAGGCCTTCCCCGAGTTCGACCCCGCCGCCACAATCGACGAGGACGAGATGAAGAGCAAGACCGGCAAGGAGAGGTGGCGCGCCTTCATGATGAAGTACGAGAAGACGGTGGACGACTTCAACTTTGGCACCATGGTGCGCAACAATGCCAAGGCAGAATACGAGCAGGACTCAACCATCTTTGGTAGGTTTTTTGGGAGATTAGGAATGCGTTTCTTTTTTTATTTTGTCTAACCGTATTATAGTCCCCCGCATGCAGTTCTATGCTGTTGAAATTGCCCGGTATGTATTGCAGCTAGCGTTCGCCATGTCTTGATTCACGCTGACTGTCTTGAGCAGAAACCGAAATGGCCTGAACGACTGGATATATGAAAAGGCACAGGAAGAGAAGAACAAGTCCAACTAAATACCCCTTATACATAGACGAAGTCAAGAAAAAGTCAATTCTGTTTATACCGCGTGCCTTTTATTCGCTACAACGTTGAAAGTTTGGCCGGGATGGCCTAGATATAGTCTGGGTACGCAACATGGCCTTTAGCTGCCATTCTATCTAATGAGAAGGTAGAAGAAATGGGTTAATAGATGCCCACTAGTTTTTATAACCATGTGTGGACATGAGTACTCTTGCTCTTGTTTAATGTATGATGTCGCCCATCCCAGCTTAAACAGCTGCATGATGGCTACCTTTTCTGAGCACTCCATAAGGCTGGACAAAGCTTTGACCCCCCTCAAATAGTTATATTCACTCAAGCCATGTTTTGTTTTCTGTTTGCATTCCGCAGCTGTTTGTCACCTGGCTGGCAAAATGGCCTGCGCTCAGGCACCAGCACCATCAACGAGTCGCAGCTGACAACTGCAAACTTTTGTCTCTCCATCCCATATTTCCTCAAACATCAACAAAATCGCCAAAGAGAGTATCACGATGGAGCAGACGTCCTGGCTGGATCTATCGACGGAGAGCGACGGTATAACCTCGCCATCGCCACCACCATCGCCTCGTAAGTCGAACTCTCGTTGCCTATTTCTCTTCGAAATTCCTCCTGTTCTTTTAGCAGAAAAAGAACTAACATGACACAACAGCAAGCAGCCCCATCAAACTCACTCGATCAAAGTCCATCATCGAGCGATCCGGCAGCAGAGCTTCCGTCTACTCCATCTCTCCCAACACTTCACGCACCGATGACCAGCTTTTCGGCCGCGCTGGCCTCCCACCATGGGATCGGACAGTAGACCTGGTCTATCACAAATATAAACGCGGAGAAGCCAAGCGAGACAGAACCATCGCCTTGAAGGCGTCCATTGCCAACTTCTTCTCACTGCACAAGAGACAGAGGTCCTCACAAACGAGCAGCAACATTGCCCGTCAGGCAAACATCTAGCAGAAGTTTCCTGAAAATGTTCGCCTGCTCATCCTCCAAAACCTCATTGCATCTCATGGTCCAGCATTGGGGTCCAAGCCCATTAGTCTCAATCGATTCTGCTGGAACCAAGACTGCTGGGAGCCCTCGGACTTTACTCCTCTCCACGACGTCCTGGCAGCTTTCCGCCCTTATTTGGCAGTCTCATTCGATCTTTACGCTGAGCTTTTCGCAATCATCTTGGTAGAGTATACTTTTCACGTTACATTTTCGCCGTTTATTGCCCCGAAACTCAATCCTCTTGCTACTACGTGGCTCAACAAATATGGCCCCTTTATGAGGTCTCTTGTCATTGAAGTCGATCTATCGCGTCTTGGTTTTGGCCCCAGTCCCTCAGCTATCAGTCTGCTCCCAGGAATTAGCCGCGTTCAAGACCTCATTCTCAATTTCAGCATGTCTCAGCTCAGAAGAGCTCCAGAAGCTCCATTGGAGTCCTTGATTCTCGCATGTCGCCGCTTCTACGGCGAAAGAGAGGAAATCCCCAAACCTCCAGCAGAATCAACGAATAAAAAAGACTCCGAAAACACCCAAAATTCATCTTCAGCTGTCGTTCTCGTCAAGTCAAGCAAATCTTCATCATCCGACATCTCAGAAAGAATCGCCCGGGCCATCTCTCCAGCCCCCCAAGAATCCTTCAGACAATCTGTATTAATAACTCACGACAACACAAAAAGCGAACCCGTTGCTTGGGACCTCGAAGACAGCGAAGGAGAAGACGGCGAAGAAGAAGAAGAAGAAGAAGAAGAAGAAGAAGGAGACGAAGACGACGACGACGACGAAGATGGCGACACTGACGGCAACTCCTTCGAAAGCAGCTACTACTCCTCTTCAAGCTCAGACTCGTCCTCAAACGCAGACAACAGTCTCCTTGCCCCCACGCCATCCATCCCAGAAGAGAAACCCTTCTACTGCCCAGACAAACACCTCTCCATATGCAACCATCTCGCCCGTCTCCGCAACAAAGTCACTTCGCTCCGCATCGTCGGTTTCAGCGACGAGTACTCCCACGCCCTCATAGCAACCTTATTCCCCCACCTGAAAGCTTTCCCCATCGCAAATCACTCCTACCGTGTCGCTCCCTCTACGCTCTGGCCTCGCCTGCGTGGTCAGAAATCCTGGATCGACGCCGGCCGTGGAGAACTCGTCCTGGACGACCACGAGGTCATTCCGGAACCTTGCATTTTCCCCGAGGGGCTGGTTCAGCTGCCGCCGCCAGTCATTTACAGATCGGGCATCAGATCACTGCCGTGGTGCCGCGAACCAACTCACCGCCCGAGACACAATGCCACCAACTCAGGCTCCAGTTGGCCGTCTCAGACAAGTATAGAGAGTAGTGAGGCAAACACCTCTACAAATTCACGACGTAGTGATGAGAAGTCTAGGATGCAGAAGCTTTTTGGCAAGTACAAAGATAGGTCAAGGCGGAGGCCAAGGCCGGTGTCTGCCCCCTGAAGAGAATATGTGTAAGCTGTATGTTGAATTATTGTAGCTATATAGGTGGAAATCTTTCTGTGTCTCTCTTTTTCGAGAAACAATTATAATATGTGCGCGCAGAACAAAGAATAAATATGTGTAAGAGCCGTTCGTCATCCAGCAATGCTCTATCAGGATCTAATATATGCATCGAATGCTTCCTCTATCGCAAACCCATGAATCCGCTTTGACGCTAGAACGCTTCAACCTAAACTTCCAAACTTATAACCACCAAATTATTTCACCCTCAGACATTATATCGTATCCTTTCATTTTGCTAAAGTCTTTCAAAATGTTAGTTACACCAAACGTTCATCTAAAACGGGGTACATGAAAGAACTTACTATGGCAAATTTGCTCTTAGCACGGATCCTCTCTCCATAGAATAGAAGCACCCAAGGTAGAATCGTCAAACCGGAAGCGATCCCACCAAGCATGCCACCCGCGCCTTTGAGACCAAGATTGGTGAACATGATGGTCGTAATCAATGGAAAGCAGCCACCCAGCACATTCCGGCAGAAGCTCTGCGCTGCCAGGGCCGATGACGCATATATGTGATATGTATCTGCGAGATAGTTGAAAGTAGCGAGATAGACGGAGTAGATGCCCCAAGTTGCCAGCCCTAGACCAACCGCTGTCAGATACCCTCTCTTTCCATCAGAGGCCAAGAACGCAATGAATAACCCAATAGGTAAGAGCAGAGCAGTGATGCAAGTAAAATACAGTCTGGCTTCTGGCGCTTCAGCCGGAAACCTCCGTCGCATAAAGGCCCAGAATCTGGACTTGGAGTACTCAAAGTCATCTTCTTGCCGTTTCCACTGTGAGTGCTTCAAGAGATGCTCTTGGTAGATTCCGACTACTGTTGCAACAGCCGAGGCTATCATCATTGCCACGTATACACGGCTTGACATGGCAAAGTTGGCACCATAGAGGAAGGGTACAACTGAAAAGGAGAGATAAAGCACACCCCACGAGAAGGCGGCCCACAAAGAGAAGCAGAAGACAACCGGCTCTGTCAAGAGGAGACGAAATGGTCTCCGTACAGAAGTCAACACTATTTGTCCGAGTGAAGCGCGCTGTTCGTCTGCCTTGACTACCCATCGAATTCGTCGTAAACGGGGACCTGCGGCAGATGAACGCTCCTTTGTGACAGGAGTGATGGTCACTTGGCTAGAAGCAGTAGATGCCGTCAATACCAGATCGCTACTTAGCCACTGCCCATACACTCCATGCTTTTCCAACTTCTCATACCACTCGTTTAGTTTTTTGGCCTTTCTGGTAAGCAGGACTGAAGCCCGACTCTCTTTGAAGAAGAAGATTAGGAAAAGTAGGAGAACGACATCCAGGATCACTTGGACCCAGAATGACCACTTCCAGGCAAGGTTGTTGCTTTCCACAGTTTCAATCAAGGCGGCAGAAACCAACGGCCCAGCCCCAGTGCCGGCCAATACTGCGCCACTAAACAGCGCCATGGGTGTGTTCCTTTCCTCCTTTTCCCATAAATCAGCCAAGACGCCTCCGACCACGGCGGAGAAGACTGACCCGCCAATGCCAACCAAGAAGCGCGACACAATCATGCCAGCAGCATCCGGCATAACAGAGCAGACGGCTTGGAAGATGACGAAGACGAAGCCGGCAACAATGAAGATGGGATAGCGGCCCCATATCTCAGACAACGGCGCAAGAGCCATTGGTGCAAGAGCGAATCCCATGCAGAACGTGGTGATGCCCACAACTATAACAAGTCTTGAGGTGCCAAAATCGCTGGCCATGATGGCCGCCGGCGGCGCGTAGGCACCGGCAGTATAGGCTGTCAAGAATGTTGCCAGGCATGACAGAATAAGCAGAATACTTTTGCGAGCAGGCCCCCATGTCAATGGATCAGAGTAAGCTGTCAAGTCGGGACATGGCGGTGGCTCTCGCCCGTCAAAACTAGGCTGCAATATCGGAGGAGACGGTAAAGTGGTATCAAATGTGAGATAAAGAGATAATATCGGGCTGTTGCCATCTAGAGTTGTCGCCTCTGTCTGCTCCGTCTGCGGTTTTTCGTTCGACGACAAGAGGTCCCCAGCGTCATGTGAGGGACCATCGCGAGAGACAATTTTCTCGTTCCGAGCAATCTCAAAGCCCTCCATTTCACATATCCCGAGCTCTCCTTTTTCTTCGACAGCCATCGGAACTAGCCCAAGGAAGAAAAACAAGAGAGAGATACAGTTCGTAGGCAGGAGTTTCAAGGCATCGATACAACTTCGTAGTGTAAACGCTCGAGACGTGGCTGGAACCTCCGCGATGAGCCCGACAGTGACTTTGGAGAAAGGATTGCTCAGACTTGAAGAGCGGTGATGCTATTTATCGAATCCGGAAGGCGTATGGAGTAAGTGGAGAGGCTAATGTGTTGACGACGGGAATAACCACATGGGCAGGTTCTGCTCTGGAAGCGTCTTTTAGCCCCCACGCGTGGCTTACACGATTGGCAGCGATGAGCACGAGATATCCGTTTCTCTTTCGTGCCAAGAGCCCCCTCGCGTCTTCTGCACGGCATCTTCTCAGGCTCGGGTTGAGGAGCTTGAAAGCAATGCTTCCAACGTATGTAATACTTGGATTAACCGCTTGAGATGCCTTCGCTCAACGCAGCCACCAACGATGAGGAGGCGTGACACAATTTCGATCCACTAGTTTACGCCTTGTTAGTCAATAGTTTGGCGGGAATAAACAACGGCAATTATACGCACAACTTCTCCACAAGCCAAGCTTTGCATCTAGATTTCTAATCCCCCACCATGATGCTTCATGTGAAAGCAGCGTCAAAACGGCCCGGCACGAATGTTGAATCCGAACCTCGACTGCCGATTCAGCATCCCGATTCCCGAGGCTCTAGCTCAAGACTCCGCTTGAGATTCAAGTCCAACTCAAGCCAATGGTATGTCACCTTGGAGACAAGGTGGAGAGGATCTTGGGTGAGATTCAGGCACGTTATTCCCGACTAAGGCCGTGGGCTATTCAATTGGACCGCAGAGGCTCCAGAATGCTGCATTGCCGCAAGTTTAGTTTTTATTACGGAAACGAAACATAGGCTATTCGTGTGTAAGACGCTTTTTTCCCTTGATAAATGCAACCCCACCAAAGCTTATCAACCGCTCTGCCCTGCCAGAATTGTAAAAGCTTCTCTTGCTGTGTTCCATACAGGTTAAATGTGTGGGCCGACAGACCCAAATTCGCAAGGTAATGTCAAACTAGTGGACTGAGATTCGGCCCAAAGATGGTAGCCCTAGCCACATTCCCATCGAGGATGCCAGGTAGAATAGATATCCAAAGCATCATTCTAATCGCCCTGTCTAATTGCTTCTGAGATGTTTTGAACTGGATCTGCTGCAACTTCAACGGGAATAGTGTTGACACTGATATGGCACGCTCTTGGTGCAGGTGAAGCATCCGCGGAGGGGGAGTGTGTCTCTACTGGAAGCTCTCTTAGCTCCATTGGCTTATTCTCTAATTCAGCAGGATATCGAGTGACCGCCAGGTCTGCGGGCTCTTTGTACGTCTCTTGCTGGGTCCACGTATCATCTGTGAGCCGCCGTGGGCCCTGTTGCCTTCTTCGGCGACGGACCAAGAAAAAAATAATCGCCGAAGCCACAGCCAGGAGCCCCAAGCAACTCCCAACTGTTATCCCAGCAATCGTCCCGGAGTTAAGGATTGGCTTTGGCTGTGGTGAGAGTGGAGATGACGCATTATTTGATGCGTTTTGTTCAGTGGCGGGTGAGACTGAATGGGGGGAGGTTGGAGTTGTTGGAGTTGTTGGAGTTGTTGGAGGCGTTGGAGGTATTGGAGGCGTTGGAGTCGTAATCAATACATTAGTCATAGTAAAATGGAATGCCGTCGATGTGGGAATATGACTTGCGATTGTCGACTCTCGAGTCGGGAGTCCGGGCGGATTCCTTTCAGTGGTCCTCACAACCAAGTCCACGCTTCTCCAGCGAATCTCAAAGGCTGGAGCGGATAACATTGTACCGTCATAGTTGGTTACTGCGTACTTTTGGTCTTTGGTCACGTCGTTGCATGTGTAGTCGCTTTGACAGTAGTCTATTAGTTACGTTTCTTCATAAATATTGCGCATTGACTTACTCGGGAACACATCTGACGACCGTCTCTCCGTCTTGGATTGGCCAGCCGCTGCTCACCGCTGACGTCTGGGTACACATGGCTCGATATCCCGAGAAACACTCGCCCGGCGAATAGAAGCCCCCCTTGGACCACAAATCGACGCCTCCAGGGATACGGCAGCCGTCGAAATCATCCGGGAGTATAGGGGGAGGGCACGGAATCGCATGGACAGTCATGGGCATGTACGGCACTCGTAAAGGCCCACTTGAGAGCGTCTTGGCTGTCTTGGCCGCCATTGTTCGACGACTAGTCTCTGCTCAATCAAATCCGAGAACAGCAAGTAGCAGAGATCCTTGTCGAAATGTCTGGTATAGCCGATACCGAGATGCCGACAACTGAGAGCCTGGGTTGTTCCGGATCGGCCTGCTGGCAGTCATGAAGCCGCCAAAAAGTGCAAGAGGATGGCCGAATCTTGGTATCCGCACTGCATAAAGGAGATTCCATTGTTGATGCCATATTTTTAAGGGGGAAACCAACTTCTCAACGCTTGTCCCTGCTCCTTCCGTTGTTTGGCAACTACCTCTTGCCGTATCGACGCACGTGTATCACCCTCGGTTAGAAAAGCCGTGAATCGCTACAGCACTGATACAAGAAAAATCTCGTCTGTAACAAGTCCGTATCTATTAAGTGCCTGTTTACGAGATTTATCAATTATTTAGCCATTCGAGAGCAATCATGAGGATACTTTATATTCTACCATTATCATCACGCACCACCTCGTGTTCTGGCGACGAATTATTCGGTGACTGCATCTACGAGGGTGCTCCATTTTTTTGTTTCTTTTTCTGCTGAGTCTGTTAGAGGGATAAAAAGCTCAGAGGGTTTACAGACTTGGCTTATGAAATTCGTTCCCAGGAATTCTTTCGGCGCATAAACGGAGCCGGTTCAACCACATCGCACATATGACTGCCTAGGTAGCTATCAATTTTGTAATAATTCTCCCAAGTCTATATAAAAATACAGTGGTCATGTCTAGATGCATAAAGGATAACAAATTTTAATTCTCCCTCCCTCTAATCCACATCGTCTTCATGTGTGTCAGTGCTCCCATTGTGAGATCCGTTTTCAGAGCCGTTGTTTTGAGTCGTGCCGTTTGTGTGACCGTTTGTGTGACCGTTTGTGTGGCCGTTGGTAATACAATTTGCCCCATTCGCGCCTTTAATCGTCCCGTCCTCATTGACGCTTTCTTCAAGGAACAAGGAAAAGGTAACCACCAGATATATATCACCGGTAGCCTTGTTCCGGAGGACATATCTAAGCTGGTGTGCAATCCTTCCATCATTTCTATATTCTCGTTAGTAAAATAAACGCCACTCAAAAAAGAAAAAATGCAATTAGAGCCAATGATAGCTTACCTCAAAGCATCCGCGCCCAAATATCTCGCAACCGATAGCTGAAACCCCGGCAGCCGCAAAGCCAGATTCGCAAAGTCAAGATATGGATTAAAAAAGTCAATCCCGTACGTCTGCCCGTACTCCCAAAGCCACTTTTCCTTATTCGAATCCGACAGCGCCCACTTCATCCTCGGCTTGCTCTCCTTGGGCACGCCCTTTGCCTCGCGCAGCTTCATCCCCCTCTTGTCTCCTCCCTCTTCAAACCACAGGCCGCCTCTTGATTCGTCGTGCGTCCCAGGGCCAATGGACACGACATTGAATGAGCTCAGGGCAGGGCCATAGAGATAGGGCTTGTCTGCGTACGCATCTCCGTCAAGGCCTGGGTCAATCCACCACTTGACAATGTTCATTGCGGTGTTGAACCCCGGCGGCAGCTTGTCTCGGATAGGACGGTCAAAATCATTTCCAAACTGCAAATCTGCTGCTCTGATTCCCGCGACATCCTCGTCCCCGGATTCCTTGCCACTGTCTGACTTGGATGGGTTCAGTGGTGTGAAGCGGAACGATATGCTGTACTGGTCCTGGTTGGTGGCATGAGGCTCTGTGGAAAAGTATGAAGACGTCGACGGCGAACCATAGGGCAGTCCATTGTAGCCCTTTATCCGCACATTGAGCTCTATATCGGCCACATCGCTCTTGATGCGTACGGGTGAATGTTCATTCACTGAGACTTGAATATGAGTGCTTTCGTCGTAACTCGGTCCCGCCGTAACTCGAAGGATATATTTTTCTTGCATCATTTTGCCGTGTTAATTGTGGTGATGAAAAAGAACCCCAGGATTGCTGTTTAGACGTTGATTCAATCTCGAAGATTATAAGAGCGGAAAAGGTTTAATTGATGCCCCGATTCGGACCATATAATCATGCCTACGATTGTGGCTTTTGGTATATAGCGCTTGATCATAAGATTCTTAAAGTGGCTATTAATAACGTTAGGGGGTTCGCTTAGTGCGCTTTTGTCTGAAGGTGGCGAAAAACAACGTCAATAGCACGTACCCTGGAATCGCCCCGATCGGGGCTTTGTATGTGATTTTTTTGACTTTCTCTCGCACAGTTTCATAACTCTTTGCCCGACTCTCTTTATGTATCTTCCAAGTTTTCGGTTCTCAAAGATACTACCGAAATTAAAATGCGCCTTGATGAACGTTGATCGAACTGTGAAACAGAATCTCCATCGCCCAAGTTTCACCGACTCTACTGAAACGCTAGAGCTTTGAATGGTCTGCTACTAACAGTGCCTCAACATTGCCTCATCTTCATGAATCAGTGCCCTGTGAAGCTGCGTAAGAGTTCGCTTACTCGGATGTCGCTTGATGTGATATTGTGCAATATGCAAGTTGCTGCGTCGGGTGAATTCATCACATGCCGGGCGCAGATGCAGCTCGGCTGACTCGGCCGGCGTTATCTCAAGCAGTCTTATGTCTGGACACGCAATTCCAAAGTAAGACATATACAGAGAGTGTATCTACAGTAACGCGATCAACGAGAGATGCCATTAGATCCCAGTAATGTTGCATAATTAGATACTAGGGAGGCGTTTTAGGCGGCCGCCGTAATAGATCATCATAGATGAAGTAAGTGAGTTTCGCGTGCTTCACTGCAAAGTGCACCGTCTAGGTACTAAAAGAGTAATGAAGCACACAGCTTTTGCGGTCTCATGAAGTAGTTGAATAATTATTTTCAACCAACTGCCGCATTCGAAATCAATAAAGGCAAGGCAAATAGGATAATTTCAGTGTTCGACAAAAACGAGGTCCAGCGGCGCATACAGACTTACTCTGTCAAAACTGCATGTAATCAGCCATCGACCCGCACATTAGAAATCAGCTGCTGTAGCTCGTAGTTCCCATTACAGAACAAACTCTTCTTCAAACCATAGGAAAATAGAATAATGGAAATGCCAGCTTAACATAGAATCTTGATGAAGCATCTTTACTCATCACGTCAACCAGAAAAAGATGAGCCATCTTTGTTGCGCCTCTCATGCTTATGAAAGTACTCCCCAGCGTAAACTAGGCCTAGTAAGGCATTGACGTCATACCCAATCAGGAGAGCTTTCGACATGGCCCCATCATCGCAAGTCTCGGGCACACACTCAGGCTTTGTTCTGCTCTCTCCGCCAACCGAGGGAGGAGCGGGATAATAAAGTTTAGCAAAACTCTGGAAATCAAAGATCTGTCACTCATTTTCAGCCGATAGCCTTTTTTTTTTGTTTCCGTGCGAGAGGTCCCGCTGGTGGCCACTCAAACATCTTTTTCTTACGAAGATGATAAGCAACACTTTCATCATCCGCCTCTCCATCTTCTTTTTCCGCCGAACGCCGTTCATCTACGCCGCTATTTTGGGAGCTCTGTACCTTTGGTATGGCTGGGAAACAACGCGTCAGACGCTGGCTGCTCAAGTTTTATGGGGGCTCATAACTGCCGAATTGCTCTTCTTTTGCTTTATCTATCTCCCGTATATGCGCCAGCTGGACCGCAGAGCTGTGCATCCTACACCGCTGACGTCGGAGGAACGCTGGGATCTGTTTAATCAGTGTCTGGCACATGTCGACTCATTCGAGCTGTATCTAAGAGGGTGGTTCCTCGGCGCTGAACTCAAAGATATCCGCCGAGACAATGTGCGGGAATTCCTCCTTTGGGGCTTCTTCGACCAGGCTGCGGAGGATGTTGAGAGCAACGACGGACACTCCGAGGCTGTCGAGCGAGATTTGGAGGGTTTCATCACAGAAATTGAGAAGCGGCTTGGCGGACCTATTCGCAGCGGACGAGGCAATGCAACGTGCATTCGACTGACCTTGGATGACGTTGAAACAACCTATCGGGGCCTGACCTGGTATGCAGTGATATGCTTGGTGGATCAATTCACACATCTCGCCCTTTCCTGGCACGGCTTCAAGTTCTATGCAAGAGGGCCCGCCACGGCTCTTGCAACGTTTCCCCCGCGGCCGCAGGAGATATTCTCAAGCCGCCGCTCGCGTGCTCCTCAGCTTAGCTACTGGCACCGGCCTCACACATCCAACGACTGCAACCCAGTTGTCTTCTTCCACGGCATTGGCGTTGGGCTCTATACATACATTAGCTTCCTCGCACGCATATGTGCAGCTAAGGAGAGCGATGGCGGCCAGGCTATCGGGATCGTGGCTGTGGAGATTTTGCCCGTGTCCTTCAGACTCACTTCCCCGCCTCTGGGTAAAGCTGATTTCCTACGCCAGATGGCCAAGATATTGGAGCATCACCAGTGGAACAAGTTCACCATCGCTTCACACTCGTATGGGTCGGTGCAGACCACCCACATGCTCCACTCCCCAGCTCTGAGGCATATGATCACATCTGTCGTTTTGATAGATCCGGTGACGGTGATGCTGCATCTCCCCGATGTCGCTTACAACTTCACCCGAAGAAGGCCCCGAGAAGCATATGAATGGGTATTGTGGTACTTTGCCAGTACGGATCCAGGCGTGGCCAACTCTCTAGGACGTCACTTTTTCTGGCGGGAGAACATCATTTGGAAGGAAGACTTGCTATCATATGAAAATGCTGAACCGAGGGGCCATCGGCGCAAGGTTGCTGTCTGCCTAGCTGGCAAGGATATACTCATCGGCACATCCAGAGTCGCGCAGTATTTGGAAGACGCTGGGATGGCGGGAATAAACCAGGTTGGGGGCACTAACCGGACGGCCGAGGTGGAGGTGCTCATGTTCCCCATGCTGGATCATGCGCAGGTATTTGCCAGCTCGCTGCACTACGAACGGGTATGCCGGGTTATCAGGTCATATTGCGGTGCAGGATTAGCGGGATAGACCAGTATATAAAGTCGCAGCAACAATGCAAGCAAGCCGC